AGTGCAGCGATCACACTAGGATAATATGTGATGTTAGATCTTCTTTGTCTTCTTACCCTTCATTGTAGGCTAGTATACTGGTGATCGATGTTCGCGATCATCCTCATCACCTTTGCTACTTAACGGATACTTCTCTCACTAATCTAATATTGAGTTCAACCCTTACTTTCAACACATCCGCCCGTGTGTACTTGGCTTTCATCCTATCCATTGATACATCGCGTGTTGTCATAGCATATTTCAATCTCTTCTTCAAGCCATGATCAATGGTTTAGACCTAATGGACATCTTCACTACAATTTCTGGTTGTTTTGTGTTTGAAGAGCTCCGAATTCATTGCTTGCAAATTTTTGACTTTACTGCCGTCAACTTCCAACGCAACATTTTCTAAGTTTGTGGCATTTGAATGGAGGTATTTACTTGATGGTATCTCATGTGAACCTACAATTCTTGCTGGAACACATCAAGTTTTGTTTTATCCAATAGTACACCTCCAAAGATACACGTCAGGAATGTTCTAGTATGAACAGACGGTGCCAATAGTGGAACTGTGAGAGCAAAACTAACTCGTCATCCTCATTGAATCGCTCAAATCTCCACTTAGTTCAATTGGACGCGGATATTTCTTCGTCCGAGACTTTTACATTGCATCAAAATTTGTAAAATTACCTAACATTTGAATTCACAAGTTCTCCGTTTTGTTCCCTTTGAAATTCTGCCATAGATTTCACACATCCGCTATTGCTCAATGAGTCTAATTTTTGACAGCTCCAAAGTCAAAACCTCTGTGCACTTGTGACAATGTCACAGTTCATCGATCTGAGATTTGTGATCGTAGAGATTCATTAAAGTTCTTATATGATGCGAGCTTTAGTGTATATGAACAACTTTCAGATATTGAAGACGGAGCGCTGTCAGTGGAGTACTATAAAGTAAAATTAAACTTGATCGGTCCCATCAAGCAATTTTGATTTCGATGAGATCCCATCAAGTAAATAGCTTCATTTGAATGTGAATTGGAATTCCCACGTTTTTCATAACAGAGCAAATTTAAATTGAACAATATAAATTTGTTCAAGGTACACTCATGTGTTTTTTTATAATTATTGATTCAGCTAGTTGTTTGCAGTCCATGGAATTTGAAATATATGTTACAAATTCCGCTTGCGGAGATATAGGATCAAATTGCGAACGTTATTCATCCACTGTGATATCACCGACCAAGAGGGCAGGGCAACGGATGTGATACGTTGTTGGCCGGTACACTTACACATTAACACTTTAACTTCGATTTTTCAAATTTCAGTGGCATTATTATTTTTATGATGCCTCGTATCCCACGATCCGAAATATATACCTATAATTAGGCAGCAGATGAGAGATGTGCATATGTATCAAATGTCAGTCTATCCATATGACAAAGTATTTCGATCCACATTAAAGTTCATTGACGCTAAATTCCATTCTTAGAAATGTGTTGGTTATGTTACATATATTTTTCAAAAGGGTGGACTTTTTCAACTTGTTTTGTACACCGAATGATTGATTATTACATTGTATCTTAAATCTCACTTGTAAAGCTTTGGAATATTGTTCACTTACAAACAATGAATTGGTTAAGTTTAGGAAAAATCCCATAAATAACTTTATAAATCAATGTGTGTAAATCATTCTTGTAATATATTCGTCTCAATCGGAGTGGCTTCGGATCGTACTTTCGGTTGTAGCGGTACACTTCCTTTTAGCTGTAGGTAAGATATTCACGACTGTGGAAAAGCAAACTGAAAAGGCTACCCCATGGATTATGATCGGCGGCGTTAAATCTGCGCTGAACAAGTATATTTGTTTGAAAGCTTAACGCAACACAAGAAAAATGAATACGATAACTTATGATAACTTATAATACGATAACGATAACACGTTGTTTTATTATTATTAGTTTCAAATGACCATTGTGTTCTTTCAAATAACTGTAAATTTAGACATATCAATACATTTGATTTCACAATGTTTATTGTGAGATTAATAAAATTTTATATAATTCTAAGTTTTCATGATTGAATAGTCAACCGTTGAATTGAATCAATAAGATGATGATATGAAGAAAGTTTTATTTGAAATCTTTCTTAACTTTTGTAGCGGATAAATATCATTGTATGAGATTTTAAATAATAAACGGACAATGAATGAAAATATAAACTAAACGATATAATCAATCAATTAATTATACCTTTTATGCTTAAAGCTATGTTGTGAATGTATGTTCATAATTTGTGTATGAAATTTTGTAAATTATGAAAATTATTCATTTATACAACATAGTCTAACATTAATATCTTCAAAATATTACTCCACATATATATATATATATATATATTCACATTTATAATAATTTATATATTAATTTTTCATCAAATATCAATCCATTACAAGACAAAGTACGATTGAAATGTTTTTTATCAAATCATAAATAATGCATATACATATATGTCGTATAATTTGTATCTTCAATGGCTATTATAAAAAATTTCGGAGACAGATGAATTAACGAAATTTATTAAGAAAAAGACTATGCAAACATATTATGCTTGAATAAATCTATAAGAAGCAATGATAATTTCAAATTATTCAATATTGAAATAAATAATCGTTTTTTAAAGAATTAATAAATGATATAATTATATCAAAGTCACCAGATTATGTTTCTTTTGTATTGAACCATCTACATATATGTAAGATGTAAAAGTATGTGAGATTCATGATTTACACAAATGATATATGCTATGAGATTGAAATTCATATTTCATTATAAAATATTTATAAATAAAAAATTCATTCACTTTATATAATCAATGAGGATTTTTAAATGTAGGAACAGTTTAAAATTATGTTTTCTTTAATATGATAAAAATTTTGAATAATAATTTGATCCTTTCTAATTTGAAAAAATAGAAAATATTTGGTTAATGAATCAAGATGAAACATATTTATTTAGAGATAAATAACCGATTCGTTATTTAGATGATTATAAGAACATTATTATGATTGAAAGATATTTTTTGATCCACAATAAGTTATTATTTTTCTCGAACATTCCACTGAGTAAAAATTTCATCCAAGTTTGCTGAATTTTTTTGAAGATTTTATCTAACGGTTGAAGTTATTTTATCAGAAACATACAAAATTTTGTATTTTGATAATAAAATTTAATATTATTTGTAGGTTGATAGAAAATTATTTCTTCATACAATCTTTCTTCTTATAGCGTATATTATTAATTTGTATTAGCTATGTATATTAAATTCAAGAGGATATGTACATACATTCATCTTTGAAATTAGAAGAAGACCAGAAATTTGGAGTCCCTGCATTAACTGTTCATATTTGAAATATATTGATATCTTAAACATAAGCATAAAATATTTATTTTATACAATATAATCTGATATTTTGTAATAGTTAAATATAACACGAGTCTCTATAAGTTATCATTGTTGAAGGTGATGTATGGAATGTAATATAATAACATCTTCAAGTTTATAATTTGTTGAATTGGTTGACGTTCTTTTTTGAATTTGGATTTTGATTATTAGAGTAAAAAATTATTGTATATTAAATTCATAGGACGTGATATTAATTTTATTTTTATAAACAGACATTTTAATTAATTTAATTGCAAAACATGTCAATATTGTTCGATGCACTTAAACCTTTGATTTGGAAAAAAATAGTTCGTTGATATTAAGATAAGCATGTTAATTTGTAAGTAGATATCTATTCTTTATATTTAAAATAATTCTAATTAAATTATTTGTTAAAATTAAATACATCAATTTTTCATTACGTTTATTATTAAGTTTAATCATGGACGATTTTTTATACAAAACAGCAAACTCTTAAACTTAAGAAGTTTTTAAGCCTCTGGTCTTTGCATACCATGCTCTTCTGATTTTAATTTTTTTTATAAAATAGGAATCGAAGTATCAATGACTATAGTTTATTTACTTCAAAATTTTGTTAAGTCAATGATGAGAAATTCAAAATAAACGATTTTTTCTTAAAAAATAAGGTGGTTTTTTCCTGATTGTTTAGAATTTTTTTATTGAAGAATTATATTAATATTAATATTTCATTCATTCTAAAATTATACAAGATTATACCACATGATGATCTCTCGATGAGTTAAAGAATGAATTGAATGCTTTTGATAGTCAAACTTTGAAAGGCCTGGTTAAAGTATAAGGAAATGATATTAAATTCGATCTATATCTTAAATGAACAGAAAAATGGAAGAAAATTATCAACTTATTAAAATGAATCCTTTGATTGATATTATTTTTAAATTAAGAATAATAACTTACATAATAATAATAATTCTTTTTTTTACATATAGTTGTCATCTTCCTTAGCTCATATATTAACCTAAATTGAAAAAAAATACATGATGAGTGAATGAATGGAAATGTATAGCTGAACATGACTATATTCTTTTGTAACACTGTATCCGCGGAATAGGAAGAAGTCGCAAAACAGGTGAATTCAGCTTAATTTAAGTGCAAGTCAAGAAATTGAGCCTATATTCTCTGTGCGGGACTGGGCCCCAATTCTGTTTGACAATCTCACTGGATCTTTCACAAGATTCTAGCTTCAATGTAGCATGAAATTCTCAAGATTGGAAAAATGAATCAGAATCTGGGAAAGTAGGCAAGATTAGATTCAAGAATCGGGTCAATAGCTCTACGAAGCAAAGCTAACTTAAGCCATGGGCAATATCATGAGAGTATCCCTTCTGTATGATCATCCCGGGTAGTGAGATTTCTCACGTGGGCGGTCCTATGGTGGTAGCCCACGGTGCCCGCCAAGGGGGAAAGTGGAAGTTAATAGCGTTTGTCACGTGGTAGAAGAAGCCACGCTGACCCGGGGAGAACCACGTAGGCGAGAGGAACTGCAATGTGGATAAAGCAAAGCAATGGGCTATATGGCAGACTCTCGTGGCCAGGGTTTGTCAAATGCATCACCATATCCACCTTATCTTCAGATCGCTGCCGGTCCTGCCATCTCCCGATCGACCCAAAGTACCCAAAACAGAGCTTCAGCTGCAGCAAATTCTTAGTGTCGTATGCAGAGGTTGAGAATTATGGCTGCCACCTGCTTGCAGCAGGTAAGTGCTTTCGATGTTTGAAATGTCATGCGTGTGTGTCGATGGCTGCCTGTCGCTCGTATGCCTGCGTGGGCAATGTATGGAATTTCGGGAGTCCAGAGATCGCTGCGCATATTGTCGAAGACGATTTAATTGTGTCCGGATGGACGTAGGTGTGTGTGTTTTCATCTGTCTGAATTCCAAACATCTCTAAGATATGCCATCGTCGGCTGCTTGCCGAATTGTCGTTCGAATTCGACGTCTGAGAACTTTCCGCAATTGACTTCTTCTAGGTGGAAGGACACGGATGAAATGTTTCGGTTGCAAAATATACCTGTAGGCCGAGTGCTCAGCACTTTGTATCTTTACTTTTTCGAATGAAGAGAGTTGTGTAGCTGTCGGAGGTTTAGGCTTAGGGTTTTTCGGACTGTATGCCTTGTCCCGTTCGATAAGGTGTTTGCTGATTGCACGACCATATGATACTGCAGATTGCTTGCTCATCTTTGAGCAGCAGCAGAGCTTTGGCAGTGGTGCCTGGAAAGGTTGAGGGGCTCCGCAGTCTGTCAACATCGTCCTCCGTGCTAGTGAAGCCGTGGTGGCGTCAAAGCGGGGGCTTGCCATTGAGAACTGTCACTGCAAGGCCGGCTTTCATCGCCACTCGAGGAAGGTTCAATGTACAGGCACAGGCTGTGAGCACTACATCCGAGACTGAGGCAGAGGCTGCACCAGAGGCCACTACCGATGTGACAGCTATTGAAGCCGTAAATGGAGACTATGCCCCCTCCCAATTGAAGACGAAGAAGCTCACGAAGCAAGTAAAACATATCATGAACGTGAGTTATTTTGTCTGGTTCCTCACATTCCATCATTCCTTTCAAACGCGCTTCTATTTTCACCTGTTAGCTACCAAGTTTGCTTGGTGGCGTAAAGATTTCTCCAGAATGTCTGCATGAAGGACCTCTAGGCTAGCGCAGCATCTAGAACTTTTTGTCTTTGAAGTTGAAATGAAATGATTCTTTTCCTGTTGACGTTCTCCTGCAGCTTTTGAATGCTGAAGCTCTTGAGGCCGCATCGAAGGACAAAGTTATTCCAGTACTCCGACCTGGAGATGTCGTGCAGCTTAGAGTTGTAAGTTTTTCTCTATCACAGTTGCCTTTCAGAATAGATTGAATGGATCTGAATCCCGGAACTCTCCTGCGTCGTTAAAGCTACCAAGCTCGATGTCCGAAATCTAAGGTACTAGTGTATGCAATTTAGAAGTGGAGGTCTTGTAGTTATCAGTTTACATCGACGATCAGAGAACGGTACGGAACAAGAGAGTAGATTCAGGGCTCCTCCAGTAGAGCTTCTCTTGTAACTTCGTGCGGATTACATGGGCTTTGATTTTATTTGTGGCTTGAAAACTGGAGTCTACGTCATCTGAAGAAATTTTGGGTTTAGTCGGGAAGACATCACTCAAATCATTCATAAACACGGTGCAAACTTACCTTCGAACGATGTTATACGGACGGCTTTAATTGTTTTTCAAGAACTATGCCCGTCCTCACGAGGATGGGTTCTTGTTATTCATGATCGTTGTAGGGGTTAACTGACATTCCTGCCCCTAGGCAGCTTCAATCTGAAACCCCCTATACTTTGTGCCCCCACTTCAAGTACTCCCTGTCCATAAAGAAGTGTCGGAGCAGCAGGGGGTGCTTCACTTGTAACACTTTCTAGGAACCGAAGGTACCTTTTTCCTAGTCCACTAACTTGAAGTTTTTAGGGGAAAATAGGATCAACGAGCATTCAGCAAGCCTAAACACGAAATCTTCCTAACATTCGTAGGAACGATTTCGTGTCAACCTCCCTTCATTTCCTTCCCCAATTCCGGGAACTTTGGCAAGGTCAGAGAAAGACCCGTCGACTTGTGAAACCAAACAGGAGGACGATTTTGCGGAGCCGATGGAGATCCATCTACATACATTACTGCAATCATTTCACAATCCTTGGGTGTTGTCTTTGAGGGATTTTCCCACTTGTAAGTCTACGTTTGTACTCGTAGACTAAATGTACGCCGAGATAGCTCAGACCTATCCTCTTACTGCTGTCACGACCTCGGAATAGTGTGCTGTGGGTGTATCTTGTGGAATTAATTTAAGGTGCCAAGTAGAATGCTGGAGATCGGAGTATAAACAGAAAACTTAATCACTAAATCGTGACATGTCGAGTTGCTATTATCTCTACAATCTTAGACGTTTTCTACTCGTATCCGTTCTTGAATGTACACAGTTTCCTATTGGGCTGCTTTACGTAAGCTTTGTTTCGTTTACTTTGCAACTCACGTTGAAACAATTTTTCCAATTCTTATACTTCCTTACTCAAAAGAGGCTGCTGGAAAGCTACCTGCTGTTCATTGTGTACGTTCACCGACTTCGTTTAGTCAATAGTTATGGTCTGCATTTCTTTGACACCATTTTTTTGATGATTACAGGAGGTGCCCGAGAACAAGAGGCGTGTGTCATTGCTTCGGGGAATTGTGATTGCTATCCACAATGCCGGAATCAACTCTACATTCAGGATCCGAAGAGTTTTGGCTGGGGTTGGTGTGGAGATGATATTCCCACTGTAAGTGAAATCTGCCTCGACTTCACTGTCAAAGTTGTTGGCGCCAGTTCGTTGTCAATCACTAGGAGGAGCTGTTTGTTTGGTTGTCTGACGTTATTCCTCGGTATTGGTTTCCAGGTACTCTCCAAACATCAAGGAGATGAAAGTGGTCGACAAGAGAAGAGCTAGGAGAGCAAAACTTTATTATTTGCGCGACAAGATTGCTAGGCTTTCTTCATGTTAGGTTAACAAACACGTTGAAACCGACATATAAAGTCTGGTTCAGTAGCTAGTCTCCTTAACAGTTTTCAAAATTCGCTTTTTATCAGCATCAAGGTCCCGGCCAATTTGGCTATAATTTTTTTTAATCAATGTCATCCCTTGCCATTGAGGCCCAGTGCTTGGTCATGCTATGAACGGGCTCTTGCAGGGAGTGCCTTCTGGCGACTGATACAGATTGAGGAATGGTTCTGCACAAATCAATTCGTAATGTGGTACATGAGGCCTAGATTGAGTATAGTTGAGAGAGGGACCGTGTGTATCTATCACTCTTATTTTAAGAACCTTGTAATGAATGCTTCTGGCAAGCAGTCAGCACACAGATGTTGTTCGTTGTCATGAGGGCTGTCTCTAAGAATCAGCTCATCACTTCTGTGGTCCTATTTCCAGGTCGTCGGTTGCATGCATTTCAAGGGGAAGGAAAGGAAGGATGGGAGAAGACGATCGTAGTTTGTAACTAGGTCAACAGATTTCTATTTGTTTGTATTTTCTCTATTCCAGGGTCTATGTACTTGTTTTACACATGCTAGAATGTGAGTTGGTTGTCCACAGCGTTGTCAGTTGGAGTGGGGTATCAGTATCCCTCCAAATGAAGAGATCTTGCGGAGTCGGCTGCTCGCGAACTAGATTAAGGATGTCATGTGATGAGCTTAGTTGGACGGGTTCATCAGGCATCCAGCTTTCTCATTTCATTGATAGGTCAGCGAAGGAACATCGAGCATTATGATGGTTCGAACTCATCATAATAGTGAACGCGAACGTGAGCATCTGCAGTTGAAATGCCGGACGTAGAAGAAAGCTTGTTCTATATTTCTGAGTCATGTAGCTCAACAGTTATTATTATTAAAAAGGACCAATTAGCTCGAAAACAGTACTGTCTATATTATTTTGTAGTGACGGGGTCCACTTCCGATGAACTGAGCCGACGACGCCACCTCTTGTCACTTAAGTTTTTTGAGCAATCCTGAGTAAACGGGGTGCAGTGAGGATATCTCCCCTGTCTGTGTCGGCTATATCGAAACTGCACTATCTAACCAAGAGATGAAAAACAAGGTATCGTATATAATGTCCTTGTGTTGCGTAAATCTCTCAAACAAATATACTCGTCCAGTGCAGACCATGTCAGTTTGCTCTTCCACAGTCGAAAATATCTTACCAACAGCGAAAGGAAATACCTCAATGTGTACCGCTCCAACCAAAAGTTCGATCCGAAGCAACTCTGATTGAGACGAAAATGTAACAGTAATGAAAACGTGTAATCAGGAAGGTTCATAGACACACTTATAAACTTTCTTTATAGATTATCTCTCTAATGTAATTAATTCATTTCCTGTTGTTAAAAGCTATTGTTTACGCTTCAAAAATATTACACTGTAGATATGTCAAAATCATCTACAAGAATAGAGTGTGTTATAAGTGAACAATATTCCAAAGCATTGAAGTGAGGTAAAAGTTAGAATATTAATTAATCATTCGATGTATAAAATAAATTGAAAACGTCCACCTTGAAACAAATATGTAACGTAACCAACACAAACTTTAATTTTTGAAACATTAAATTTTGCGTCAATTAACTGGATCGAAATATTTTATCTTATATTAACCGATTAAATGGTAAGTTGAATGCTTCTATATGAAAATTTATTTATGAAGAAAAGTACTTGTGCTAATCATCGTCAATTAGATATGAATACTATATATACATCATATACAAAGAGATTTAGATCATCAGACTTAAATCATTAAAAATTTAGATATCCCAGATCTTTAGGATGTCTAAAACTCAACATAGGTTGAAGCAAATCTTGGTTAAGTAGAACTAGGTTACTATTGTACAATTGTACTTGAAAATGCTACACTTGACATAATATTGAAGGAGTGATTGTTCAGATTTGGCGTGACAAGGTGAGAATCTTCAAATATAAGGTTATGGTGAAAAGAGTAGCAATTCTGGCACACCATACTAGATGAAGTGGACATCACTTTTTTAAGTTTTAGAAATGTATTGAAAATGTACATAGAGGAGTATATGCATCGTCCTATACATAAAAAATCATGTTAAATTATGCTTAATTGGATGTTCTAAGTAGTAAGTAGATCCTAGTATATCTTAGTTGCAATGTGACATAATTTACATTTCCATCGTCACCTTGTTGCGGGCCAGCCCCGTCCTTACCATTGATTTCAACCTTGTAAGATATGATGGGCTTATACTCTCCTTTTTTATAAATCCCTCTCCTTTAATCTTGCATCTTATTATCTTCGTCTACTCGAATATCAATAAGTATCTTGGTTCCGAAAAATGTTCTATGGACCCACGCAATTATCTTTCATCGATCATCAAAATGAGGAGAGATTTCTATTTCTAACTCAAGCGAATGAGTCGTCATGTAATTTCATCATTATCCCTTCGGGGACATCCGATAAAATTGGAAAGATACAGAGAAGATTAGCATGGCCCCTGCGCAAGGATGACACGCACAAATCGAAAAATGGTCCAAATTTTCGCACTAGCTAGGGGATTCTTTTGGTTCTCTCCTAATTTGGAGTTGGATTGTTTGTATTGTATTTTTTAGCCTTTTGACCCTTTGGGTCCCACGGGCTTGATCTATTTACCATTTAATTGTTTTTTCAAGATGATGCCTGGACCGAGAACACGATGAAGATAAACCTTCAATTAGAGAAACGTGGAGGCGGAGTAAACCGCGGGATCGATGGGCAAAATCGGTCCCTTGATTCATCCAACAGACTTAGTCCCGAAAGCTGACAGACCTCTGGACAAAGGGGTCATGAAACATAACTCCCAAAACGGGCGGGCAGATCTCGTCACATGGAACCGGCTCAGGGTGCCTGCTCAGGGTCGAGGCACGCAACGTGAGCCTTCCGATGCCGGCCACCGGAAACAGTCACGGGACGCAAGAGCAAATCTCACCGGCTAAAAGGGAGGTCGAAATCTTCAGATCCGATGCGAACGATTCCCTCCACCCATCGCCACCGGCCTGACCTGCCCCGGCAGCGAAATTAAGAGTCACTATCCAGCCAGACGACCACTATTCTTCCAAAGCCATCGAGCCCGGAAAGGACCCGCGACCGCCGGCGGGCGTGCAGAACCCGATCTGAATCCGAAGACGAGAGCTTCCGGGGACACGCCGCTCGGTCGCCGGGGGCGCGCGCCTTCGATCCTATCCGAACGTCCGAGCGCAGGAGCGGCCGGCCCGACGGCGTCACCGTGACGCCGTCTCAAGAGGCGCAGCTCATCTCGAGCGGGGCGTGGGGTCATTTGTTGTCGTCGGCCGAAAATGGGGTGTTGAGAAATTTGCGGGCGTTTTTCGGGCGATTTGTCGTGGCGCGAGATGACAGTCGGAGCGCGAGGGGCCCCGTCGTCGCGTGCTGGCGTGGGGGCCGTGGCTCGCTCGCTCGCAGGTCCGACCTCGATCTTGTCGTGCCGCTTCGTCTCGGCGTCGAGCTCGTCAGCTTGATCTGGGAATGCTGTTGTGGATGGCCGAATCGAATCTGCGCCGCTGGTCGGGCGCTCGACGAGCAGATGTATATTCTGCCGAAAGCCTCACTGAGAGCGGAGCCGAGCAGAGCAGAGCCGAACAGAACGAAGGCAAGTGGAGCGGAGCGGAATTGAGCTGATTGGGGTTTGGAAGCGGATTTGGTGTGGATTGCGTTTACGACATTTTTTGGAGGAGTGGAGGTGTGGAAAGTGGAAGATTGGAAGATTGGAAGAGGAGAGGGAGGATTTTTGCATGAGACGTTCTTTTGGGGCGGACGGTGGGAAATTTTGCGATGGCAACTGTGGCCAGTGTCGCCGAGCGACGAGCGATGCTCAAGTCTCTGGGCCCTCGGCCAGGACGAGATGCTGTTGAAAAAGCGCAGCAGGCGATCAGGAAGATTGATTTGCAAGTGGAAGAAAGTCTGGAGAATCTTTCCTACGCCACCGTGCCCGCGGGGATGAATGTCGAAGAATGGCGTGATGCTCAAGTGAGTGGCAGTATTTCTGTTTCTGTCGATCGATTGCCGTCGCCGCCCGATTTGACTCTCAGTGAGCTTTTATCGTCTCCTTGTTTGGTTCAGATCACTGGTTACTCTCCCGCTGAATGAGTTCGTTCTCTTTGACACAGTCGACGCACATGATCGAACCATCACTCGCGTCGAATTCATGTGTTGAGTTTTACCCCTCGTGCTCGTGCTCGTGCTCACCCGATTAGTGGCTACATGTCGAAGAGAATTCGAATTTAGCAGGAGTTTAGTCGTTCAATTGGTACTGCCAGTGTTTCTGAGTCGTCTTTAGGAGCAACTCTGTCAGTTGGATTGCACCAAAGCTAAACGACCGCGCTGTTGCGGAATTTAGGATTGCCCTAGAAGTTGTGGGCGGCATCGTTGTACCTGGGATTGCTCCGAGGTGTCCCTTCTCAAGCCGTCTCGTGCTTGTGGTCATGTTGCAGGAGAGTGAAACTCGTGAGACCGCCGAGAAGGAGAAAATGCCTTACAAGGCGGTTATCCAGCTCGACGAGGTACACCAAATGTATGAAGACGTGCTCAAGATGGAAGAGCTTTCTTTAGATGGTCGCTCTGAGACTGTCAGAGAGAAAGGAGTTGTCGAGTTGGACGAAGGAACCGAGGAGGATGTGGGTCGACTATTGCGAGATGCACTTGAGAACAATCGAACCGAATTGGACCTCAAGGGTCGTAGTATGGTGCATGTGCCGGAGTTTTTCGGTCGAATTAAAACTCTGAGGGTTCTGGACCTGTCTGGCAACCAGCTTGTGGTAAGCAGCGTTCCTTTGTTCGTCAAGAATGTATCTGTCTCCTCTGTTCAGCCAGAATTTTGTCTGACGGCTTTCCTCCATCCGCTGATTGTGCAGACGCTTCCGGATGCTATTGCCGGCTTGGAAAATTTGGAGGTGCTCAAGCTCCAAAGTAATCAGTTGAAGACTCTGCCCGATTCCTTAGGGCTTTTGACGAAGATCCAGCATCTGGACATATCCGCCAATCAGTTGAAGTTTTTGCCTGAAAGCATCGGGCGTTGCAGGTAATATCCCTGACCTCGTTTCTTCGATTGGGGTGCACAGTTGGCCCTCTCGTTGGTTCTTTAACTGGAGAATCTGATGGGAGCTGTGTGCCGTGTGCAGCTCATTGACGTTCCTGGACGCTAATTTCAATCAGCTTGAGTATATCCCAACCAGCTTCGGAGTCTTGTTGAATAAGCTGGAAACATTACACCTTCATTTGAACAGTCTTGGCGGGCTTCCCTCCTCAGTAGGCGAGCTGAGGGCTCTTAAATATCTGGATCTACATTTCAACAAACTCAGGAGCCTCCCATCCACAATAGGCAATTTACGGAAACTGGAATTTTTTGACTGTAGCTCCAACTTCAACGACTTGTGCTCTTTACCGGAGTCGATCGGGGATCTGATATCTCTCACCCACTTAAATCTGAGTTACAACCAAATCAAAGAGCTACCCGACTCCTTCGGGCGGCTGGAAAAGCTTGTTGATCTTAAAATCGATGGAAACCCTTTGATTGTGCCACCCATGTACGTGGTACAGCGGGGGACACAGGACGTGCTCGAGTTCATGCGTGAACAATTGAAAGCCCGAATTGAAGCTGCTGAACGAGCGACTGAAGCAGCAACCGCCGCAGAAGCCAGTGAAAATCAGAATGGTTGGGTTCCTGGCTGGGCATCCGCATCGTGGGTGGGCGAGTGGATCGGAAGCGTGTACACCAACGTCGGAGGTCTGTTGGGTGGTGCCAGTCCTCCGAATCAGTCTCATGTCGGTTTCCAACAGCATCGGAACGTGAGTCTGAGTAGGGAGGACTTCCTTGAGCAGCAGCTCTAGGTTTTTTGAGTGGTAGAAAAGGCGTTGGTTTTACGTTTTACTTATCAGCGTATTTGCGCCTGCAAGGTCTTCAAGTCCATTATTAGCAACACCTGTAGGCCTCTGGAACAGAGTCGTTTGATATCGACTTTATCTTACCAGCCGTTCGAGGTACTTGTATATCATCAACACCATGAGACAGAGGTGTAGGATACGAAGAGTTTGTGTATACAGAGTCTCTTTTTCACCTCAGAAGGTACAGCCGCAGCTGGGTCTCCAGACCGAACGAGTTTGAGATGAGTGTAGTGTAGAGCAATAATTATCTTGCCAAGAGAGGAAATTAATTGTACATACTGTGAGAAGGCCAAAGAATGATTATAGTAAAGTATATTTCAACATGTTTCTCCTTGCTTTACGGCATTGCTTTCATGACAAGTTGGGCCTCTGCACAGTCTAGGCAAAATGACTGCTGATTTCATGTTTTCTTTCAGTTGTCTATCACGAGACCTGCCTTCATACGAGCAGTACTTGAGTACTTACTTCAGAGGCATTAGAAATTATCGACCTTTTGAAGGTTAACGGACGTAGTACTTGTTTACTGTAACGAATGTCGGGGTTAAAGCAGATTGGAAACAATCATTGGAACGAAGCCTTCAATGGCACCCTGTTACGTATAGTCACGCATAACAGGTCTCAAGTCGTGATTCCATCTGACATCCGACGGCATGAATCAACTAAAGAAACTTGTTTGAATACCACACGCAGGCAGGAGAAGACATAGAAAGAAGCCGTACCCAGGTAGAGATGAAGTTTGTATCATAATATAGAACAAGATGAAAGATGTCGCGCCAATGTTTCATTATCACACAGGTGAGATTTTAACGTTGAATCTTGCTGAGTGAAATCGGCGGTAGGCTTGAAAGTTGAACCAAGAGTGGACAATTTTGGCAGTATACGTTCACTTTGTGTGGGTAAAGAGTTGATTAGAAGCGCAGAAATGCACCTGTTAGGAACTTCTGTAGCTTCGTTCTACTTGTGATGGTATTCCTTATTAACGTTTACTTCACAGCTTAACGAGGATACTATGTCTAGATATGTTCTAATGAACAAAACTTTGTTTGGAGTGGTCGTTGTCGTAGTCTCTTGTCCACAGTTCAGAAGATTCAGGTCTGTTCTTAGTATGATTCTTCCTGCAACTTCGAGCTTATCGAGCTTCGAGATGGAGTACTTTGGAGAAATGTAGGTCGTGGATCCTCCCGAAGGGGAATGTGATAGATGTGTACTTGGATACTAGCTACACAGTTTTAGTCTCCTTCGACTTATATGAGGCGATCATGATTGTAAGTTGGTGGATTTCCCTTGGCAATGGGACTTGAGTTATAACCCTACGTTCTGCGATCCGCTGATTCTGGGCAGGTTAACTGCAAAGCATAAAATTGAAACTTCTCCCTTCCAAATATACAGCGAAAAGTACTCAAACAAAAAATCTTCAACGTCGTAGTGTAGATGGTATCTGAAATTGATTTGTGTGTGAAACTCAAATGATGAAAATCAGCGTCAAATAACAATAGATTGTGCTAGATACGAAAACAAGAAAATAATCAAAACAACTCGAGCATGTCGGTTTAGAACCTAGGATTTGCTGCCAACTGGAAAGTCCTGAAGCTCGAACTAAATAAAAAAACAGCAACTATTGTTTGTCGTGAAAAAAAAAGTATGGGAGAAGAATTGAAGAGACGAGAGAAAATCTCAATGTAGAAAAAATTGACGTGCTTGTAAAGTTTCAGACTGGACATCACGTTGAACAGCTAAAGTTTGTAGTTGATTAGATTTATAATATCCAAGGCAGTTGGGAATCATAGAATTGACAGTTATGTGCCTCAGCAGCTTTCCGCACACAAGAGTTATATTCCCTAAGAATCAGATGTTCCTCAAAACTGTAAAATACACCTCTTTATGTTTTAGATTTCCAAATCCATACAGGAACAGAAAAGTGAGTTATATTGCCAATCTGGCTAAGAGACAAATTTATCTTACCAGAATTTTATTTTTGACAATATAATATAATTATGTCAATGTTAAATCATAATAATGATAATAATTTTAGAAGTTAATTAAAAACCTCTTGCTAAAGATAATTAAATAAACGTTGATCTATATTTAATGTGAGGTTCTAAGATCTAACTATATGCATCTAATGTTTATTTCAATTCATGCATTAAATAGCTTATATTTTTCTTCACAAATTATATACATAAGTTTTAGAAAGATGATATATTACTTTCTACTTTTTAGTATCTTTTAGTATTGTATATATTCTACAAGTCAAATCTCAGACTGAAAGGTGAAACATGACTGAAACGTGTAAACAGACATTCCTTCCGAATCATGGTGTCCTTTTCTTCCAGTGTTAGGATGTACAGAAACAAAGTTTGATATAGGTTTTATTTGTTTGCAAGTCATTGAGTACAAATTGGGGATGGTAATTTTTTCTTGCAGATGCACAGAATTTTTCAGTATGATTGACCTAGCATAGCAACGCACAACCTACATAAGTACAGCCATGGTACATCATGAAAGAGTCCAAAGTGACAAGATTGCCTAAGGACTCGATGGTCAGTCTACCAGACAAACTTCAGTATCTCGATATTCGATTCCCATGCGCAGATTCCTGCAGTGGAATGCTGTGCCAAACTTGGAGGTGGGCGAAGAAACAACAAAAGCTAATGGCCTGCTGAAAGAAAGCCCATGAACATGAAAGAAAACCTTCATCAGTACAGGACAGAGCAATACTATACTGTACTTAGTGTGTTGTGGAGGTAGGCAGGCAAGGAGGCAGAGCGGATGAATTCGACCCACGGAACGAAGGATTGAAGAATCAATTGTCGACTGAGGCCACGCCCACAGCTCAGCGGGCCAGAAAATTGCCTGCGGGAGTGAGAGCATTGCACCGACTGGAGAAAGAGAATCAGTCATGCCTGCCACTCCACTTCAAGCCTTCTCCATCGTGGCTGGATTCTCAGCTCTGTCTGCGTGGTACGGCTACATGTTTGGCAAGGAATCGGCACGCAAGGAGCTGGAGGAGAGGATCAACGAGTTAAGGGATCTGAACAACAGGTTGAAGAATGGCGTCGATGTCAAGTGATTGAGAGAGAGAAATAGAGGTAGAGAGATGTCTCGCAGTGGCTCAAGCAGGGTTACCATCAGCCGGTCAGCGAACCTAGGACCTCATCGCCTTCCAATGTCGACATCTACTCACGAGGAGGCAAGCCCTCGAAAAACAGCAGGCGCCGGTGATGAGAGCAGAGAAGGTTCTCAATCACTTGGGATACAGTCGAAGATTGGCCTGGTGCTGTGAAGCAACTTTGATCCTTGCATCTGTCTGCCCTTGGCTTGGATCGAGGGAGGACGTAATGCTCATAATCTGTAAGCTTCATAAATCGCTCTACATCGCTGCTGCTCATTCGATAGAAGCTTTTGTGATGATTTAGGGCTCGTGACCAGACCAGACTCATTGTCATCTTGTACAATTAACACTGAGGCAGCAATGTATTTCACTCTCCATCGAAAGCAGACATCTTCAGCGAATTGCATGGAATCGTCAGGCATCATGGTTTTGTAATTGTTGCTTCTGGAAACCGAAGGCAGGGAGTGCAGGCTTTTGATCTCCCATATGATCGTCCTCCATGTTACAGAGTAGTCACGTGAATGATGTATCGGTCACCGAGACACTCAACTCAGAAGTTTGTGTGTACTGGCAGATTGGACCTCGAGGATGAGTGTTGCTCTTCTGCGTAAATGATCGGAAATCTCTATTCCTCGGTTGAGCTGACAGGCGGTGAGTTGAGTAGGCAGTGGCGTCCTGTATTAGTTTAGCGACCTGAGGAGGTTTGATTCAACTCTTCGCTCTTTTGTGCAAGTTTGTTGTCCGTGGTTGCGTGGAGTTGTCCTTTAACTGAATAGAATGCACGGCATTCTAGTTTAAGAGCTTATTTCTCCTCTGAAGGTTTTAAAGCTCTGTTTCTCTATAACATGATGATGCATAACAGTGATGCGATGACTTGATGGACACAATGCTACGGAAGAATCTTGACCCAGAAAACTAGCATATGGATCTTGGGGATTCACTAGCGATCTCATTTTTTAAAGCGTATTAGAGGTTGACGTCGAAGCTGTAGATCGACATGTTTCGCAACTAAGCTGAGGCTAAAATTGAAATTCTCGAGGTTAGTACTTAGCTGCTTGATTATGCTTAACTAGATCCACACAGATGTGAAGTTGATATATTGTTGCATATTTCTTTCATATCATGATTGAAAACTTGAGAAATGAAAGTAAGGTACGAAAGTCTTCATTCATATATCTGTGCCTTTGTCTGTGAACTTGTGTTCACGTTATCACGTAGCCTTCACCAATCCAACAATACAAAGACACGATTACTGGATCCAATGTACGAGTACACTCTGAAGTCCCTAAGGGATCGACTTTGCGAATTCCATGATCTGAGGATATGGGCTTATTTACAATCTAGAAGAAAAACGATTAAGATAAAGAAATTAAACAAAACCATCAGTCACGTCAGGTGGGTATGTCTAACATGTGCGCTCCGACTCAATGTCTCTTCTCCGACGCCCTTAGCTAATTTGAGTACTCTACCTCACTCCTTACACACTTGTACGTAACAAATGATTCTGTAATTCAATGCGCCGGAAGGATTCTCTACCTTCGTCGCATGGAGCCTACAGGTGTAGTAAGTCTTCTTCAAATGATTCGGCTTCAGAGCTTTCTTCCGCAGGCAAGGTGTCTGACAGAGGAGATCGTGTCGCTGTATCAACCTCATTTCCCATCGCGATTTCACTTCCAAAGTGAGAGCTGCTGTCTTGGTCCATGAAGGATATATCCAGTGCGTAGATAAAGTCTCTCACCTGTGCAGTTGACTTCAATATTTTAGGATGTTATTGTAATACAACTTTATGCCAAAAGTTGGCTTTGAGACATAGAAAGTATGTCATGGAAACCATCAAAATTAGGATTGGGAAAACAACCACTATCAAGTAAACACGGTTTACAAACTTGAGTCTCTTGCATGCTTACATGTTTTACATAGAACAAACTAGGATGACACACATAAGAGTTATGTATCCGAAGTAGATATTGGGTGCAGTCTGCGGCAGTATTGAGTCTTGGAGTTACCTCAATCTCAGAATAGTCGGCACTGATGTCAGCAGTTTGGGATGACGGATTCAAAGCCTTTGCGTCTTCCAGTTCATGTTCCAAAACTGCAAAGAACATTTTGGGAAGTTCATGTTTCACATCAGATGTTTTTTGATTTTTGAGAAAGGATTCCTGTAAATCAACATCTGTTGTCTCTATTTGTAGAGAGCAGTGACAAAGGGATGTTGGGGCGGTATGTTCAAGGGTACAGTAAAGAAGTGTGTTTTCCGGTCACCTCACAAGTAACACAAACCATAATCTGCCAGATGAAACCGCAGTGTGAATACCACACTTCTGTACCTTGGTCCACGAGTTCACTCTCGCAGATATCGGGATAAACGCAGATTGCTGACGACCAATCATGACCAGTCTGACCTCCCTTGTGTTCTCTTTCGGCGTTCAGCTCAGACATTGATCTGCTTGGAATTCTCACCCTACGATTGAAATCTTGCCCGACTTGTGAAATTGGCATGATCTGTAAGAGAAGTAAACCTCCGCTGCAGCAAAGCGAATAATAGGGTAGACGGTCAGACACACTACATTTCAAGGAGTGACAGCTCAAGAAAAGCTTTTGCAATTACTATAACCAAATGCAGTCCGAGAATGACTCCAGTGTTGTTTCTAAGTATCGGAGTTTGGGTATCATATCATTGTATTGCATAGACTTATAGTATAAGGTGTATCACAAATCAACTGGAATTTGTGAATCAACTTGTCACTGAAAGATTAGTTAATGAAGAATGAAAATAAAATGGTGTAATCGTACAACTGAAAAGCATTAGGTTTGCCCAGTTGGATGTGAACCGATCCTTTCTAGCAGCGGGTTCCTTCCAGTGCAGAACATTTAAACATAGATAGATGTGTATAAAACAATTGACCGTTCTCGAAGTAATCTACATTTAGTGGAAATAATGAAGAAAGACAATGAGCGTAGGATCCAAAATACTCATAACAGCAGAGCATTACTAAATGCTTTGCTGAAAGCCTTAAGGAAATTAAAAAGAACAATCGGCCACTACGAGCATGGATATTGCACCCATTGTATATGAGAGCTTAGTCAGTGCTGAAATTGCACCGACGAAAAAGGTATTAAAGACTTATAGTACAAACTCATCCGGAACAAATATATATTTATTCTATAATCACATAGTTCATGCCAATTATGTAGTACTTATGTCCCGAAACTACTCCCGCATATCTCGAAACGATTGTTTTAACTTCTTGACATGAACCTTAGTAGAATCTAAATACTCATCACGGTGCCAAGGTATTTGAGAGCAGGTAGAATCACTCCTGGTCATGATATTCCACCTGATATGCAAATCATTGGTATGATGAATTCATCATTCGAAGGCTATAAGACTTGATGAACAATGTATCCTAGGAAGATCCTTGAAGACTGGAGGTAAGCGTTGTAGAATTGCAGCCTTCTCACATCACAATCGTTACTCACTTATCACATTGATAACGCCAGGTATATACCCCGAAGGGTGTTCGTACGTACCCTTTGTGTCCAGCTTGATAATCTTCATTCTCACCGTATCCGAATTGCTCGGTTGATTTGAATGTAGGTTTCTTCGCAAAGGGCTGAAGTTTGGGATAAACTTTCAACGCTTGAGATGCCTGTGTCATTTGATGAAATAAGGTGAGCTTTGGTCAACATGATAAGATATAGATCTTACTACATGTGTGATAGCATGACCCTCAAAATCTTGTTTAAATACAATACTCACTAATGTTACCCACTAATTGTAACAATTGGTTTTCCTATTTATTTGATTCTGTTGGGGGGATTATTTGGCATGTGTTGTTATAATGTTTGTAGCAATGTCTAGTCAAAAGTCTTCGCAACTCATTACCACCTACTTATGCTGCTAACGACCAGGAAGACTAATGAAAATAAGGTTTTCATTTTATCCATCAGTTGATTTTGTTTCAGCATGAATTCTTTTAGCACCGGCGTGGCAAGCAAAATACTAACCAAAGAATCAATATCCAATCTCAGGAGTCGTATATTGCTTCCGATCTTCTCAAGATTTTCCATTATGTGCTGAGGTTTTGCTTCTGATTCTGAGCCTTCGTAAAATTCAAGACACAATAAGGTAGTTAATTGCAGTACATAGTCATGAAATCAAATTTAAAGATTTCAGCGAGTCAATATTGGTTGGTTCAATGAATGGTCAGTTGAATAGATATATCCGTACATAAGATATTTCAAGCATGAAAATGAATTAATATTAGCTTATTGTTCCTAGGGTATTTCCGATATTGGAGCTTCATGATAAGTTGTATAAGTACCTGAAATACAACTCCAAATGATCTTCCGCCTCTGATCCCTCATTGTATGTCCTACTAGCTGCCACTGCTCATCAGAGATGATGTAGTGAACCTTCGGAGGGATCCCGCTACCTTCTGAATTTTCTTCATAATCAGCAAAAAAATCAAAACTCAGTACCTCATGCTCCTCGTTATTTTGCTCGTTGGAAAGGGTCATTGGGATGCATGTCGAAGAAGATGGAATATGAATATCATGAGGTGTGTTGATACTCTTATATTCTGAATTGATGGTTTCTGCATCTGTAATGTTCCACAGAGACAGGTTCTTTGACCTATGGTGATTCATTTCCTTCTCAGATATCCATGTTGAGGGCTCAAATACTGGTCCATTCACTATTTTCTGTGCCTGCATGAGACATGTTCTTCTGGCCGTGGGGAGTCCTCGAATCTGCTCTTGGTTACTCACTAACTGCTCCTGTTTCAACAATTGTTGCTCATACACCTCGGAGACTATCATCTGAGATCCGCCAGCTACCCTCATATGTAATTGACCAGACTGATGAGTAGCTGTATCCTGGTGCATCTCACCGATGGAAGGCAAATGCTCATAGCTGACCGTTTTACCTTTATTCTCTGCGACAAGAGTTTGTTTGAATTCTTCAAAATCTCGCAAGATGTCTCTCCCTTGATATGCAGCTCTGGACATCATTGCCGTGATATCTCTTTCTTCCCACCACGTAAGCAAATCAGACATTGCTCTTTCTTGAGAAAAGTAAGAACGTGGTAATTCCTCTTCGTTCGGTAAATTCCACGGTACGTTACTCACGGTCGATGGTTTCTGGCAGCCCATTAGTTCATTACTTGCGTCAACTACCTTCAGTCTTTTGGATTGCTGAAGACTCTCTACCAAAGGTCTTCGATTATGGCTCGACGAATCATCGCATGCCGATGGTTCTTCATACATCGCAAGAACTTGCTCAAGATTCTCAGCTGAAGGTCTATCTTGATGGATCGATGAAAAATCTGTTGCAATTCTTTGTTCCAGAAAACTGTTCTCTGCAGCTGCTCTAGGGTGACCAGACAGACTCCCTTCAAGCAACTCCGAATGGCTGTTAACATCATATACTGCAGATAAATATCCTTCAGAGGGCTGCGTGCCTCCCTCAATTAGTGGTTCCGGGTAGTAATATAATGGGCCAACTTGACTACCTTCAACTGTCATACAGGTGTTGTGAGCTTCTTGAGCACACTGCAGAGAGTCTTTACAAGTTTGCAGATCGGATTCGAATGAATCCCTGAGTCTTTCATTCATGTCTGATAAGGAAGATGTAGGTTCCTGTTGATTCAGGTTTAACAGCCATACGCGACGTTCCAGATTTCTCCATAACTTCAACGTCTCCTCACTTGGCTCCGAGGTCCTGATTAGAACGTTTAAATTAGTTCCTTTGCCGATAGACACTGCCAAAATGCTCAAATTTATTTCAGAATTTGGTCATCTAATACATTCTCATGAATTTCAGACAAACGCAGTGGGATTCACGTAAGTTCAACCTTACCTTGCCCCACCAATTGAACCGGAATGTACATCTGTTCCATGATCTCCGTATCTTCCAACAAGAGGCCGCTCGGTATCTCGAGTTTGCTTTTTGCAAAGGACGCTGTAACGATTCTTCACGGCGTTATCCGTTCTGCGGTTTAGTCCAAGCAAATATGAACTGCTATGAAGTATTTGATTCTGATTCGTCATCATGGTATCGAAGTAGCCGGACAGAAGAATCAGTACTCTTCGTCATTAGTTTCTACATCAATCAAGAGTAGGGGCAGAAATGATGCATTGAGTGATGGAATCATCGACAAGGTAAAATAGTACCCGAGATAACCTCATCTTTCCTAAAGAGAGATTTTATTGAGATCGATAGAAATTTTGTTCGATGCTAACCAGTGGCACTAGATTTCCACTGCGATTTCGTAGTCCGACGTGGATGCTCGACCGTAAATTTGGTCGACATTTACATCAGTTGATCAGATAAATGATAAGTTTACAGGTACAAGGCCCCAGGTGGTTGGAACTAACACTAAGCTAGGAACAAAATACAGAACATTAGAATAGCAACTCTAACTCGACAAAAGCTAAGGGAAACTCAAGTGTTTAGACTAGCCTTGATCATTAGTATGTACGCACGAGGCGCTTGGCTGGAACACTCGAGCAGGCTAAATCGTGATGACTTTTAGTCGGCAAATATGATGCGAAAAAAGACAGATTTGTAGCAGCTAAAACCATGATCGACTATAGAAGCTATTTACAGTGAGCTATTTTGATAAAGTGTATAAAAAGTCTTAAACAGCGAAAACTTAAACAACAGCGAGAATGAGAGCAATAAGGCCATACCTAACAGAGGATAAGAACCTGAAGGGACGAAATTATGAGCACTTGATATACTCAAGACACAGGACAATATTCGGATTTATTGTAGACTACCAGAACGTTTTCCTAGATTAGTGAAAGATCTTGCACGAGTCTACGAAGGAATCATTGAAAGGCTAAGCTGATTATAGTGATGACGAGATTTTTCGGTTAGAGAAGTTGCAAAATGTTGCCGCCTGGGCCATTACAATTTTTGAAGTATTAAGCATCGACACCCCTTTCAAGGCAGCTCAGTAGACAGAAACTGCAAAGATTCTGACTAGATGTGTGTGAATACACCACATCACAGTTACATATCCGAGTATGCTCCATACTTACTACAACATAAAACATAAATAAATAGAAGCTTTTCAAGCCTAAAACAGACGTCGGTTAGATTGCAAACGTTTACGTTTGCAATCTAACCGTCAGTTACGTCAGTTTTTCAGGGAACATGGTTTACCATGTAACCTTAAAAAACACTTTCGATCTACCTACAAGACAGGAAATGAGCAAGGGCTGGAAAGCAACAACATGTTTTGCTCATGAACGACTTGTCAGAACACCAATCCAGGATCAGTCTTACGTCGCAGAACCTGAGATTTTCTTTTTGTAAACGCGAAATGGCCATTGTTCAATCTTGACAGACGGCTGACCGATGAACAACATGATTTTCAAGCCGGTTTGATATACTATTCTAGATCTAGAATGTGAATACAGACTAAACTGAAGGAACTTATCGAATTAGGGATAGTATGTGACATGAAAAGGAAAATACAGTAAAATCATTAACACCTCTACTCATTTTTTTGCCAGAGGGCCATCATTGTTGCATCAAACCACCCACATTCGCGTCATATGAGAAGACGGTAAATGAAAATTGTTTCCTACAGTGAGGTGAGAGAATTTGTCCTTGCACATAAAATGTAAAATTCACAAATTGGAAAAGAAAGAACAAAACACACAGGAACCTTGTTCGAGATGAAGTGATGTTCGATCGTCAAGTCCGCCTCTTACAGGATCTTCACCTTTTAGATGTAGCCAGTTTTAACCCAAGCCTATCTTCAGAGTACGGTTATGGAAGCAACGAGCTTGAAGCAAAACCATGAAATTCGATGCCGCTGCGAACCGAGTTGCTTGAGGGCTTTACATTCGCATGATGTTGCAGAATTATAAAGAATGAAAAATCAGAAGAATTCCTATCATTAAAAAAGTTAAGTGACTTGAATATTTATTAGAATTTTAACTTAAGATAATAGTCTAATCAGATAGCCCACCATACGCGCTGTCGGAGTCGCCAAGAAATTATTCTCGGCTTGTGAGAGCAAGAGTGTGTATACAATCAGTCAATGTGACATGTAGACTGGTAGCTGGAATGATGCACCTATGAGAGGTGCCCCTACTTTTCCGAAAGGCTGATCAGGGCACGAAAGGGAGTTGCTCGTCCAGTTGTGAAGAAAGAAGAGAAAAAAAAAATAACGAAAGCATGTGACAACATGCTGCGATTAAGTTACCAAATTGCAATCCTTGGTAGCCAAGAGTGGAATTATACTTCTACAGACTGTCTCGCAGAAATACAGACGCCAAGCTTTCCCACAAGGTCAATTCTTAGTTATCCATCAAGCGAGCTAATAATTTGTCAGGTACCTTCGACTCGATCCATGTTGAACTTCCTATTCCATCGCTACAGGGCAGATACTTCTGATGATAAACTGGTTATAAGCGACACATTATAATTCCAAATTCCATTCTTGTTCACTCATAAGAGACGGACTCGAATATACCTGCCGGGCAGATTCTTGGCAATTTCTGTCCACCGGTTGCCAAACCTATCATGGTTCTGAAAACACAAAAAAAACGTCTAATCTGCATTAACACTTGAGTAAACACCTTGCTGACATCAGATAAAACAATACATTACGGAAAATCAAAGGCCATATGCGTATATATGATATTTTCACCTCCAGCAAAAGGTTGTCTTCCTCATCTGTCCATCCTCCACGTTTGCTCACGACGTTGAGAAACATATTCCATCTGTTACAGACCGTTGGGACAGAGGGTGTTTTTCTGTTAAACACACTTTCAGACCGAGATGTGTGTTTGATCAAGCCCTTTCCAAGCGTCAATTGCTTGACGAGAGGTGTTTCATACAGTCGTGGTAAATATAAACAGCCATGCTGAGGTTATGTTGAGGCTGATCTTATCCAAAATCAATGAAACTTTGAATATCTCACCGTACATTGCGCTCTAATCAAACGTTAAGTTTGATTAGTCACAATTACCATCAATTCAATTTTTGGATCGACATTTTTCATGAGACTTAATACAAATGGTAAAGGCTGAATGTATAGTTACTTTGTGTTTCATATTCTTATGAAAGATTCTATGACTGATGATCATGTCCAGAGTAAGGAAGTTAGCGACGATGAACTTTGTGTATTCATCTTTGGCCATCTCATAAAGCTTCTACAACTGTCAATAAATTTATCTGTGAAGCCGCAATCCGATGGAGATACCATGATCGGTAGGGAAAGGAAGGTCTCTACATGGGAAGAGATTAATCTTTGAACTTGTTCCAAGAAGAGAAAAATATTATGCATGGGGTTTCAGGTTTTGATTCATCGGTAACTACTCATGGAAGTACCAACGTATCTAGGATGGATACGCAACTCTGATCTACAACACGCTCAAGCAAAGGATGGGCAGCTGCAAGCTTCTCAAATCGAAGGAGAGCTGATCCCAATGGCATATCGATCTATCTGATGAATCAATTTACTTCGTTTGCAGATGCTCACTTGCGCTGCCGAAAAGGTTGCATTCTGCTTCTGCAACTTCATCTGTTTGTCGATTTTTGTCCTACCTGTGCAATTAGTAGTCCTATCTATCTACCTCTCCAAACACAATATCTTGAGTACCTATGATGGTGACAACATCTGCTAGCATGTTATGGTCGACCAGGGGTCTCCCACCTGGCCGCCAACTCAGAACCGTACGTGACAGTTTCCAAATAACCCACTAAACTTAAGTTCCTGCGTTGGAATCATTTTTCCAATCGCCTATAACCTGTGTGTTATGTGTCAATTCGCCTGCTCTGCTAATGAGGCCATCTCAACAGGGATATATTGCAGACTTGTGTGTTATTTATCCCAACTGAAGACGGTGGTGTGGATATCTGTCCTTCCTTGTGAAGGCTCCCACATCCTGCCAGGGGGCAAAACAATTAAAAAATATACTTTGTATATTTATAACTAGTATATGCATGAAACCATTTTAAATTTATAACTTAAAAAAATTTGCTGTATTTGCCGTATTATTTGTACCTTCTACATTGAGCTGTCTTCACGAACCATTTCGAGAAATTTCAAGAACACTTCTCGAACCATCCTAAAGTAAGAGGCAGCCTAGGATCCAAAGCTTCAATTATCTCGTATTGAGAGAAGTTAGTAGCAATCAGAGAGAAAGACAACGAAGACGACAATTTTGATTCCTCCTCCTAAGCAGATTATAGATGAGAGGAGGGTTGCTGTCTAGTTTCAAAAATCTCGAAAGTAGTGTCAGTAATGGGATTCAACACTTGAAACTAATGGTGGTGCATACTTTGCTTCATTTAATTGCAAATTCATGACATAATAAATTTCTGTTTCCATGGGATTTATGATCGAAAATCAATATTTTGGGGGTACCGAATGTAACTGAATTAGGCTGCATCCTGTTCTCTGATGGGCAGTGTTTACTCATGTGAAATGTGCAGTTCTTGGACCTTTTCGATTAAAGACCTTCGAAGGAGGACCGGATTATTGACAATGTATGTGCGAATGAATCTGTCGCCGCTGCTTGATGCGGAACGATTCAAGATCTGGGTTTGAGTGTAATAGGGATGCTGGATGCACCTCGTTGGAGAATACATTAATTTTGTCTATATAAACAGTATGAGCCTACATAAACCTAATTGGATTTGCAACAAAACGGACTTTCAAAGGAACGAGGGATTCTATTGTAGCTGAATGTAGCAGATATCAAATAAAAACTTGTACTCACCTGCGCCTGCATTGTCTGCTTGTTTTGCCAGGTAAACCTTCCGCGACTCTCGCCCACCTAGAGGATTCATCAATAACGAAATTACGTCAGGACACAACTTTGATTGACCAAAATATTTTAGTAAGAAAAGACCGATCAAGTATCTGAGTGGAACACAAAATGTATCATTTTCTTCCCGGCTAAACATGAGATAACAACTTTCAGAGAACTCAAATTTATTACCATAAATGGACAAGATGAGATGTTCATGCGTGTTTTTTCAAATTCTTGAACAATGATTACTATTGAGGAAAGCCAAAGTGCATACCTTTCAATGCCATATACTCTCACTTGCTCTCTCAGCAGCTCGTCCTCCTACATGATACGCGTCCTTGTTAGTCACAAACCAATTTTGGATAGTACTCAAAAGGTTGCGTAAGTCCTCAGTACGAACATGATATCTTTTTTGATAAAGATTGGCATGACACATCTACAACGGAGAAAGTTGAAAATAGGTTGACCATTATATTAACTTTCTAACATAATCTGCCCACACGCCTATTGGCTGGACAAGGTCTATTCAGTAGTGTAAAGAGAGACAATCGACGCCACCTTCAGTGCTTCCAGACGCTTCCATCCTTTGTTTTGGGGCCGAAGCATAATTAAAATCGACCGACCCGCGCCGACCAATTGAAAGATTGCATCTATGTGTCTATTGACCAAGATGGAATGCACATGGACGTAGCTGGAAAGCTAGCTACTTCTACAGGCATGGGTTAATTTCTAGAGCTAGAGAACATGGTTTTTGGCTATAGCCTTGCAGTATATTTTGTAGTGTGCATGTTATAATACTCTTTTTCTTCATTCCTACGGACTATGTATATAAACTTAAGATTCCCTAAAGTTTTTCTTAAAGCCAAAAATAACCCTAAACTTATGTGGATGACTTATTGGAGAAGAGGAGATGGCCTTTTTGGTGCAAATTAGAGTACAGAATTAAGCAATTGATAGTTGGTGATAAACACTTAAAACTGGACTGGATTTGAATCTGGATTAAATACATGATAGTAAATTATTACAGTAATTATGAAGCCCCCAATATCTTCTAAATATAGCAGCCAAAAGAACATATAACTATGTCCATATTATGAATATCAGTTTAACAAGGTTGAACTTGCAATGATCATATGGAGTCCAGACAAAGTACCCAAACTTGAACTAAACCCAAACGACCATTCTTTACATCCCGTAAAGAAAATAAGGTCTAATGAGGGGAAATTAATCTTATAATCATATATGACTGAAAACTTTCTTTTCCATTTAAGTTCAACAGCATACATACGAGGTCAGTTCGAAATTCTATTACAATTCTAGTCATCAGTCATCCTGACCTTATGGATTGAAGACACACTCAAATGCTTCGAAGGGACCTCGAAGAACTAAGGAATTGAGTAAGTAACTAACGCCTTTACATTATCAATAGATTGACTGCTTCCCTTGCACATTTCCATTTCTTGTTTGCTGAATTTCTGATCCTCTACCGCAAGAAATGCTCATTTCTTTGACGGACGAACGTATTCTCATCCTGGGATTTCTAACTGTTATAAGAGTTAGCCTTTTCTTCGGAAACCGATCTGTTGCATCAGGATTTAGCTCAAGTTCAGGAAAAATAAAATAAGCGGTAACTGTTCTCCCTGTCTACGTAACCTTGATTGATAAGTCAATTCTGTACTTACAAAAGTAGGGTCGGTATTTCGATCTCTTCACCTTTTGAGCGTTTAACGTCAATGTGAAGGAAGTACAAATGAAAGACTAAGAATTTCAAAGCCTCGTCGAATCCTGAGACAGTGCCCAGCAAATCTATTCTGTCTAATAATAAACTTGTATGTTTAATGATTCTCCACAGATATCTTCAGAATGACACGCTGTTTGGAAGAAGTAGAAGAACTATGCTTGGAGACTCACTTCATGCAGGGAGACTAGTTAATAAGTCGTTCCGAACGTTCCAAAACCATAATAACCACGAAGTACAATATATTTCAAAAGTCGGAATGATGTTTCGATTGTAAAATATTGTATAATGGTACATAATCGCTCAAAATCAGATGAAGCAACAATCGTACTTTTAACCAAATGTATGAAAGCAGTAGCCAAGCTGTAGATCCCGTGGTCTTAGGAAGGTTGACTTGTCACAAAGTATATTGAGATAGAGATATTTTACACTAGAGTATAAGAAAGTCCAACACGAAGATAAAATATGAGGCACATCACATAGCTGGGGATCCAACTGCAGCACTTTGCCAAAAATCCTCTAATAGCTTCTAGAGCCTGAATATTTTGGATCACCATACCAGGTAGCGAGATTAACATTTGGTCTCTTTGTAAGTAAGTCAACTTCGTTTACCATCTAAGCTTGGTAGCCCATATCAATGATCATTCAGCTGAACCTAGACAGTTGGTTCGCATTTTAGCTTTAGACTAACATTCCTCCATCTCACTCCATAATTAAAACTTGGAAGGATTGTGAGTTTGCTAAAATCCTCACTAACAGTGCTCGATCGTTTCCTCTTCAAAACTTACTAGAGATCTAAGAAATCGAATTTTGCAATTACCTCCTGACTCCACACGACCAGAGGGCGTCCGCGCCGAACTTCATTGTTGTCAAATCGACGAGCTCCAGATGGTTTCATGGTGAAACCTGCAAGTCCATACATTGAATTCCTTGTCTCTGAAAGTCTTGGAGGACAAACAATATATGCTTCCAATGAAATAAATGTCAATCGCTTAGAACCGGGTAGAGTTAGGAAAAGGGTTCATATACGAATCCAAAAAGAATTCGGGCCACACTCACGTGAGTTTTGTAGATTGTAACTTTATTCCCGATCACTCCTTCAGACCGAGAGACAAACACGAATCAGCTCCAATTCGTTCTTGAATGTGTGTTCAAACATGGAGAAAAATGATCAAAAATGTCCTCTTGAACTCTGACAAACTTTAGTGGTTGGATTGAACCATTCAGCATTCAAGTAACTTGGAAGATGGAGGGGATCTGTATGTTCAAGAATCTTGTCAAATGACTGCAATGAAAGTACGGCAGAGACAGGAGACTGTCGTCAAGAGTGTAAAATGGTGGTCAAAATGGGGTCTTAGAAGCACATGTGATTTACAAAACACCTCGTAAAATTACGTGCATGTCTGCATCAGTACATAGACAATTCCTCCTGTCGCCAGCAGGAATCTGAAGAACCTTCAGATTACAATTACAAGCTACACAGCGTTCTCAGGCAGAGAATAGAGAGGAATTCTCTGATCTTCTTGCTGCAGCCCGGGGAGCTTCTCACGACGATTCTGCGATTGTGTGACCTCCGTTTCCATTCAAAGAAAGAGTCTCCTGCACAAGAGCAGCGAAGGAGACACTGCTCCGCGCACAAGTTCAAACTGATTGCCAAGTGGAATTTGAATTGAACTGCTGTGGGTTTTTTTAAGTAAGATGATTTTGAATGTGCGAGTGCCTTCTTTAACATTATTGAGGATGATATTCAAATTGTTACGCCGGTATTTGAATGTGCGAGTGTCTTCTTTAACATTATTCAGGATGATATTCAAATTGTTACGCCGGTTTTTGAATGTGCGAGTGTCTTCTTTGACACTATTGAGGATGATATTCAAATTGTTACGCCGGTATTTGAATGTGCGAGTGTCTTCTCTAACATTATTCACGATGATATTCAAATTGTTACGCCAGCATTTGAATGTGCGAATGTCTTCTTTAACATTATTCAGTATGACTTTCAAATTGTTACGCCAGCATTTGACTGAGTCATAATCTCTTTTATCAACTATTAACTATAAAATCTTGCTATAAGTTTGTATTTATTCTAATGTCGTTTTTAATATTTTGAGTGATATTCTTAGTCAATTGTAAAAAAAAATCTACAGCAAAACTCCTAGATTTATTTGATATTACTCTGAAACCGTTATAACCTCCAGTTATAGTGTATCATTTTACCTATCAAATATTGGTGAAGTGTAAGAATTTATAACAATACAACTCAAATTTCAGAAAATATTAATAAACTGATAATTATCATCTCAAAAATTTAAAATCAAGATTATTTTAGCTCTAACTCAAATTATAGGTGCATATATTTTTGATTTCAAAGCTTGATATAGATAAAAAATAAGAGTCAAATCATGTACATATATAAGTGAATCGTAATTTCAAAATAATCATAATAAAGTACTTTTAATGTATGTATATAGAAAAACTTCAACTTGTAACGATACTTTTAAATATAGAAGCTTTAATGAGATAAAATAATTCAGTATGATTTCATTTAATATAGCAAAACATATCAAATTTAGTTAAATTTAGTCATATTGTTAGTCTACCTCTACTTCTATATAATACTGGTTGCAATCTTCACCAAGGCTAATATTTGATTAATAAAGCTATTAGTATGTTTTTATGACAGGGTTCTCAATTAAATAAAGCAACATGTTTGAAGAGGGATGATAAAAAAAGAGAAAGTCATGGAAGCACATTTTTTCTAGTTATTTTTGCAAAAAATTTTCATAAAAAAATTTCAAGATTGACTGAAGTCAAGATGTTTAGAAACTTTCCCAAGTAAGTTAGAATTTTTGAACATTTAAAATAATATTCAGATTGAAGATGATGAAAATGTAACTATGATGATGAATGGAAAAAACAGACTTGTTTTTATTTAAAAGATGAAGAACTTTTCAATAAACTTGAATAAAATATTGCTCAAGTGACGGAGCTGCAATCTTTGATGGGTAATAAGACGCTAAACCTAGTGAAGCTTTCAAGCAATCAACATTTGATTGATAGCAAATGTATATACACTGAAGATTAATCTAGCAATTGCTTGGAAGCTAATGTTCAGAGTCAAATTGATGTCAAGATGTTTCTTACCAGAGAAAATTTTGAACTGTAACAAATTTTGTTCACTTGTAGCAAAATAAGTTAAAATCAAATTGATATCTCCACTTTTTACAAGAATTAGTTTGGTTATGAATTAGATGTATGTACTTATTTTCAATAGAAGTTTGGAAACTTCTATTGAAAATAAGTAGTGGACTTTGAAAAGTAAAATAAAAGAAAGTTGATTGGTACTATATCATTATATGCATTGAAACAAATTCTTCTACAATATAGTGAAAAATTACATAAGGAATTTCACCAAAAATGTATGATACATATGTATATATGAAAAGTTGATATATAAAATCTTTGATCTTATTATATTGATACTCTATGTTAAAAATGTTTATTTTGGCAAAGAATCATAGATGCAAAAAACTAATTGAAATTTGTATTGAAGATGAAATTTTTGTATCAGCAACTACATTTCAAATGTAACAAAAATGCATTGAAAAGCTGGTAAATGGATTCTCATATATCTCAAGAGTACTATAATTTATGAAAAAAAAATTATTTTATTAGACAATGTCAAGTCTTTGCTATGATATGTTGATGCTAATAATGAAAAAATTAAATTAAAAATATATCTTCAATTATTTATGTATTTACACTTGATAGTGGATGCATTACTTGAAAACAACCTGTAAGATCTGTGTAGCTAAATATATAAATAAAGTTGAATATGTTGTGACAGTAAAATTAGCAAAAGAAACTATTTGTTTGAATAGATTTATCTTCAATATAAAAATAAAACATAAGGTTGTCAATCTTCTTGTCAGGAAACATCTTGCTGAAAATTCAATGATGTACAAGAAACTGAAACACATACTCATCAAATATCAAATTTTTGAAAGATATAACTTTCATGAAAAACTTGAGCTAATCAAGATTGACGATGAACTTAATTAAGTTAATATGTTAACCAAATTTTTTTATTTAGAATGTTCCAGTTATAGTACACTTTGCAAGTTTTACATAAAGTAGAGAAGTTTAGATTTTCTATACTTTTTTTACCACTTATTTATTTATTTATCATGTTTTGATTATAAATTAAGTCTTATTATTTCTAGTTTAAAGTATGGTATTCGTTAGATTTTTTCTAAATTTTACCGTAGATTGATACTTTAGATTCTGAAACTTACAATATTGAAGACATGATTTAAAACTGAGATTGTTAGAAATTTACTCAGATTTTATGAAAATTCAAGTTAGCTAGATTATGGTTTAAAAGTTAAGTTTAGGTACACCCTAAACAATTAAAATTAAATATGATTGAGACTAGATAAGAAAACTCACGAAAGTTTTCAATGCAGATAATTAAGGTTTTTACTTAGTGTTACCTAAGTTGTTCACTTGGAAACAGCTTGTAGTATGAAGCAAATATTTAACTTGTTTCAAGATTCTAGATTATTACCAAGCAATATTAAAAGTATCACTTACTGTATCCAACTTCTAACAAACTCTTTTTGCAAAACTAATCTTAAAATATGAAGATTCTCTTAAATCTAATTATCTTATTCATATGTCTATATTTTCATTTTCATGCTGAATGAAGAAACTTTTAGACATCATACTAGGATTTAAAACAACAAAACCAAGAAAAGCCACACTAGCTAGTTAGTTTGATCACGCAGCTATTTAGTAAAAGGTAAGCGGAAACGTTATCATAAAATGAATTATGGAGTCAATCATTACGTTAAATGAACTTGTACATAAAATTCTAGCCTCTAAAATTCCAAAAGACATTCTAAAAGTCAGGCTAAACATATTATATCATATCAATACATCCTAAATGATGAACAAAAGAATAAACTGTATGTGTTCATACACATTAAAAAATATCACTATCATTGAACTCCGTCACACAATCATCTTGAATGATACAATCATAATGTTTATATAGTTTTCATATTGCAAAAGAGAAGACATACACGCCAGACATGTCGTATAAGTAGAGTGTCTACGTTCTTTATAATACACTACGGCATTTATGACATTTCAATTTACAAATCACAATAATTATAAAATCACAAATGAATGATAATTATCAAGATAATTTTAATTTTTATCATTGACATTTGACATTCTAAAATAGAATGAGAGTGAAGAAATGTATCATAAATATCTAAACTATGCATAAATTTCGATACCACTCAAATTAGATAATCCAAAAAATATTGTATAAAATCTCACTTTTTTGACAAACTATAAATTGACTATTGAATAACTCTACCGTAGTTGAACTCGCGTCGCGTACTCCTCGGATTGTAGGTTAGCATTCGGAGGGATGCAAGGTTTACAATGGTCGCTTGACGTCGGAGTAGGTCGCGCGACCTTTCCCACAAAGGCGCAGGCCTTTCCGGGTGTTGGAATAAATCGTTCCCATCTTGCTTGTCAGTCTCAATGAATGATGCTTTTCGCTAAGCGCACACGAAATCGAGCCTGAAGACGAGAATTGGTCGCTAGGAATGGGAGGAATTCAGAAGGATGAGCCGCAAGGGGGCGCCGATCTCTTTCAGTTCTTGAATTCTATGCTGCAGGAAGTAAGTGTCTCTCGAGTTCCGGCTTGATTTATGTTCCGATCTTGAAATTTTTGCTAGTTTCTTCCAGTCGGTCGAAGACTTCGAGCGGAGAAGTTAGGAGAATAATGCATTCTACCCTGCTCAAGACGCAGTTCAAAATGCCTGTATCTTTAAAATGAATAGCTGAGGGATCTTCATCTTCTATTGGTCTTCATTCCTGTGTTATGGACCATTCAATTTTGTTCACAGTGTGACGTATTCATTCTCAATCCCTAGTACTTCTGCTTTTGGCGCAGTTTACGTAGGCACTGTGGATAGACTAAATTGTGGAAGCATTTCCGTACAATACAGACAATCCAGATTGACTGCAACTGGAAATTAGAGGTTTTTCTCCTCTCCTTCAGATTAACGCACTCACGGTTATGAGAGCATGTACAAGCTTTGTATGTCTTACCTCGGTAGTTGATGACATCTAGTTGAGCTTCAAACCGCAGCTGGAAAGTACCTGACATAAATTACACAGAAGGAAACTGCATGCCGTGATCTCGGTTTCGTGAGTTCACACTTTCAACGAGAGTGAAGTCTGTCGTTTGTAGTCCTTTATTGATGAGTTCGGTGATTTCGGAATGACATTACTGCAGTGGCGGATCTGTTGGTATGAGTTTCTCAAGTTAAGTAGATGCAAAGCTTGAAAATGGTAAACCGCAGAAGTATTAATATCATACGAGTTTCCAGACCGAAGGAGGGTCAAACAATTCAAGGAAATTACGTTCAAGCAGCTCATAACTCTACTTTCCTTTTGATAATGGAACTCAGCTTGCAACATGATTTCATCGTTGGTCGTGGTGGTCTGTAGGTGGAGGGTGAAAGTGGGATTCCAGATGTAGAATTGCGCTCTAAGATCGAGGCTTTGAGGACAGAAACTCAGAAGGTTCCTCAAGCATCGACGAGTGGCGTCAATGAGGTGCTCCCACCTTACGTAAACACCTGATTATCGATTTCATTGGTTTCAGTAAACTTTCAAAAGATACTGTTCTCTTTGTGCATCTGCTCTGCGTACATTGTCCGTCACGTGTAGAGCAAGTGGAAAATTTTGCCGTTGACAAAGGGTGCGTTACTGTGATCAGAGGGAAGTAAACAACAGTTTGGAGTTTGTATCAGCGAAATTGGCCAAAGTGAAAGCAATGCTGGAGAATGTGGAATCTGATCCAGATGTTAAAGCAATTCTTCAAGACAGTGCTGCCCTGTGGATGCCTGTTATCACCGCCAACGCTGACCAGCGTCGGGCTGCATCATCTACATCTCCTGGACATCAAACCCCACCAAGCACTAAGTAAATAGTTAAAAGGATCACTTATGATCTTCATTGTGCAAAGCGTCTGTTGTGGATAAACAGAGTACGTCTATTTATCATATGTACATGGCTTGTATGTAAGTATATTGTGTGCATATATCAAAATGTGCTACCCTTCATGAGGATGTGGAATTTGACACATGAAGCTTTCCGACTCCATCAATGGTATAAGAATTCGACCTGCTCATACGAGACTAAGTCCTTTTTCCGGATTACCGATTACTACCATAGACAGTCCCTTATAGGAACTTTTCATCACAACTCCAATATCGTGTAAGCACTTCGAAATATCATGAGATGCAAAGAAATCTCAGAGGCTTTTCACACAAAGCCGGCAAGGTTTATGGAGAGTAAACCAGTCGAACCAGAACAGTTTTCTGAAGGGTAGATGGAGGCGGCCGAAAAAAACTAAAGTTATTCGACAGCTTTCATGCCATACTCTTGCACGTGAGTTTCGCGAGTTTTGCTTGTGGCGCTTCCGAAATCGAAGTCACGCTGATTCGAGTGTTCACGAAGGGGGTGACTACACGTCTTCATAGCGTAGTTCAGGACTTTGTCACAAGGCATTTGTAGCGGCACGTGCCCAGGAGAGGGTTATGCCGAAATTGTTACATGAACAAGTCGTTCATGTCTGCGTTTAGCTCCGGCACACTTGCGTTTAAACTGCACGTTTGCTACTAGAGGTTTGTCGATATTGGGGACATTCGTGATTAAATGTGGAACAATTACCTTATTAAACTGTACGAGGGCAGGCAAGAAGAGATGTGCAGCGAAACAATTTTGACCCTCGCTTACATTGCTAAACCCAAGGGATGACCTCGTGGGAATCACATGCGTAACACTCGCATTTTCCAATATCACAAGCTCTACTTGGTAAACTTCAAAGAGATACCGTAGAACCAACCGGTAACATATAATAATCACGAGTGCACTCCCAATTAACGGTTTGCATGGCTCAAGTGCCTTTGTCAGTGAGCTCATTAGCATGAGAAGTTCACGCCTCCCAACGAATAGTTGATAATCTCCATGCCGAGCTCACCTACCGAATATATACATACACATACTCGTTCTCGGTAAATCTTCTCAGTGTCAAACGCTAACGACCTTCAAAGTTCCAAAAAAACAAATTCGTGCGTATAAATTGCTGTACATTGCGCTGAAATCTCCTCAAGAAACGTGGCTCAGCTCAGTCTCCAGCATGTCATAACTCTCGACACCGACTCAAGAGTTCCAAAGATCACTAGAGAACAAATTTCGCCCTTGAAGTCCAATTCCCTTCAAAGTTAATTAGTCCTCTTTCCTCTCTAGTACTAATTCGTGAAAAGTACATGTTTTGAAGTTTCCAAAACTTCCGAAGTGAGAACTGGTGCAGCGCTCGTAAACACGCTAGGCTGCCCCTCTCGTAATCATTGTTGGGTATAATCTGAATGAATCAATATGTGCAGAAAGTCGTATGGTCTGACGAGTTCGTCTGATTCTCTACATCATAGTTACTTGGATTATGTACTCATTCATACTACGCTCCAGAATTCCTGTGCCCAACTCCAGTATCTGTCCACTACAATGGACATATGACACCACACGGCTCACGGGTGCACAAAAAGCTAGAAAATAAGAAGAAACTGTCAAAAATTTTGAATCAGGATAAACCAGCTCCCCTACCTCGACTTCTTCACTGAGACGGATTGAGCTGCTTGTTTTGCCCTATCCTCAATGTATCCCCCGATCGGAGGGGTGAGAGAAGCAGGAATTCTACTTTTAGGAAAAGGAGTGAGATCTGGTACCATTGCGGCCTCTCTAAGGTGCGGAGGCAGAGCAGCCAGCGCTTCCTTCTTCAGCTGCAATCTGATCGATTCGCCCTTGGCTCTTTCTCTGTCTTCCTTCAACATAACCCGACTCTGTTCTTTCGCCAGCCTCTTACCTTCCTCGGCAGTCAGCAACATGGGAGTCTCAGCGGTGGGGGTATCGATCTCTGCGTCGCCCAGGTCAGTCTCCTCCACGGGCTTTGCTTTAGCAAGCTTCTTTGCGGCATTTTTGGCAGCCTTTCCTTTTGCCTTTTCCTGCTCAATTTCCCGTTCTCTCTCCTTGGTGATCACACCAAGCTTTTCCATTTCAGCTAAGCGAATCCTATCCTTCTCCTTCAACGCCCTGACCGGGGAAGGGGCGTTCAAGCAAGCGTCGATTAGGTCATTGAATCGCTCGCGGTGATCCTTCTTCGATTCCTTGCCATCGGTCTTCGCGGCCGATTTCGCCTTCGAGGCCTTGGCAGCATTGGGAGCCGCAGCCTTCTGCTCGGTGGGGGCAGCAAACCATCGCCGCTGCTGCGAACCCAACCATTCCCAGCGCTGGGGCACAATCCGCTCGGGAAATCCGATCAATCCACCTGCCTCGCGTTGGAGAACAGCGCTGGAGCTCCGCCAGCATCTGACGGCCACCTTAGACGCCATGAAATCCACCTGTGATCCACCGCGATCGGTTCTCGCGACAATTGAAACAACTTCCGGAGCCCTGTGAAGCTCGAGGCTTCAAGCTCTCCTCCCCCTCGACGGATCCATCGTCACTTCCTCCCCGTCTCTGTTTCGCCTCGTTGCTGCTCGGGGCTCTCGTCGCCCTTGACCTCGCTTTGATCTTTGTCGTTAGCCGGCATCCCTCAGCGTTAGGTCCTAAACCCCCTGGGCCTCCGCTCTACTGCCCTCCCCGCTTTCTACGCTCGAATCGCAGTCGCAATCCTCAAACTACGTCGTACATGGACTAAAGATGTTGGTAAACACATTACTGTACCGAGTTGCGGAGGAGTACCGCGTTAGAAGTGACGGAATGAGACTCAGCACGCTTTGAATGATTCCGCATCGTGTACAATAATTCGATGTCATGAAACTCCAAAGGAATCACTGAAGGAATCCCGGCAATATAGACAAAAATACTGGAATGTGGGATATATTGGGTAGATTCCATAATATGTAAGTTGAATGACGTATGAGAAGTTTTACATTTGTATTTGTAATGATTGGTGCCCTATATAGATTACTCCAATAATTTTTCTATGTATAGCTGTGGATATACATTGCACATATGATATCCAATATGCTAAAATAAATTATATTTCATATTTTTTACTATCATATGTTCAACGTCAGTGGCTTCAAACAATGTGAAAACAAACTTTCATAGTTATTTAAAACTACAAGACTATAAAGCAAGTTGATTATCATTATGCACATCCCAACACTTAGATACATCGGTTGTTTTTGCTCCACGTGTTATCTATCTTCATATAAATATAATTGTCTTCTAAGTTTATCCAACTTTTTCCGTCATAGTCACATCTCTAATGTTACAATAGTTAGTATTATGTATACATACTAATTTTAACTCACCACATTCACAATTGAGAAATAAAGATTGGATCTACGAATACAGGAAGTAATTAAAACAGTGATTGTTATCAAATGGAAATTTCTTCATAAATTTTTAATCAAGATCCATAAACTTTCTTCATTACATGAACAAGAAGGTAGACAAGCCATAAAAAGACAAGTATAGGTCAAATGTGTTCGAAAAAAGACTAGAGATTATACACATACATACAATAATTGTCTAGTAATACTAAACTAAACTTCTAGTATAATGTTGATCATAGTGAGGTTATAACCTCTAAAGCATTGTAGCTTGATTGAAACTCTAAAAATTGCATAACTTGAAGCTTCACTAAGATGTTTGGAATAAAGTATACTAACTAGTCTAACTTACTTGTTTAACTTACTTGTTGGGTTTTAGATTAGATTTGTTAATTCTATTCAATTTAACCATGATTATTACAAAATTTATTTGATTTGACTATATACAAGATCTAATCTTTGTTATACAATTAAAAACATTTTGAAAGATTGTTATGTGTATTTTGTGGATATAATATTATTTAAAAAATTAGGTAGAATGCATCTCTTATATCTTGGAAATGTTAAAATTTATTACTTCATTCACAATGCAAACACAAACAAGCTAAGTATATCATTGATCAAAGAATCATGTGATTCATCTTGTTAACAAAAAGTCTCCAGAAATATATAGTATTTATTGAAAAAACCTAAATAGTTGTGAGTAAGAGCTACAATCATCTATTTTGAATGATGATAGATTAACCTTAATCTTATTTATCACTGCAATACTAACATATGTTAACTATTAACAATTTGTTCCTTGATTAATGAAAAGAGGTCTATATTCTATGCAATAAATATGATTATTATACAATAAGTTCTAGAAGTCTACTTTGTATACTAGAACTAGCTAGATTTATATTAAATTTAAAAAATTGATAAAGTGAAAAAATCATATACATTAAAATATATATCTCAAATATTTCAAAATTATGAATCTTTGTTTGATGATTTATTAGATTATGTCAAATTTTTACTAACCTCTGTTGATATTTATTATGAACAATAAGATATTTATAACTTTATGTGTGTAATTATTCTTGATGATGAATACCCTAGTCAAATCTACTTTGCAAAAATACATAGCTCAATCCACAATTTTGGCGGCAATAAAATAGTCAAAAAATCATTCAATGTTATATACTTATGATTGAAAGTAGATTGGGTTTAAAAAACTCAAATTTTTTTATGATTGTCAAAATGCGATACATTTTACTGCAAATAAACTCATGAAGATCACAATGAGAGACAATAATATGAGATGTCATTTTCTTTGAGATGCAGTTTTTTTTAAGAAGGTTGAATTAATTAAAATTAATGATAAACTCAATTCATCTCATGCATTTATCAAAATTACTCCTTTGAAAAGTTATTGAAAAAAAATTGGGATTTTTCTGGTTTCAATATCAGGAGCAAAAATAATGTTTATTATGTGTATAATCAATCATGTTTTGGCATTTCTTAAATTAAATTAGCTCTAATTTAAAGAAGGGTTTATGCTATAAACTTTTTTCAAATTTTAATGGATTAATTATATGATTTATGGAGGTTGTAGTCTTGACAACATAAGTCAAGAAAGAGACTGAGAGTATTTCAATAAGATACTTAGATAAATCAGATTAATTTAACCTTAGTTAGTGAAGCTTGTTAAACATACTCTATATAAATGAACTCACAAAAGCTTTAAAAGAAATCATTTAAGAGTTTTTTTCAATGAAACTCTTGTTTTCATGTGGACTTAAACTCCAATGTTGAATCACGTACATATGCTATGTCAATGTATGAATCTATGATAAAATTTGGAAACCCATGTATGTAGATATCACGTTTGGTTATTGAAAAATAATAACAAATCTAAGAAACAAAATTATATGTTTTTCAATATGTTTTGAAAATCAATTTGAATCTTAAATAATATTATAATAAATATTATTACAAAATAAGATTATCCATTAAAATTGTATTTTATAAACAACATATAACTTAAATGAATTATTTTTAGTGCTAAGAGCTGATTATTATTTTTTATAGAGCTTTTTTGCATGAAGTAACAAGTATTTGCATCTAAATACTAGTTTGTTTACCATATAATGTGTTAAAGTATGCAATTTTTTGACAAAGTATTTTTTTAAATAGTTAGATTTAGCACATATTAATATAAACATTATTTTGATATTGAAACCTTCTTTTGAATTTGAATTAGATCTTTTATAATAAATTTTATTATATCTGATGGTTTTATAATCAATATTCAAATATTTATATCCCAATATTTCAAAAATACAACTTTTCAAACAAAAATTCAGTTCAATTATAAATAATGCATGGTTATCACATATAGATTTTACACATAATATAAACAGAAATGATAATAAAAATTATAAATATATAATTATTTATAAATTTTAATTATAAATATTTTAATTATTTAAAAATGCCAATATTTATCCTAAATATTTGTTTAAATATTAAACTACGTCAATTTTAAACATATCAATGGGAAATCAATCATTACTTAAAAATTAGAACTATAAGATTTTTTTAATAGATTTGGATGTAATTTTCTGATGCCTGAATATATATATTATTGTGCATAAATCTGATTTTCATATAGAATATTCAAACTTGCTTGTTTTCATATTTTTTTTAAATCTAAAAATTATTTTATCAAATCCATTTATGTTTCAAATATATTTAATTTTTTAGGAAAACAAATTAATTTTGTTGAGCAAAAAGATGCAATTATATGATCACCAATATATCTGTTTTGAATAAATTTATTAACAATTTGAAAAAATGTGAAAAAATATTTTTAAAAAAAATGTTAAAAAAATTTATGAGCTACTTTGCAAAGTCAATTATAGAAGATGTAAAAATTCAACCAACATTTGTTAATAAAGAGAAGATTTTTTTCACAAAACGTATTATAGGCAAAAAAAAATACACAAAAATTGAGCGTTTGAGTGATATACACTTTGGAAGTTACTAAACATTTATTGTACCGCAAGATCCCAAATTGAGATTTGCATTTTGTCATTGTTGAGCAGCATGTACTCTTCAATGTCTTTCGTCGTCATCAATACAGCATATTTGAAAAAAAAATATTTAATCAATTGTTTTTCATTTAATAAAATAAAATTTTATATTTAAGAAATTTTAAATATTTTCATATGAATTTTCATGTTATTAAGCATACTTTCATAAGATTTGTTTTGAACTTTGATTGAAAAAAAATAAAAAAATAAGATAAAATAAGTAAAAAGTATAACAAAAAATGAAATGATATATTAAAATATAATTTATCACATATTTTTTTGTGCAAATTTTTTTTGTTTTTAAATTTTTTTAGTATTAATATGTATATGCAAATCATGAATTAAAGTTATATTTTTTTTCAATTATAAATAATTATTTTATATTGATTTTTTATAATAAAAAAATATTTTAACGTTTAGTGCAAATGGCTAAAATAAATTTCTTTATTCTAATTCTTCTTTTAAATTCTAACCTGATTATTGCAAAAAATGAGCCAAAGTAACAAAAAAAAGATTGATTTTTTTATTTTAATATTAAAATAATAATTTTAATTTAATAATATTATGTTTTTATGATAAAAGATATTTTAAATATTTTTTTAAATAAAAATTTGAATAATCAGGATTGTTTTTTAGACTTTTTATCTAACCGCATTAAAAAAATGATTTGTCACATATATGTAGTTTGACAATAATAGCTTGGGAACTACAAGGTTATATTAAAATTCAAATAATGTTGAAAATGAGCTAAATCTTGTCATACAATATAGTGGATTGTAAACCTTAAACCTAATCCTAACTAAGGTTAAACTGATTTTTTTTATATAAAATAAAATTTAACAAATCAGTCTATAAGTTTGCAAAATTTTTAATATATTAATAATTTTTTAAAAATTTAAGAATGACATAAATTTTTTTTTCATCCAATTTGATTAAAAATTTGTAATTTAATAAAAGAAACCTTATATGTAATAGTGTCAAAAATCATATTAATTTTTTTAAATAAAAAAGTAATAAAAATCTTAAATATTTAATGATGAATATTAAATTCTATTTACATTTATTTATTTAGAATTATTTAAATATTTTTATATTCAATTTATTTATTGTATAACATTTATATGGTTTTAAATAATATTTTTGAAAAGAAAATTATTTAGAATGAAGATTTAGAATATTTTAAATATTTAGAATGAAGATATCACAAAAAATTATGTTTAAAGCTTAAAGTTAATTTGGCTAAATTTTGTTAGTGTCAACTCATTTTCAACTTATTTTTTTTTTCTAATTAAGGTTTGAAATGAGATTATTTGTTAACAATTATTCTAGAATTAGGGTTTGTAAGTACATAGGTTGTTACTCGTTGGCAGTGTATTCATATGCAACAAGTCTTCTCGTCACATGGTCATTTTTTATCAGTATATCTTTAGGTTTTGTGTTAGTGTGCATGTTTCTAGTTTCAACAAATGATATTATAGTTTTGCAATCGGTAGTTTGTTTTCGTAGCTTGTCGTTCACATCCACGCTTGGTCTCCTTGAAAGTAGAGCAGAGATCTTTGAAGTTGTTGTGTGACTGAGTCAGGCGTCTTGAAACTCAATTTGCTTGCATACTATTTTGGTAACTTCGTGGATTAATATCTCGGTTTCAATCTAGTTTGAACACATATGATATTTGATACAAGATTAATTTTTTATATTTGTTTTGAAAAGCTTTAGTTTTATTTTGATAAGACTATTATGATATAATTATCATACACAATCTATCAATTCATAATCAATTTTACAATATTATATAATGTGATGTAAAATGAATTTGTTTTAATAATATATCATATGTGATAAAATTAGAGAAAATTTCATGAATTGATTAAATTAAAAATAAATAAATAAAGTTGATAAAAAAATGTTGTAAGATGAAAATTCATTGTATAAGTGAGTTTTTTCTCAATAAAATATTTTATTATATAGTTTTTTCATTCGTTAATTATATTTTAATTCAAATGATCAACAATTTTGTGAATTAATTTTTTCAAATTTTAGAAATTATTTTTATGATTAATTTGATTTATTAAAATAGAATTAAAATATAATTCTGTTAATTTTTAAATATATGTATATTCAAAGCGTATATATGTTAAAATTTGGATTTGAATTTTATGATCTAGAACATGTAACATATAATAATATATCGTACTTTCCACAGTTCTTGTTATTTTTATTTTTTTAACCTTACACTTAATATGGTATATATTTGTGCATTGTGGGTTTAAATTTTCAGATTTTAATTTATATTAATCATTATTTTGTTAACTTTTCCACCATATAGTTGATTTTTCATCCACTTCAAAATATATAGGTATATTTTTTTGTAAAATAATTGAACTGTAATAAGCATAAAAGAAATGAAAGAGTACTGATTTTAAAGCAAAGAGACTCTGAAAATCAGTCTGATGAAAAAAAAGTCAGATGTTTCAAATTTTTGCTCTAAAATATTTACTATCATTTCATATGAGAGGAATAGAGAAGATGGAAAATAAATAATCGCAAAAAAAATAAAAAAATCTGATAATCGAATGGAAAACAAAAACATTTTCAATTCAATTCATTTCAAACTCTTTTGAATTAGATAGAAGGAAAACAAAATAACAGGATGTAGACATTATCAAGGTTAAAAAAAAGCATTTGATAAGATGCAAAATAGAGGAAATTTAAAAATTTAAAAATATTATGCTTAAAACTGATAGAAATATAGAAATAATATTATTTTTATTATTATTTAAATTTAAAATTACATTGCCCACCCCAATGTGAAAATGAAATTTTTTTATTCTTAATTGAAACAATTTTTTGATTTTCATTGTCAATTTCGAATGTTTTGCACATGAAAAAAGTCTCTAAAATTGCATTTGGACAAACTTATGCCAAAAAAATGCTTACAAAGTTGGACTTCTTTTATTTTATCTAAGATTGTTGTCCAAAGAGTTTCATAATATCATTAACATTGATGTTGCAATTATTGTGATGGTGATCATAAGGATTAAAATTGTTACTATTTTCTTCATATGCATACTTTAAAGATTTATTTTTTATATCCAAGCGGCCTCTATTTATCTTCAATGACTCATGGAGACTATCCGTTCATAGCATAGCAAATAATCTGATTGAACATATTATGCTCAATGAATGATAACTGTGTGCATGCAACCATATATAAAGCAAAAAACTAGAAGTGTAGTTGACATCATAAGCTTTGAACTTATTTTTACCCAGAAAACATTACTTTTAAGAATTATATGATGACAGGGAAACAGTCTGAACTAGGACTATTAGATTTTTATTTTTTTAGTGTGATTATGGTGAATAAAGGCTAATGTTTTATTTTAGTTTTTGAAACACAATTTTAGTTGCAATATAATGTTTCATGTATGTTATAACAATAGCTGGAGTAAAATTTTTGTTGAGGATAACTCCTACAGCATTGTGGTGATGTATGACTATCTATAAAATATGATATGATATTTGATGTGTCATTTGTCTACATGACTTTAACATTCTAGAAACATGGAGATCTCAATATACACTGATAACGATATATATGGCCAAGAATTCATGTCAATTCTTAAAATAGTTACACCTAAGTTTGACGAGAGTGTACACGTTAGATAACAAATGGGATGGGAAAATCCCATCAAGATTTCCAAAGATGAAATCAAACATGCAACAGGGGACAAGCATCAGAGCAATAATTCTCTCATACCATATAGTTCAAATAGTCTAGGAAGAATAGGGCATTACTAAAGTGACTGCTCTCTTATCTATCCCGTAAGCAAGTGTTCTCCTTAAAATAATGAATACACACGATTATAACTATAAGTAGGACTTGCGACTTTGATAACACAGTCTCAATTCAATGAACCTAAAGAAGTGAAACGGAGTAGAAGGAATTATACACTAAATAACCAGGTGAGTGTAATGTAACATTGTTGTGGATGGTGCTCACCTTGTAATTATTACACAATTCTCTTCTTTCATTCTCGAACCATGACACTCGTCAAAGCCAAGGTTGTTGGTGACTACTCGTGAATAACGACACTGCCTCACGGACGGGAGCTTTTGCCGCCAACGGGACAGTGAAAGCGTAAACTAAAAGTGGGGCCCATGTATTTTGTACAAGTTACCTCGTGAGATCAAGTACTGTTTCGAGTCAAGGCTGTTACTTAGACTAAGGAATGTATAATCATTACCAACTGCGAACTGATTACTTTCCCCAATCCTCGTGACCTGCCTGTGTACTCTTAGCCTGAGCCCAAGCTTTTCGATACGGTCAATTTTGTTGTGCTGCTTCCTGGTAAAAATGGAGCGGCACTTCAGAAGACGGCCGTCCCAGTCTTCTAAAAATAAATTCGAGACTTGTTAAGTTTCGACATGGTGACATTATAACCGGCCGATGTGAACCGTTTCACCATTTCGAGTACAACATCCATCGTTCTCGAGTGTGTCTTCATGAATTCTGTTCCTTCTCTAGAGATTTACACACAAGTCAAACTTTACCTGTAAGCAATCATAACATGCCTTTGTGGTCAAAACTTGTGAGATCTGGAATATCGGTTCACATGGCAGATCTAAAGGACAATTAAAGGAGAGAGAGAGAGAGATAAGTCGTCGCCTTGTGAAACTTATGTAATGACCATCAATGATCTTAGTGCTTAGATTCGCACGTCAAGGCGTAATTTAAGTATGGGTCCCATAATAGAGATCTGCATGGACATATCATTATTCAGGAGCTATGGGCAACTTCAAGGTTATCTCGGCATTGGTCGTGTGTTAAACTATGCTAGTCCCCCCAACAAAAGGAAGGAGACTGTGTTGTAAGTTGCAACTGTGACGGTATCCTTCGGTTGGGTCATCCCCTCGCATGCACAAATCAAACGTGTATGTACATACAGACAGTATTACTTGACAGTATTAAAACACCGCAATAATACATGGTCCTTGGCCTGTCTGTCTGTTTCTTTGGTTCCTTGTATTCCCAAGGTGTAGACAGGTTTCCATCTTCTTGTATGTCGCTAGGAATGGGCAAACATTTAGAGGGTTCACTGTGAAGTGAAATAATATCTCAAGAGTCTATGAGCCGAATCTGAAACATTACAGTTGTGACTAATTCGAAATTGATCTTCACCACATTAGCGGGCATAACTATGTGCATGCTACTTTATTTATTTGAAAATATCATGCGAATATATCTTTGATTTAAAAATCTACATGCTTTTAGGAAAACCCAACCATTTTAGCAAGGACTTCGCGAGGTATCCACGCTACTTCACATATGCTACAATGTGGTTGCGATTGCCAGAACAGGGCAAATAGCACAAGGCTTTACATTGTAACAAGACATCTAATTCAAGTGTGCAAAACTCTTCAGGTGTACACACTCGTTGATGTAAAAGTTCAGATAAGCTAATATACAAGTGAAACATATGTAGATGAATATTGTACAAATTCATCTTATAAAAATGAGACCGGAAGTGCTAAACCTGAAGTTCCTCTCATATAGCTCATACGAGATCATCTTTCAAGTGATGATGATAAATTTCGCGCTCTGAGCTAGGAGAAATTCTTTTTGGCCTCATCGTTAAAATTTGTGTTATCAAGCACGTTGATTCTAGCTTATTCAAAATAAAATAAGATGATGGTGAAGCTTTATATGATGAATTATATCTGCCCATTTTTGTCTGTACTTTAGATTTACAAAAACCTGGAATATCATTTTCCACCAATAATGGCCAGAAATATTAAGGACGATTCTTGAGTCAACATGGCCTCTAGGCGGAGCAGCAGATGCCATGTGTCAGTCAGTATCTTGTGGCTATTAAGATGCTAAAAGAATCTCAACAAACATGGAAGGTACAGGTCCCAGTCTTGACCAGGTTGATGGAAATACTCCAATATAATAATACTGCAAAGCAGAGGCACATGGATTTCAGCTCAGACGAACTAGGTGAAGTAGGGACATAGAAAATCTATCCAGGCTTCCAGATGCGGCTTAAAACACCTCACAAAAGCACCCACATAGAAAAGGCTTAACAATTAGAGAGCAGACAGGCATCATCCGTAGGGAACGACCAAAAAGTGGGTCTGGCCGGGTCTTCCTGATGTTGACAGAAGGGAGAGAGATCCTCTTCTACAGTACGACGGACGGTACGGTGATGAAGGCCGGGGGTGGACTCACATGCTCCCGTCTAGCTCCCGCCGACAATTCGAGGATGATTTCTGACCGTTTGTGAGCCGTATCATGGGCACGTGTGGGGCTCGTCCCGGCGTGAAAGGGACAGTGCTTCACAGAAGACTCTTCTCGGATAATCCCGTGTCAGAAATATTCCTCCGACCGGCATCGTGTTCCTCGGGCTCTGCCCGCCGGGAAACCTCGAGCTCAGGCTGCCGGGGCGGACGTCGACGGGAATGGGCGAGAAGACGGCAGCGATAAGCCCTAAATACAGCCCCGTAGCGGCGGCAGCCTGGAAGGAAGGGATGAGGACACTTGTCGCCCGGGCTCGACGAATCGGGACGTTTTGCACATCCGCGTATGGCCCGTCGTGAAGACTCGTGACGATTTCTGTCACCTCCAGAGAAATCGTCGTGCCCTCCATTGTTGTTTTGCCTTCGCAGGTATGTCTAGAAAAAGGCTGGACAACATCAGCACGAGGTTTGTTTGGAGCCGATAACCTATTCGGCAAGATTAGCCCTCAAGGATCACTCCGGACCGAGCTCATTTCTTCGGGTCAAAATTTCGTTACATTCGCCTGTCACACAATTTATACATACATGCTCACCTGTAATAGGAATTCATTCATATGCTCGGAACACCGTCGGAAGAACCAATTCCTGCCCACAAACTTTGAACGATACAATGAACATGAGGAATCGTATTGAGGACTTGATTTCCCCTTTGGTATGGGCGAAAACAGCTGCAAAGAAGAGAAGCCAAGCTGTTGCAAGAACATTTCCTTCGTGGAGAGATGAGAATTGGATTGCAAGAAATCGAATCAAAAGGATTACTGACGGGTCTCCTAATGAGGCCAAGTATAGCCTCGCCAATGCATATCGACGAGGTCCTTCGAGAAAATGTCTTCCTCGAGGAATGCCATCCGAGGTATTAAACCCCCGCCATCGGAGCTCGCCGGTAAAGAAACGAAGAAGAGAGCGCATATTCTGTGACAAGAAGGGCGGCCCATGATGAGTCTACAAGCCATCCACAGGCCAGGCGGATGGAAAGAAGTGCGAAGAAGAACTATTTCCGGAGGCGAGCGATTGCCCGAAGAAAAGCTTCCATTCCGGGGATTTCCGGAAGAAAGGAGGAAGGTCCACAGATATTTTAAGACGAGGCTCGAACGCATTCTCGAAGCAGGTCTTCCGCCATGCTGCTAACGAACGCCCAGAGATGCGTCGAGAACCGTACCGGGTGAGGAACATTCCGGAGTCAGTCGGGGCAGGGCAGGGCAGGGCAGGCCCAGGGAGTTGCCCGACGACAGAGGGCTCAACGGCAGAGTGCGGCGGACGGTGGGAGGGACCACTGCCGGCGACTGACCTGTCTTCGCCTGGTCAGCGTCTGGACGAGAGGCGCGGAGCAGCGCTCCTCTACCGTTGTAGTAGTGCTGCTAGTGGCGGCAGCGGTAGCGGTACCTGGAGCGTCTGCCTGCCCTGCCCCCTGCCCCCTGCCCGCCAGCCCCCCAGCCTGCCTGGCAGCCAGTTGATGAAGCGCACAGTGGCGATGTTGTTCCACAGTGACGCCGGGGGCTTTTTCCTCCTCCCTGCCCTGCCCTTTCTGGGCTGCCCTCCCCTCGCCTCTCCGTGCCTGGGCTCGGTGTCCGAGCAAGCGCGAGCAATGGGCCCCAAGACACGCGTGCTGCAGAGCCCGCCGCTGCTTCCGCTTCGTTTCTTCTCTACGAGCGACACGAGACGCAGAGCAGCAGCGAGAGCGAGAGAAATTCGTTGAGCCCGAGAGAGGATCTGAGAGGAGAGGAGAGGAGACGATAGGAGGAGAGGGGCGAGTGGAGTGGAGAGGTGTGGAGTGTGGGGAGGGGTGGGACGGGAGCAGAGCAGAGCAGGGGAGGGGAGTGAAGGAAGGCAAGAATCGGTTGAGCGGAGGCGGAGAAGAAAAGAAAGAAAACGATAGAGACGTCGCGAGCCAACGATACTGGTGTTTTCGAATCGTGGATTGAATGCGCAGATCGTACTGGGATCTTACAGCTTCGTAGCGTAGGACTTGACCGCTGCCGCTGCTATAAGAAGGAAGGCCGGACATTTGTCGAGCTCATTAGATATATATGTTGAGGACAGGAGGTTGAGAGGATCCTGCCATAGTCGACCGGGTCGATCGCCTTGCTTAGTCCTTTCGTGTTGTTACTTCACGCGAGAGAGAGAGGGAGAGGGAGCAGCTTGGAGGAGTATTTGAGCGGTCGCTGGAGCTTCGATTGTTTAGGGAGGAGGGAAGATGGAAAGACTTAGTAGATCGCAGAAATGGATTTGTGGTATCGTTCTCACGTTGGGGATTATTTCAGCCGTACTCGGGTTTGTTGCGGAGTCGAAGAGGATCAAGGTCAGAGTTAACCCGTTCATCCTGTGCAGGGTCTGTGTGCATTTCTAAGAAAAAAAAAGAAAAAAAGGAATCTTTGCTCTATTTTCTGTAACTTCCTACAAGATGGCATTTTTTCAAGCTCTTTTATCGTGGGATACGGCCGGTTTTCAAAATGTGCTGTTTGATCTGAACTTCATACAAGTCAGGTTATGATTCTCATTACATCGTCGTTTGGGAACCGAGGTGGAAGGCAAGTTCTTGTCTGGAATATTCATTAATGTGATCGCAAAAGGGAGCACTGATGTTATAGAGGTTAGGTTGTAGGTAGACTTCTAGTGGCAAGATAGAGGGAGAACCCAGCGTCGAAGTCCACGTTCGGTGTTGTTTTTGGACCATCCCTCTGAAAGTTGACTTTCTTTAATAGCACTTTGCGCGAGTGCGGATGAAAGTCGGTCTTCTTGTTTAGATGCCGCCCAGCTTGACATGATACACTGATAGAAGGCCGATAGATGATTGAAGTGTCATAAATAGCCTTTGCGTTGCTGATCGGAAGTCTGTTCATCTGGACTGTCGGAGAATACCTGATTTATTTCGAGTTTGCCGAAGTATTTGTAGTGAACTTCAATTTTCCCTCATGAGGAATGTTTACGGTGGAACTCCTTGCCCTATCGTGTTCGTTGTAAGGTCTAGTTAGCTGCACTGTAGGTTTAGCGGCAAAGCCATGTCATCGTTCAAGAAGTTTGCAAAGCTTGATCAGAGTGTTTTTCGAGTTCGCAAAACCTGAGGAAGTTGCTTGTCATTGTTTGGAGCTGACGGGCGACATTTCATGTGAGGAAGACATTGGCCTTCGTAAGGAATCCATGTGAATATAGACACGGAGAAGTCATAAGCATGTCAGCGCATAAGTCTCTTTATGATGGGTTGTATAATTACTTGCACTTTCGTCGTCTTTTCTCATTTGGAGGTACTTTCGATGCAAGGAGTAGGATCGTCGTTTTTGGGGACTTTCCATGCCTTTTACATCCCTTTTCAGACAGGCATTATCATTGGTTTACACTTTGAAGTCGGACTCACCTTTTTAAATTGGTTAAATGCCGCAAGTGCAAAATCTTCTACCCCTCTCATTCGTCTTCCATTTTTTGCACTGACGGTACTTTATTATACACTTGCAGAGTACAGAGATTCATGTTGTCGAAGGAGAGTGCAAATATCCTACAAGCTCGGCCCTCATCCTTGGAGTAGTCGCTGCTCTGGTGCTGTTAATTGCACAGATAATCATAAATGTTGTTGGTGGCTGCATCTGCTGTACGCCCGGTCCACCAGGACCACCTAATGCTCCATCAGCGTCGAACAGATCAATTGCAGTCATCTGCCTCGTAGCTTGTTGGTAAGGATATAACTGTTTGGTGAGGATACCGTTCTGTGTTCGGAGGTGGTTTGATTACTATCTGTGGTGTCTACAATTTACAGTCAAGGAGAGAAGGAAAAGCGTCTGCCATAATTATCTATTACCAAAGTTAGGAGACTAACTGAAATTGTCTTTACATGTCAGCGCTGGAAATCTTCTGAATGTTTGGCCTGTCGAGGTGTGAGGAGTATTAAGTCATCTGTGGCTTTTCGCAGGATAACTTTTTTGAATGCGTTTGCGCTACTAATGGCGGGGGCGAGTCTTAACAACCAAAGACAGGAGTACATGTGGTTTGGTAGCGAGTGCAATGTTGTGAAACCTTTGGTGTTTGCTGGGGGTGCTTTGCTTGCTCTAGCGACAGTGGTTCTGGGTTTGATATTTTACCTGGCATCCTCTGCGGCCAAGGCTGCTGCTAACGCAGCTCGATTACCACCTGGTATTGCTCTAGGCCAACCTGCTTATGGGCCATATCCTCAGCCTTACGGCCCTAACAGTGCCCAGCCGATGCAGTATACTACCTATCCCCTGTACGGACCTCCAGGAACCCAGTACACGATCCACAGCGTTGGCCCTCCACTGCCTCCATTACCTGAGTATGTCCACCAGAACTACCCTCATGTAGTTACTGGTTATCCCAAACAGGACCACCCTCCTCAAGGCAGTTCCCAGTAGGACCTCTGTTCACGCCAGTGATGATACTGGGCTGACATTTCAATCTGTGTAACAGTAACAGCGTCCAGCAGTGTCAAAGAAAACACGATGAGTGTAAGGGAGCTCTTTGTTAGAATAACCCTTTCTGATCTATCGAGTGATCTGAATATCGTCTGCCGTGAGTCTCTCCTTATCGCAGTAATTGATTAAACCGGTGTGTCCAATGTGGACGACTACAGCAGTTTTGGATTCCTACTTCATACGAAGGGCATTGTCATGAGCCCGTGATGGCCAGGATGTCCATTGCTCACTCAATTTTGGTTGCCTAAAGCACGGTGGAATCTTGTTTCATGTCGGTTGTGCTTGAGGAGCAAAGTGGGAACGGTTGTAAAGGTAAACATTAGATAATATAGCTCATTGATCCTCTACGTGGAGGGGGACATGTTGGAAGTTGTACAGTTGACGCTGGACTCTGGACCGTCAAGAGTGGAGCATTGATCTCTGCAATGTGAAGTCGGGCTTTTAGATTCCACTTTTGGACCTGCATCTCTCTCAATAGATTAGCGTAGGACCCCAAGGAATAGAGTTATAACATTGGACTATCTGCTGGCGGTCATTTCAGCCCGTGCGGATGCTGGGCTTCGAAGTGACCACCGTCCAGTGAGAATGTCTTCATGTGCTCACAAATAGAGCATGCTGGTTTTCCTCTGTTATAAAGACACAGTGTTCATTAAAGTTGTCTCTTGCCTGACTGCCAGCGCCAGATATCCAGGGATTCCTGCACGTTGGACCTCTACTCGCAAATAATAGAGCGGTTGTTTCCGACACGGAATGTACGCTGAATTTTACATGGTTTTGGTTTTTTTTCGGCCAGATCCGTGCTTCAGCTGCAATAGTCGTGATTGTTTTGCCTGTTGTTTACATGCCTGTTTTACAATGATGTCCATATCCAGAATGTCTTGTTGCCACCTGGCCACATCTTATGTGTACTTCTCGCACTACTTGGAAGGCGTGAGGAACAACGGTGGGTTTAATTTCTTCTGAGTACCTTTAGGGCTCTGTTTGCCAGAGTCGTGATACACGCCCGAATGGAAATATGATTGTGGAAAGGTCCCTCTGTCGAGCGAGACGTCATCCTTACGTGGAAGTAACGTGAATGATTATTGTTCAACAATAGGATGCCCATGCGAACTCGGCAGGCAGATCACTCAAATGGCGTCACTGGCTGCAGCGGATGGGATGGTCAAACTTCCCTAGCCCCAAAAGTTGTGTTCCACTTTATTGACCGAATCATCACATACAGCGCTCGCATCTTCTCATCACAGGGTACGTACAGTCTCGCTGGTGTGGAAACCACGAGCGGCAAAAGGCAGTCAATTACCATATGACCAACTGAAGGGGTCAATATTCAGATTCGGATGATACTGATATGTCGCAATCCTCTTGATCACTTCGGCGTTTTCATCGACGTGGAAGTGGTGGCGCATTCCCGCCATAGCTGTAATTATGCCTGGAGTAGTCCTCGCGAATTGCATCGCACATTGAGCATCCGTGGCCCCGTCACCCAGATCTGCGATGCAGTGCAAGACCTGTACAGGCAGGTTGTGATCTCGTATGATCTCCCCCACGTATCCCGTAAGCTTTCCCTGCAAATGCACACCACCAACAGCTCACTCAGCATGTCTGGAGTTGCACTTTGTCATTCTCTGTCCTTCCAAAGCTTCAGAACGATAAACCTCTCTCAGTAATCAGGCCAGCCCGATTCCTGACTATCCTCTTCCATCCACGGCGACAATTCCAACCCCTTATGAATCCTGAGGGCTGGAAGAGGTGCAGTGAATCATGGCCCGTGTTGTGACCGTGATGCATACAAACCATGACGGTGTCCTTCCTGACGATGGGTCTTAAGAAAGACTGTCGTCTAAATAAACAGGCTGTGCGACTTATGTACCATGCTTCCGTTCATGCCAGTGAGCATCTGTAATTATTCAGCGCCCGTCGAAGTTGGTCATCAGTGCAGGCAGTAAGTACACTCTCGGTCTCTGACGAGCTTTTCCTTCAAAGCATGCAGAGTGGGGAGGACAGGAGTGGAAAATTCGAATCAAATTCAGAATCGGAATCAGAATCGGAAGGCGTGTGAGATGTCTGGTCGGTCTGCTCGCTACCTGACCCAAAACTGCAGAAGCGATCACTTGAATGCCGTAATGCTTGGCAGCTCCGAGAAAAGAATCCAGGTCGAAGTGCTTTTTCCCGTGGGCATAGATCGTCTTCTGCTCGTCTTCTACCCATTGGTTCGCAACTTCGGCCGTCTCCCGCATGTACAGATTGAAAGGAACCATAGCCACCCGAAAGTGATGATCTGCACCACCTGCAAAGGGTACCCTTACCCTTGAGTACCCCTGGTAAGAGGAATGGTGTAGACTCAGCATCGACACCAACAATCTGCCATAGAGGTTCAGCGATCTGAGCGCTCCGAGGCACCTTCGAGGATGGGGCGGGGGATGCGATGCGTACCTACAGAGCGAGCAATGGTCACCAGATCGTCCAGAGAAAGATACTGACGATCCTGCGGAGGAACCCTGAACCCTTTCCATGTCGAAACTCCGTAGCAGGTGATATGTCCTGCGGCTGTCTCCTCCTCCAGAGCTTTGAAGGCCGCCTCCATGCGCGCGTTGAATTCTCCTCTGGACACACCGTTCAGCTGCTCTTCGGGGTTGTGGATGTAATACACATCGATGGTCTCCAGGCCCAAATTCCTCCTGCTTCTCTCCACCTGGTTGCGAGCAAAACATGGAACATCATCATCATCATCATCATCATTATCGTCGTCGTCATCAATTTGTGCAGAGCACACGAGATCATCCTTCCATGCAAAGAATCGTGATCCTGACCTGATTTTTGAGAAATTTGGGGGCAATGCAGTGGCAGTCTCCGACCACATCCGACCACGACTCGATGATTCCACGCCGGAAGTAAGTGTTGTCGATCCACTGATGAGGGTTGAGATTATAAGCAGGTCGGTCGCACTCGAAGGTCAGGTAGCCGCCTTTGGTGCACACGACGATCTGATCGCGCGTGATCATCCCTCTCGCCACCGCCTCCGCCAACGCCCACCCCACGGCGCGCTCGCTTCTCATGCTGCGGAAGCTCACCGATCTGCATCAGAGTCCAGTCCATTCACGTTCAGCCCCGAGCCCCCAATCTTCTCTCAAATTGCTCGCCCCTTGTCGGCATCAGGACGCAACTCGGACTCTACTGCATTCGTTACCGGACACACTCCGCAGTGCCCATTGCCAACCCAATTCTGTGCAGCTGCTGGACGTAACCCGGGATTGTGATGACTCTGACATGCCGAGCGAGGGAGAGAAATTATGAGCACGAATGAATGAGCGAGTGAGAGCGATTCCGTCATGGCTTCCCATCGGAGGCTTACCATGAGGCAATTAAGCGTGCAGATTGCGAGAGCAAGGGAAGGACGGGACAGAGCGATCAATGAACGAGGGAGGGAGGGAGTGAGGGCGAGCAGTTGCGAGGTAGGTTACGTGTCAATTATGTTTATTCCAAGTTCTATGGCTCGTGTGATTGCATGCCGGTACTCTGCATCGACCTCGTCAGTTTCATGGCCCGTGTGCGTGCCAATGCCGACGGACGACACCAGAAGATCTCCGACCTCCGGGACATTCGTCACCAGCCGTCTGAAGTGCTCCTCCCCTGCACTCACTCAGCATCGTACACCGTCTCAGACTCCACCTCTAGAGCTCCTTGGGATGATAATCATAATGTATATGTCCCAAATCAATCGACCATGATTCAGCTAACTCTTGCCTTGTACACAAATCTCAGATCCTCGCTCTCAGATCAGACATGCCCTAGTCATCCTACTTAGGCCTGGTGCACGGTCTGGCATGTACATGTGAACGAGCATCGGGAATTGCAGCCATGGTGACGGGGGTCAATTGCGATTCTGCGCCGTGGAGATTGAGAGATATGAGGTGGAGGAAGGTGGAGGTCTGTGCCAGCAATCTGACGACAAAATCAATGTAGGGTTGAGTTTCGGTGACCTGATTTTTTGTCGAAGAGTCGGATGAAAGAGTCTGTTCCAACAATGGTGGCCCGACCTGGTAGGAGATCAGGAGGCGAAGCCAGGACTCTGGTAACCATTCTGGATGGCGATGCCTACCACCGCAGCTGCTGCTGTTTTTGATGTTGATGAGCGAGGTCGATTGTGATCGAGAATTTTCTGTGGCTTGCCACTTCACTCATCATCAGCTGCCGAGGTTCAGGAGATTTTCATTTCAGCGTTCCGATCGAACAATCTGAATTCGATGCATCGACGCAATGCTTTGAGAACGGAGAACTCAATCCACAACGGAGACAGCAGAAGAAGAAGAAGAAGAAGGCCATTGAAAGCATAGCCAAGACTGTGCATCATAAAAATCAATCGAACAAGACAAATCGATACAAGTGTGTGCAAATGCAAACAATCTAACTGTCAGAAATCCATGACACCTCCACGGAAGAACCTTCAAACGAACCGTTTTTACACAAGTTGGTCTCACTCTGCCAGTTACCTTGCTAAGAGGATCTGTTACTCGGTGGAGTCCTCCGAACATGTGGAAACGATAAGTCTAAAGCTCTGGTATGACGATTGTGTTTGTAAGGTTCACGGTTGAGACAAGCAAACGTGAACGAGGTGGAGATGGAACAGAGATTTTTATTCTTCTATTGTCACTCTTTACAAATAATCAGAGCACGAGTGACCTTCCAATTGCTTCGAATATAGTGTCACAAATGTATTCAAAAAATGACTTTCTTTTGGTCCAATAGTTGTTACAGTAAATGGCAGTGGTCGAAATTCTGAATGCAGTTTTATTTTCCCAGCCAACTGTGACCTCGAGGTCGGAACTAACTAGAACTCGGACTGCTCATGATATAAAACTCTTCTCCCACCCCATGCACCAGTTGGAGTGCCAGCACACCTGTCAGCAGTCATGCAGTGTGCACCTTCAACCCTTTTTTGTCTGAACACTTTATTCATTTTGTAACGATATCTTGGTGTGTAAGACAAGTGTCATCTTTCGAGAAAAGTACATTCCACTTGCAATTTTCATGTTCGTGATCGCAAACTAGAGCATAAAGGATTTGAAGGAACCCTCCTATACTCACATATCGTAGTTCGTAATGAGAAGAGAAATTATAACTTGTAATCTCTCCATATTGAGTACATGGACATTCAATTAATGTGGAACATCCATAATATACTAAAAAGTATATCTAGCGGCTGCGTAGTCAAGCCATGCAATCCCCGTTTCAACTGGGATCGTTGGTCGGTTCTATTGCCACACGGAAAGAACCAGTCTTCGGTTTTAACCTTTGCAAGCCTCAGGCTTGGAATAAACAAGCATGGAGAGGAATGGTGTGGAATCAACGGTATCATGGATTCACTCTTCGAGTGTACCATGCATCCACCAAAGGTGAGAAACAGCATGCAGGAGAAACGGATTGATGTGCTCTCGTTGGCCCCATCCTTCCAAAGGTCTATCCAAAAAATTGGCTTCGATCAGCATCGTATGATACAGGATGACAAGTCGAGGCTGAGTATACTCCCATGCGCACCAGACTGTTGTATACTGTCGGTCCCAGTTCAAAAATCGCCAATTTGCATGAAAAAGTTCCTGGGAGGTCGGAAAAAATGTTCCCAGACGATCACGTCAGAGGGACCGCGTCATCGATGGTTCTCATGGACGTCCCGCTGCAAAATTGGCAACATCTGTGGACGGCTTGCGTATGCAGGCAGGCAGGCACTCCGATATGGTATGTAATATCAGATCCAGAGCTGACAAGCTCTATTTATCCTCCAGGCAGGTTTTATAAGTCATCCGAGTTCGGCGGCTGTTGCTAATTCGGACCCACGCTCGCTCGATACGTCACCTTGGGCATCTGCTTTCTCTCGTTGGGTTTTGCAAATCATTCCGTGAAGGCTCAGTGTCCCAGTCATGACCCTCCAGGCATGTAACAGAGTCGACGAGGCCCAGCCAGTGTCCTTACACCTATTGCCATGGAGTCAAGTACTCGCATCATGCCATCGAAATCGCTGGCGGCCAGAATGCCCGTCTTGTGCTCAATCCCGACCACGTACGGTAAATTTAAACGATTGAGTTACATGCAGAACCAACTGTATCCGGTAGGAACATCACCAAGTGAGTGGTAACACATTATCCATCACATTCGAACCGCAAGGTGTGATTCAGTTTCACTTTCTGGATAACTTTTACGTCCCATTCTGCGATGCACTGTGAGCTCAGCTTTTGATCGCCTGTATGTGCACTGCATTGATTGGGGGGCTTTTCAATCCAACTCGAAAACACTTTGCTCGAGTCAAAGTCTTGGTTTAAACTCTACACCTTTAGAACATCCTTCATGAATAGTAGAGCTTGTGCAGCTTTTTCTTTCCCACAAAAAGTCTCGTGCTACTTGTGAACCCATTAAGTGGTTATCCTCCTTAAGCCTTCCCCAAATTCACTCAATTTCCATATTTTGCTCCATAAGGATAAGCAAAACTTAGTTCATATAATTCTTCTTGAAGAAATGGTTGGCATTCTGAAACCTGCGTAAATAAGTGAGTAAGAATTGTTTCACAAACACTGTGTTTGTAAAGAAGTGAGTTCGTGTATACGCAGCTAGACAGCAGCTTTAGATCCTGGTGAGAGCAACTGGAAATCTGTGTAATGGCTGAATTCCCATAGCTGCCAATCTTCATCATGCGAGAGCCCAATTTCTCACGGCCGAAAATGATTTTAATGATTGTAAAATTTGGGCGTTATTTATTTACCCTTCTCTCCTTTCTTCTTAAACTCTCGGCCGAAGTCAGATTCGCTACGTCTTTTGGTCAGTGAAGTACTCTCTGACAACCAGGGACAAACTGAACTTCGGGACTTCTCCCCGAACTTCGAGAAGTCCCTTTTTTTTTCAATTCGAGAATTCGCCTCTGGAAGGCTTGAGGTCAACACTTTGTACATATTCGGAATCTATGCTAATGTTACTCGATGCAGATGTGGCGTCGCGAGAGGCAAAAGGTGCTGTGTGCGGTGAGCGTGGATCGAACACGCGACCTTCAGATCTTCAGTCTGACGCTCTCCCAACTGAGCTATCCCCGCCTCCAGCGGATTCCGTAACCGGGACTCGAACCCGGGTCGCCTGGGTGAAAGCCAGGTATCCTAACCATCTAGACTATTACGGAATGATGACGATATGTATAGAAATAAATATAATAATTACAAAACAATAGTAACAAAACACGAATCAACTATCAGTTTTTGGTAGACAAAAAGGGTATCAGAAATCGTGATTTCTCTGAGATTCTCAAGGTCGCAAGTATTGCATAAACTCAGGTTCAATTCCTTCCGTACTGATTACTTTATTCCCGCACTACGGCAGAGAAACGAGCTTCCGACGTTGTAGAGGAAGATGCTTCTTTAGAGTTAGATTTGATATGAACACTTCAGGAGGCCAAGAAGTTCCTTCTATTTTATACTTTCCCTGCCGAACGCCCAGCGACCTTGAGGCGAAGAATTTTGGGGGGTTTAAGTGCGTCGATACCCTTGCTGATGTAAAAGACTAAAAAAGTGGTGGAGGAAATGTGCATGGTACTGACTACACCACCACGCCATTTGACAACTCACGTCCAATATCGGCAGTACAGGGCGCCAACACTAAAGGCAAGGTGGTCACAAGTGGATGCCACCTTGTTTCCGCCCGCATGGCAGCAGAGAACGCATTGAGAGGTCCGACACTGAACAGCGAACAGTACAGCGGTGGTCTCAAGCTCCAGCCGAGTCATCGTTCCGGTGCTCGTGCAGTTTCACGGGGCAATTTGTAGCCACTATAACGAAGCACAGGAAACAACAGGGCACCTCATGACCTCTGTTTCCGGGGTTTATCCTGTCGAAAGCTTTTAACACAGTTGGTGCCTGATGACATTGATGTGTTGCGTGCGTACATTGTAAATTCAAGTTCATAGTTCCGAGTCATTAGCATGCGCAAGAGAAGGACCAAAGGTAATTGAATCCGACTAGAGAGATGCATGACATGCAATCATATCGGGAGAAAGTTTGACGATCCACAGCGCAGCTTGCATCGAAAGAGAAAAAGGGAAAAAGGAACAGGGTCCGCGGTAAAAAAAAAAAAATCACGCTTGGATAAGAAGATTGTCACCTTTTTCTACATGTACATTGATATGTAGCGTGCGTGTATGATCAATTGAAGTCCATAATTCCGAGTCGTGTGCAGGAGCAGGAGCAGGGGCAGGAGAAGAGGAAATTGAATCCGAGCAGGGACATGAACGTCTTGCAATCGTATCGGAAGAAAATTCAAGATCCGAAGCGCAGCTTCCATCGAACTGGGTCCGGTTTTAAAAACAGAGGTCACGTTTAGATAAGAAAATTGTCACCTTTTTCTACATGTACATTGATATGTCTGACGACATTGATATGTTACGTGCGTGCATAAGGAATTTAAGTCCATAGTTCCGAGTCATGAGCATGAGCAGGACCAGAGGAAATTGAATCCGACCAGCGACATGACCATCTTGCAATCATATCAGGAGAAAGTGACGATCCACAGAGCAGCTTACATCGAACAGGGTCCGGTGGAAAAAACAGAAAATCACGCTTGGATAAGAAGATTTGTCACCTTTTTCTACATGTACAATAATGACATGAGTCCTACCTAAGTTTCAGCTATGCACAAGAGCCATCGTCCAGGATTAGCTTGGAAGACTAGTCCTGCGGCAGAGGGGAGGGGATAGACATAATCTACGGTAGCAAACCACTTACATTCAAAACTACAAGTCTCTCTCAAGTGTTTAAGCTAATTTTTTTTACCTGATACAACACTCTCAAAGTACAGACCATGGAGCAAATAAACCCCGTGTCGATGACATGATCCGTCGAGAACACACGACAGACACTGACTGAATGAGGTTCTCGACAATTAAGAAACCTAATCTACCGGAAAAGCATTCGCTGTCTCTCTCTGTCTAGTCTAATATGACCCGCAAATTCTTCTGACTGAGAAGCTGATAAGCTTCTCGATGATGCAGGATGATACAAAAAGTCAAGGGAAACCACCAGCTAAGGGTACACCGTCGTTCTCTTCACGCTTCGAAATCTATGGACTCGTCCACTCTGCTACCTCGGGAGCAATGACAAGAATCTATGACGAGTCGTCGAAATATATACAGGCTCCGCATGACAGCCGATCAAGACTTGTCCTCGATGACAGACAGGTCCAGCAGCACTTGCTACAAACGCAGCTCCGTGGAACACGTTTGCCCGGCTCTGATCTGGACCTCGCTGAATCAGGCAGGTTGCTGCTGAGCTCCATTCGGGAGTCGAGGCCGCCGAGGAGTTCTCAAGTACCTCCATTCGATGATAATGATGATGATGACAGCTCCGACGCTCGAGCACCTTCAGGCGGGAGGAAGAGGAAGAAGAAGAAGAAGAAGCAGTGATGCCGTGAAAATTACCGACCGGGGGTGCGCGCGCATCGGGGTTCCTCCTCCCTCCGTGGAATTGCAAGAAGCCTCGAGCAGAAGGCAGGCAGGCAGGAGCTGCCCTACTACGGGTTCTGTTGCTTCAGCCCGTCGAGGTTCTGCTGCTGCGCCTGAATCATGGCCGAGGTGTACTGCGAGATCTCACGAGCGACAATGCCGCGCAGAACCTCGACCAGGGGGTTGCTGCCGGGGGGAATGGAGCTGTCGCTGGCGAAGCAGCCTTCGGATTGGGGGTTCTGGCCGCTGAGCATGGGCATCATCACTTGCGCCAGCGCCATGTTGATGGCCGCCGTCAAAACCTCGGGGGATTGCCCGTAAGCCACCGGAGGAGGCACAGGGCCGCCAGCAGAGGGCATCATGCCGCTGGAAACGCAGGGGCTGCTGCTGCTCATGGGGAACGGGAAGGGAGCATAGGGAGGAGGAGCGGCGCCGACCTTCGTCGAGGCGTACTCATCGGCGAAATCGTGATACTCGGGGCCCATGAGCGGGCCTTTGGGCGAGATGCTGGCGCCGTGGGACATGCCATAGCCTTGGGGAGGGCAGCAGCCGCGGCCGCAGAAATTCGGCACATCGGGAGTGGCATTCCATCGGGGCGGCGTCCAGAAGGGCCCGGCCAGAGATCGAGCCGGGTTGTGCGAGCCCGAGGTGGGGCACTCGTCGTCGAAGTTGGCAGACGACGGCAGAGAGAGCGAGAGCGACAGCGGCCGATGAATGTAAGGCGACGAGAACATACCCGCCGCGCCGCCGCTGTTCTCCTCCTTCTTGGGCGGCGGCCTCACGTTGTTCGGGTCGTAGCTGCTGAAAGCGCTGCGCGGCGTGGGCCTGACCACCACGGCCGAATGTGGCGCAGCTGCAGGGAAGAAGTTCACTGCTTGCTGCTGCTGCTGCTGATGAAGATGATGCTGCTGATGCTGCTGCTGCTGCTGCTGCACATCGTCCACTCCTCCGTCTGGAGACAGATTTTGGACCTGGCCAGGATCGCCTTTGGAGGATTCGCCGGGGCTGCCTCGGCGGCTGTCGAATGTGGTGGTGGTGGTGGTCGTCGTCGTAGTGGTGGTTTCGGCCTCGATGATTTTCTCGGCCGCAGCGGCGCGAGCATCGTCGAAAGAAGGCCACGACTGCTCGGACGAGACATCGCGCTCGTCGGCGTCCTTGCCTTGCGAATCGTTGTCGGCGCCATCCATGTCCATCTCGGCGTCGCCGGCCTTGCTGCGATCCGTGTCGCTGACCTCGCCCTTCACTTTGTCGGACGATCCGTCCGTGGAGCCCTCGTCCTTGCCGGCTCTCGTGTCATCGCCCGACGAGCCCTCGCCCTTGCGCCCCCGGTCGTCGCCCAAATACTTCCGCCGCAGCGTCGAGTTCCAGTGGTTCTTGATGGCGTTGTCCGTACGCCCGGGCAGCATTCGCGCTATCGACGCCCACTTGTTCCCGTGCACCGCATGCGCGGTCACGATCGCCCGGTCCTCCTCCTCTGCACCCACACACATTCGCCCACCGGTTAGTCGAGCCCCCCACTAGCCCCCGCCAATAGCACACCCGCTTCCCCAGCCCCAGCCCCAGCCCCAGCCCCCAAAACAACAAGCCCATCGACCAACCACCAGCGCAATGCAAACGGCTCGCAAATCCCCCCGCGCTTCACCACAATTTCTGTCAGCTGCAACCAGTTCGACCCCAATTCCGCCCCTCGAGGCGGTCATTCATAACATAATCCGCATTTCTCGCCACGACGAGCGCGGCGGGTGCTAATTGAAGCTCCCGATAGGACGAAAGCTCTGAGCTCCTGGATCCGACAGCATTGCTTGCTTCCCCGACACGTGCTTCCGGGGGTTGGGGGAAGGACTGATCTCCGGGGCGGCGCTTAGCGCAGGGGGGTAGAGAGGGCGCTGTGCCTCAAGAATTGCGGGAGTGGCGATCCACAGACGGCGCGGCGGGAACGAGGGAGCGCATCGAGTCTCTTCGCGTCCGGGCTCCGAAGTAGCCCGTTTCACACCGACGGGGGCAGAGGAGATGTTCGAGGTGCATTCCCCGGGCCGCAGGAAGCAGCAGTGTAACCGAAAGCTCGGGGACTGATCCCGCGATGTTCTTGCGGGCGGAGCTCGCGCAGCCTCCGAGCGACTGACTCGAGCTTCTCTTCGGGGAGGGGAGAGATTTTGCGGCCCTGTGGCAATCTCGGCCTCGATGGGTCGAGAATGAGAGTCAGCATCTCCCGGCGATGGCGAGAGAGTTGCAGTCACCCTGCGAAGACGTCAATTCCGTCTTGGTTCCCGTCTCGCCCATCGATGGACGAGGAGGCTCCTCGCTCAATTGCGCCTTCGAATCTTTGGGACCGTTCGCGACTATGGGGCTGATTTCGGCACAAGAACCAAACCCGATGCCGAGCAGAGTTTCGCATGATGAGTGCTCGCTTGGATTCCCCGGAGAAGGAAAGCTGGTCCAAGAACCTTCAGTCCTTGCTTCGCGGCTTCGGCAAGCGACACAGACTCATGTCCCGATTTCCTACACTTCTTGCTTTCAGAGTTCACTCGCTCGACTCCCACGATGCAATACACTTCTAACTGCGATGATCTGACAACAGGACCTCCATTGACATGCTACATGACTCTGACAGCTCCCGAAGGAGGCATTTGACGCATTGAAAGCTTCACAATCTGGAACCATCACCCGTCCCCACTTCCTCCTCCCGAGACCTCGAGCTAAGCAAACCTAGTAGAGCAGAACAGAGCAGCAGAGAAAAAGAATGATAATGACATCCAGACTCGCTTCGGATCCTGGTCACGAACACGGAGAAGTGAAATCATGTCGCTTAACTCTCGTGGTTGATGAACTGTGCGTGCTCATAGCCAGCCAGCATCGACAATCGACCGAGAACCCGAGGCAGAAAGAGCCACTCTTGCCAATTCAATTCCTGCTCGAGAAAATTGAACAAGAACTCGCCTACTGGAATGACGCGTCGTCACGAAGGCGAGCCTCTCTCGACCGACATGAGCTCTCTTTGACAGTCGTAGAATCCCCAACTGAGAGAATACAAGCGGGCACACGAGGAAGGCAGGGTATGGAAGCAAAGCAAAGCAGATGAGCAAATTACCAGTGAAAGGCTTCCGCTTCACGACTGGATTCAGCTGATTACACCAGCGCAGGCGACAGGATTTCCCCGAGCGACCGGGAATTCCCCTGGCAATCAAGCTCCAGTTCCGGGCACCAAATTTGTCGACGAGCTTGCTCAGAATCACATCCTCCTCGGGCGACCATGGGCCCTTTATGCGATCATCTGCGGCACCGCCCGCTCCGTTCCCTCCTCCATTGCCAACTCCACCACCGGCACCACCACCGCCTCCTCCACCTCCTCCTGCTCCTCTCATCTCTACTCCACAATCGATTTCTCACTCGCTTCCCTAACAAAGCTCACTCCTCTCAAATTCTAACCACACCAAACGAAAAACAACCCGCACACGCAGAATCTTCCTATCACAACCACAGGATACTAATTCTCGGACTCTCTAGCTAATTTGAACTATCAATCCCTCATTCACTCACTCACTCACTCACTCAATCACTCTCACACACAAACACACACGACGCACACTCTCTATCTCTCTCTACCTCTCTCACACAGAGCACACGAATCCTTCCGGACACCGGCTGCTCGCTTTGCCACTCGCTCTCTCGCCGTCTGTCTGTCGTCCAGAAGCTCCCTCTGCCTCCTCTCCTCTCCTCTCCTGCCCTCCTGCCCTCCCCTCCCCTCCCCTCCCTCTCCTACTACTACCGAAACACACAAACACAACTCTCGGACTACAGGGAAGGAAGGGAAGGAGAGGGAGAGAGAGGGAGAGGGAGCGAGGGAGGGGCAGAAGTGAGGCGCGAGTAGTTCTGAAATGAAAGGCACAAGACGAGAGAGGCGATACCGTCAACGCCCTTGACATCCGTCGTCGTCCATTTCATTTCATGCCGCTGTGACGGGATATCGACAGAGCCCCCAAATTTTTACCCCCAGCCCCTTTACTCGCCTGCAGCCCCCAACCCCAGTGTTACCGATAATATCCCCAACCGCAGATGCACAATCCAACCGTCAAGCGCCCATCCATCTCAGCGTGTCAGGAAACCTCTATGCACGTGTCCCCTTCTCTCTAACTGACCGTTTTCTACCACGTAATACAGTTAGTTAGGAGTGAGCGAGCGCGGCCAAGGCCCGGGACAGTCAGTCCATTGCCCCTTCCCCAACCCCAACCCCTGCCCCCGCACTCCCCTCCCTCTGCCGTGCCGGCTCGGTTAGTTGGTTTGGCCTCGGACCTGCACTCCGTACCTACCAGGAGTAACAGATTGGGGTACCACGCCTGTCGAGACGCCGGCGCTCGTATGCAGCCACTGCTATGTGTGCCTCGTAACCCCATATAGTACAACCCCCGCAACGCTGTGATAGCCCCTCCTTCCGTCCGTCCGTCCGTCCGTCAGTTCGTTGCGGACGAGAATCATGAATCGCGCACGGATCTTTGTGTAATCTTCGGGAAGGAACGCACTTGACCGGGTCCACTGGCCTGCTCGCCCAGCGCACACTCACCTCGTTGAAATCAGAGCCACTTGCCTCTGACTCGGACTCGTAGACGTGGTTTCCAGACGTGGTATCACATTCACCTTGTGGACACCACGTCTGTCCATCCTCTTCCTCTTCCTCTTCGTCCCGGGCTCCGGAAAGCATTGCTGCACTGAGCCGCTGCCCTCGAACTCACGCGGCAGGTGAATGAATTCCTCCTTTCCCAGGTCGCCAGTCGAACCGAGGTGCATGTATAAACCAAATTAAAGTCTGCTTGTTCGGACCAAAACCTTTGACTCGAGTTTAGCGGCATTGTCGGTTGTAGATATTCTTGTGTCCTATAAGCCGCTTTACTCAATTCTCACCTACATTTGCTTGACATTGCATATTCCCTTCGAGGTTAATCCATAGCGGCTGGCAATCCCTTCTGTGATTATTTACCTTTGTATTAACTTCTACTTCTAACCAGAGCTTTTCCGGTGATGTAATTTCGATGAGTTCCTAATCTTCTTTACACAGTTCTGCTGATGTCATGGTTTTAACATTATTTTTCTGATGCAAGATGAATGGTCGAATAGTAAATGAGCTATTTTTCAGATCAGAAGAATAGGTCGAGTACAATATCTACATCTTACGATTTCGATGTTTCCTTGTGGAAATGGAGAATGTGTGGTACTGGTAATAGATCAAGCCCGGTACCCGAAGGGTCAAAATGCTAAAAACACAAAACAAATCATCTAATCTCCGCGAGGAGATATCTCCCATCTAGTGCTAGAGCACTCGAACGAAGATTAATAATATCTCTAAAGTAATATCCTAAATCTTAAGGCTCAACCTCTAGTGAAGAATAGACATTATGTGTATCAATCTTATGAGCAACTCTAATATCAATATATCCAATACAAGTAACAAACACATGCTCTTCGTACTCAATATTCTTATCTTCACGTAAACTGCAAAATCGTTCACTTCTGTCAATAGTTTGCCAACATCCTTACTCAATCTCTAGACTATGAGACCCCATTCTATGTCGTGCTATGGTATGACGTAAAATGATAAAAATCCCCGCAAGAAGATATCCTTGTTGACAATACATTAAAATAGAGTTAACATGAAGTTGATAGAATTACATTTTGGTGTGGGGTGTGCTCCAAAGAATGCTGAGAATTTTCTCTTATAAATGTTGTCGAAAGGAAAGTTTGACACCTTCACTCTCCCATTACTTTAACCACCGTTCTATATCATCTATGAAAATTCCAAGTAGAGTGGGAGGCTACATCTCATTCTTGGTACAGAATCTTGCTAAAGTATCAAGATGTTTTTGTAGACTAATAACATTACGTGCTAGTAATACGATATCATCTACATACAATAAAGCTTTAGTGATAGAGTCTCAAGTTTGACACCTTCGCTCTCACATCACTCTAACCACCGTTCTATATTATCTATGAAAATTCCAAGTAGATTGAAAGGCTCCTTCTCATTCTTGGTATAGAATCTTTCTAAAGTATCAAGATGTTTTTGCAGATTACTAGCATCACGTGCTAGTAATACGAAATCATAAAATAGAACTTTAATGATAGAGTTTCCAAGTTTGACACCTCAACTCTCACATTGCGTTCTATGTCATCTATGAAAATTCCTGTTAGAGTGGGAGAGAGAGTAAAATTTTGGATAACCATAAGATAAGCTTAGTCTCTAAGGATGTTGTAATTTTAGAGGAAATTTTTCCCATTGTGATCTGAATACATTTTACAGGGTTGGTTTCATACGAGTACAATTATGAGGTCTTTGCTTGTATTTTTCTTTTACTTTGTACTTCCTTCCCTTTAACATATATTGGTGATATATTTGATCCATATAGAGGTGAAACTGGTTCCAAGTCTTAGGTTGTAGTTTCATATAAGGTGTGATTTTTCCTTGGGTGTTAGAAAAGAATAGTAAATAATTCTCGCTTTGCCCTCCCTTTTGGCTCTGCACTCGGTGCTCCAAAACTTCCACTTTCTGGCCGTAAAGTCGTATGTTGGAATGGGAGGTATGCATATGATTTTCTCGCTTTTACTCTCAAACTCATACCCAATCAGTCTTGGTTTTGGTCTCCAGTAAGATTACGATCCTCTTAAAAAAGCAAAAACTGCAGCAACGTTGAATGTCACATCAAACGCCTAAGAGGCTATCTGCACCACTCCGATGATTAGGGACTTAACCTCCAGAACCATTCGAACAGGACACTCAAAATTCCACATGAAGAATTTGATGATAAATTTGTTAAAATTGATCTTCGGACGTAAGGAACAGCTTGTAAGCAGCATTGCCATTATTCCATGAGTCCGTATGGGAAGTTGGTAATGCTTACTCTTAGATAGGATCAAACTGAAAATCAGTTCATGTACAGGTAAAAAATTGAAGGATACATTCGAGGAGTGGAATTCCACCCGAGCCGATGAACACGAGACACACATCCATCCATCCATCCATCCATCGATCTACGTGACCAGGAAAGGAACGGAGCCGAAGTCAATCGCTGCAACTTGCGAAGTGCGTCCGTCTGACTTGACAAAGAGAGGAGGCAAAAACTCGCGGACCGAAGAGGAAAGAGGAGCTCCTCCTTCTGCGCGTCGTTGTCTCTGCCCGGTCCCGGGTGCCATGCCTTTTCCATCCATGATGCAATCATACAGAAATGAAGTATAATAATATTAAGCAAGGCCGGAGAAGAAGGGCAAACGAACGAGCGGTTCGAGTGAGCCCGCGCTTGCAATTTGTTGCATGGACGCCGATCTCATTGGAAGGTATGGGCTCCTCGTCCAAGTTTGGATATGCTCCAAAGTAAGAGTCAGTTGCGGCCTGCGTGGACGCCTAAATTTGTCCAGGCATCCGAAGTAAGAGGCAGGTTTGGTCGTCTTGGTCAAATCTGCCCAGTTCGAACCACCTCCTGTCTCTGGTATGGAAACTGCCCAATTTTTCACCGATATTACTTCCCAATAGATACGTGTGCTGTCATTTATAACCATGAAGTGGGTATATATATTATCCCAACATAGTCAAAAAGCATGAGCCGAAATCTATCCCAACCCTCGTACGCCCCGAAATTCGGCCTGTAGCTGAGCAATGAATTTATACAGAATAAAAAGAAAGGGAAATATATATCTAATACATACTTATAATGATCTAAGGACTAAGCACGTCTACGTGTCAGTATTAGTGTATAGCAGGGATCATTTGTTCTCGACAGACCTCGAAGCATCCGAGCAGAACAAAGGCCCAGCCCTCGCCCGACTGCTGAATCACGTGTCCAGCCGAAGACTTGCGTGCTTGTTTGTTGAAACGAGGCATGATACGTTGGCACTGAGTGAGTGAGGAAGCTTATCAGCTCAGACATGTCTGCCGGCTCATGTCAAACAGAATTGGAGTCTTATGATAGTCTCGCCATCGTTCAACAATTCCTCGAGATAAAAACAAAACGAAATTGCAGAGAAATGGTTCTGAGCAACTTGTGTCAAGTCCTGTCGGGGAGTAATTCCTCGTCACGTCCCAATCATGTACACCTGTTACCACTTCCTCGCCGATGTTGGCAGAGCTGCGCTACTCTCGTAAATTCTTGTGAGTCATCTTCCACGTCTGTTGTGGTCGGTGAAGTAAAACTCAACTGAAACTCACATGTTCTCGCTTGCTGCGCATGTGTGCGAGTATCTCGACCGACAGGAACCTGTACGTAGGAACCTGGACGTCCCTGTACCATACTTTCATAGATACGTAACATACCGAAGATGCAGACTTCTCAGGATCTTCGTGCTCCGTCTCAATTCAGATGACTGACGACAATCGTCACCCTAAAAAATTGCATCAAATAAAAAACAACAACGAAGACCGAGCAGCAATCATTCAGCATAACAGTACGCGTAAAGTAGGTTCCAAAACCACCTACAATTATATTATATTTTCTATTTCTTAGCATGGAAGTTGTTGTTTGGATTTGCTACTAGTGCACTACCACGGTACATTCACAACCGTAATTATTGTGTGTGCACGCTCAGTGTGGGTCACACAGATTTAGGCCCAGTATATCTACCCAGACACTTTCCATTAATTCAGGGTTAGGGTGTTTGAGAAGAAAACCAAACCAGTACGGGATGGAAGACTAATTCTGTGCACTAAGTGGGGTGGGATGAATCTGCATGTTCAAGTTAGAGTAGATTCTCATCAGAAACAAAATCGAAGTCGCGTGCAATTTTAGATGAGGGCTTGTCCTGAAAACTTTGAGTCAACACACTGATTAGGCGCCCACCCTCATTACACGCACTGAATCAGTCGAACCTAAATCAGTGCTTTGTTTAAAGGATTCCTGATTGTCGTGGCCCACACTAATTCTGTCTGGGTCCTAGAGTTTGGCCTTCCAAAGTGATGTGGCCCACACTTATTACGGTCAAGGACTCGAGCTCCGAAGATAGGATACAACTTATAAAATGTGTAAAATTCCCACTTACAGTGGTTACCGTCATCAAGCCAGTGAACCTGTTCGGGACCTGAGCTACGCAATCCACATTCACTTGTGTGGACCTCGAGTCAACGGCAGCTGGTGCGAGGGACGGATCTGGATTATGGACTGCTCGAGTGCCGGAGCGCGTTCGCGAAGAAGGAGACTGTTGTTGTTGTTCTGGTGTGACGTGATTCTGGAATTTTGACGTGAGAAATGGTGCGATGTGGGTCGGAAAGCTTCATCCGTTTGGATGCTGAGCTTGTCATGTTGTTCGGTGATGTCACGCGCATCGGTGAAACTGTAGAGAGTAATGAGCCGAGTGGTAGCGAACACACGAAGCTCAGAAACACTGGCCAGCACTATGACGTAATTGTTACAGCCGAAACGAAACACAAGGGCCAGACGCTTGTCACAAACCTGTCCGCACCTCGATGTTGCGAACTCTTTGACCAATCTCCCATGGAAGGACTATCAGAGAATCTCGTCCACATGGCGAGAGGGATATATCGAAACTCATCCCATGTTTTCCACCTCGCTGAAGCTTCGTATCACAGAGCACTCCCACTGCTCTCTCCTTCCAAATTTAGGCAGCCCGCTGCAGATCCAGATCCATCTCCTCTGCCCGTAACCGAGAAATCAGACTTTCGCCCATTGCAGACGAAGCCAAGGCGCGTAAACTTTTCAGACCCCATTGACATTTTACCAGCACACACTCGACACACGCAATCCGCCGGTTCTCGTGCCCTGCCGAATTGCAGGTAGGGGGGTAGCGTCGGGCATATACGCAATACGGTGGTTGCACGGGGTGCGCCGTGCGAGAGCACTGAGAGGAGGGGGGAGAAATGCAGGGCATGCGTCCAGGGAGCGGGTAAATAATGAGGAAACCTTATCGGGAGAGGGAGGAGGAGGAGGAGGAGGTATGGGAATGTGGCAGGGCTCGCGTCGCTGTCGATGTCATGGACGGGTGAAGCACGAGAGTACGAACCGGAACTGTGTGAGCGCGGCGGCCCACTGGATGGAAGGATGGAAGGATGGAGGGAGGGATCCATGAAGGCCTGCCTAGGTTCAGATCTTCTCATTGCAACTCTTTCAGCGACATGAGTAGTGTGTTCGGCAGAAGATGCGATTTCTGGGCAGATGGGTGTGTTCTATTCGCCAACTGCCTTGAAGCTGATCCATGTCGGGTTCGAAGCTACGCGGGTAGGTGGCCAGTCTCACATAACTGTCGGCTATGCATAGATCAATCTCCCCTTCCTCTTGTCTTCTCCAGCCTCGCCCTCGCCCTCCCTCCCCTTCCCACGGCCGGGCTGCGTAGTGCGATCTCGCTCACGGACTCCAATCGAGCCTCTTCCAAACTTCACCATTGCGTGATTCCAGCAGATTGTGCTGAACTCACTCACGTCCTTTCTCTCGGCCATCTGAAAATCTGCCCAAAGATTCGCCCGGCGGCCGCAGCCACAAGAGAACCAATGTCACGGGGATTTGCCGCATTCCATTCCATTCCATTCCATTCCTTTCCTGGTCCCTGGAAGAAGGAGAAGGGGCAGAGGAGGGGCTCCAGGTGGAGGCATCGTCGACCCCGAGACTTGGCTTGAGGGGTACGCAGAGCGGTCACGAGAGCTGGTGACTTGGCCGAGAAGGAGAGTGAAGTCCAGGTGGCACGGCAGACCCACAAATGCACACACCGGTTCGAAAGGGGCCCGACAAGGTCCAGGCTCGGGTGGTGCAGGTTCGGATGCGGTCCAGGCCTAAGCCTCCTGCTGCATCGCACGGATCAGTGTGAACCACGGTTGCCGCAGCTGCTCGCTCGCTCGAGCGTGCCAGCGAGCCAGCGAGCCAGCGAGCCAGCTCCCAGAGATTCGATTCGTAACCAGGACGATTGCTGCTGCTCGCTCTTAAGCTGGATCCGTCCATAGATCGAGCCTCCTGAGCCGATGATAACCGCTAACCGCATTCCATGGGCCTAATTCATTGGCTCTGGGCCCTGCTGTGCTGCTGCTGCTGCTGCTCGGCGCGACGAGCAGCAGCAGCGGCGGCAGCTCCCGTCTCGCCTCGCGTCTTCCCAACAGGACCCGCGCACTTCGAGAGAATCTACAGCCCCGACCGCGCGTTTGTTTGTTTCGTTCGTTTGCAGTGGCAGCGAGCGAACGATCATTGCACGAGAATTCAAGCTCGAGCTCCAGCAGCAGCATCGGAAGACAGTCGAGACATCTATCCTTCGTCACGTACACGGCTCCCACTGCCGACCGAACCCCCTTTCCCCCCTCCCCCTCTCACCAATCCACGAGATTATGAAATCGGTTGGACTCGATTCAAGCTTCGGAGACCAGGAATCTCGGCTACGAGTTCGGACTCCAGAACCGTAGATCGACGAGAAGAAGCGAGCGAGCGCCAGCGCAGTCAAGTCGAGTCACCTCGTACGTAGTGAGTCATTACACTGGCGCAGCCGGCGGCAGTAGGAGTATGGTGGAGGTAGTGGTAGAAGTAGAGGTAGAAGTGGAGCGGTAGTGACAAATCGAAGATATCGTCGGGGGTCAACGCCCTGGGAAACTCTTTGGTAGATCTGAGACGGGTCGACCTGGAGAGCATCGGTGCCATGCGCATCGCAGGTCGTCATTCGACGCCGCTGCGCCGAGAGAGGGGTAGAGGGCCGACGCGAGGAACTCGTATGCGCACTCCACCACCTAATCCCGTTTCTCCCTCAGCTGCTCTCTGGCGAATCGGCGTTCTATCTATCCTCTCTAGAACAACCCCAGCCCCTGCCCCAGCCCCAACCCCAGCCCCGAACGACAGCAGCCAGCCCCTCAACTGACACAAGCCTTGTCGGCAAAGCACGGAGAGAAAGCGCGAGCGAGGGGGCATTCGCGCATTCCGACTTGTCTCGGAGCCGATGCTGCCAACCGCTGCCCGAGTCTTGGGGGCGTGGGGGTGCGAGTTTGGGGGGGACGGAGGGGCAAAGGAGGGGGCTTCGCCTGACGTGATCTGGTCAAAGCGCATGGGCCAAGTGCTCGTTCCCCACCCACTTGTCTTAAGCTCTGGATTTCTGTTAGTTTCGTTTAATCCTCCGTCGTCGCTTGCATCGGGCGAAACCTCGGCATGAGCTGGCCCCGGCCATCTAGTCCCAGTCCCACCCCCAGCCCCAGTCCCAGCCCCCGTCGCAGGACAGTCATAGAGACTCGTAGATAGTGAGGGTTTAAGCTAACGATGGATCGATCAAACTGGTGGCGAGCACGAATCTCTCCGTCTAATAGGAGACCGAGTAAGAGTTGCCAAGAGGGTGGGGAGATCCGCGTCAATTCATATGTGATAGAAACCAAAGGGGGGAACATAGGGCTAGGTTTCGGTAGTATCATAATGAGAAATATATCATACACCTAACTAAGATATCACAACTAATGCTCTATAATAGAGTAGTGTAGAGTAAAATTGTGTAAGATACTTCTTACGAGAAAGTAATGAGGGTGGACCTATGTTACATGACATGTCTTCAGGTCGGCCTCATTAACATGTCCGAGTGGGTGTCCATAAGTCCATAGCTGGAAAAGAAAATAAAATTTCTTTGTATAGCCATATACTTGGAGGCCTTCTATGATGCTCAGATTCCATCCATCTCCCATATGGAAGGATGCATAATCAAAGCTGTCAAAAAATGTACAATGAAGTGTATGTAATCACAACGTGGACGTTAAAGTAATCATCCTCAACCGATCATAGGTTTGTCTGCTCCAAATCAAGTATATTATGTCTTGTGTACGTGACATGTTCATCCTTCACATAGGGTAGAATTTAGCTTATACTCAATTAAATCCGATTAAAATTTATGACATCAGTGTTCATGCAGTGATTATTCTTTGGCTCTTGGAGTGTTTTTGTAGTAAACTTGGTTAAAGCTATGACTTTTGGTTTAGGTTTCAATTTGTGGCTTATTTACTTTTCGTAATATCCCGAAAAAATACTTTGGCCTCCAATAAAAAATTTGCATATAAATGTGTGCAACTTACGGTAAATCTATTTCACATGTAAACTTTGATGATATATTAAGATCAAACATAACCTAATCATTGTAGAAGAAAAATAGTTGTTTCAAGTAAAAAAATCATGATGCATAGCTGAGCCAAAATACCTAATTATGCATTTCTTGATGGAAAAGCTCAAACGAGCTTCAATCATTTTTAATGATATTCTTAATTAAGAAAGAGAATTTAAGACATGATTAAGTAGTCTATTCATCTTTTACATGGTAGACATTTGATTTAACCTTTGGATAAAAGAAAAGTTTGAAATTCATGTTCAGCCTCAATATGATATATTTTTTTGTCTAACAATAGATCGTGTGAATGATATGACAAGCTTTAGTCTTGCCTAAGTTTTGACGATGGCCAACTCTGTGAATTTTGAAAAAAATAAAGAAAACTATTGGTTGGGTCCAAGTGGTCAAAAATTTCATAAGGACTGTCTATTTCATCTATGAATTTATAAAAATTTGACAATAATATAAGTCTCTTTTTTTGAAATTTTAATACTATATATTCAAAGATTGATGACCTCATTCTATCTTTAAAAACGTCTATAATGATTATGTAAAATTCAAGGACCATGTCAATGCATGTGAAATATATAAATGAGATTACACTAGAATGAAATATAATTTTTAGGATGGCATATAAAGTATAGAGTAGTCATTTACATAAGAAAATAGATCCACAAGTGTCACATCTTGTTACATAGGATTTAGAATGCGGTTGCACTGGTTCCAATTCGACACGAATGGGGATCCGCGTTAGAGTTGTCCATTCACTCTGAACTTCGGGCAAAGGAAAGTAATGCCGACCCCTCGCACCGAATCTCCACATCATTCGCGTAGCCGGGTGTCGTATGAAGTAGTGGAAATATGCGTCACTATCCTCGCCATTTTACCGTCTGCTGGATCCGGAGGATTGCCATGATCGGCCGCATCATTACCGAACATTCTGTCCCGTGGAGCCGGCCCCGTACAGACGGGCAGGCAGGCGGTCAGAAGTCCATGAGCCTAAGCGCGCGCGCGCGGTGACATTAAGAAGAGCAGCGCAGAGGCCCGCCGGCCTGCTTCTGGACAGAGGAAAACCGTTGGGCCGAGCCAATCTGCCCCTCGCTTCCCTCTAACGACGGACACATACTGCATACCGGAGGAAATTCGGTTACGCCCCCAACCGGCGCAAGAGGACGGGACAGAATCGTTCGTCGTTGCCTGCCCCCTGCCCCCTGCCCCATTCTCTCTCTCTCTCTCTCTCTCTCTCTCTCTTTCGAATCCACCCCCTGCCCCCTGCCCCATTCTCTCTCTCTCTCTCTCTCTCTCTTTCGAATCCACCGAAGGAAGGTTCCGATCAATCAATCATTCGCTCGATCGGGTTCGGGATCGGGTTCGGGGGTCGAGCCGATCCGAGAGATCCGAAGCAATCCCCTCATCTCTGCTCCGGTTCTGCTGCCGCTGCTGCTGCGGTATCAGTATCGGTTTCGGTATCGCTTCGAGACAGAATGAAAGTAACGTTAGGCCCGATCCGTCGCACGGACGACTACCGATGGCTTCAGAGAGTAACCGCCGCAGGGGGGGCAACATCTGCTGCCACTCCAGCGCCGGACTCGAGCCAAGCGGACTTACTGGGGGACCGGAGGAGAAGAGGACCCGAGCCGATGGATCGAAGGTTCGCACGAGCCGCGGACGGACTGACGGACGGATTGATTGATGGAGGGATGGATGGAGGGAGCGGATGCAGTCGATGAGACGAAGTGGCAAGAACGAAAGAGAGGGAGGGGGAGGGGTAGAGAGAGAGAGAGAGAGAGGGAGGAGCGTGTGAGGAGTTCGGAGTTAACGGTTTCTCCTACCCTAGGCTATTCGTCGGCGCTCACCCGTCGAGCGAATTCCGTTGCAACTTGGAAGGTAGGAGTAGCGAACTGTCAGTTTTCCTCCAGGCCCCGGACGGGACGGGTCGGGGCGGGGGCAGAGGCCCCGAGCCAAGGCCCGGGACTGACTGACGGGGGCTGGGGCTGGGGGTGTTACCTCTCACTCCTCCGTTCCGTCGTCCGTCGTCCGTCCGACGTCGCGCGTCGCTGGGGCTTGACCACGTGACTCGTCTTCTCCTCGGAGCACCAAACAAGGGCCGTTACGACTAAAGTAGTTTCCGTTACTCGCAGCCGCGACAGACAACTGGAGTTACTGGACTTTGGGCTCCCTTTGGCTTGGCCCCTTTGACCACTGCTTGAGCTGCGAGGCCGTCTTGCCTTCGCTTTGAATCGCTCGCCTTCGGTGCTTATCTTCTTCTCATCGAGCAGTGCCGTGCCGGTCAACTGTTTTCTGGATCGATCATTTTCTCTCCGCACACGGGCCCAGAGAACTCGCCGTCTGTGTCATCATTCGGTACCGGCTCGTTTTGGACTCCCCCGGTTCGTCACCTCCCATGGTCCAGCTCTGGCCTTGTTCGCTCGAATGTAAGATCCCGGACATCGATGCGAGCTTGCTTGTACTTGATCATACGAGCTGGGCCTGAGTCTAGACTCTGAAGAGATGAGCAGAGCGGAGGAGAGGTGGTCCAAGACGTCGACATTCAATCAAACATATATGATACATGAATCTCTTATTAAACTTCTCCTCAGCAAGTGCTACTGGGAATATCGATGGATAGATGCCTTATCTAGTTTCTGAATACTGACTGACTCCCTGTGTGTGAGCCAGTGACAGACACAGAGACACATAGACAGAGAGAGAGGTGGTTCAGGGTCCGTCTTTTAGCTTACGTAAGAAGCAAGCGTGCTTGCTATTCCTGTGAAAGATTTTATATCGACTTCTGTGTTTGAAATTGAACTACCCTGTCCGGACACTCCTACTTTATATCCATTGCATGTATTCATGTGTGTACCAATTCAGTTTAAACATACACACATTCAGAGGGAAATGGGGGAAGCATGGATCTCATCAAAGCCAGTACAAAGCAGAGGACAGAATAACCCAGAGGAAAGCAGCCTGACATGGCCAAAATGAACCGAGAGAGACACGCTCTCGATAACAGTGATTATAAACAAGGTCTCTCGGACTTCACATGCCGGCAGCTCATGGGTTCTGGTGGTAACAAGGTCCGTGATTAGCACCACCCATCAAAAGAACCTGCCTCTCAACCCTTGACGCTGTGTACATATATTTGTAAGTATGTATTTTTGACACATACACATAATACTTGTATCTTCTACGCGTCTCCTAAATCCTTGGATGATAAATCAATGCACTGAGTTGTGTGCGAGGTATGAGTATTTATTGATGTATCCTCCAAGCACTTGCTTTCAGTCTCCATGTTTTTCAAAACACACCATATAATGTCATCTAAGGAAATATTCAGGAAATATGAACTTTTTTGATTCTGTGACACACGTTTTCAGTTGTAAAGCAATAGCAGATACACCCAGTAAAAAATTCAATACAAATACACATGCTTGTGGATAATGGGTAAGCTTGCAAGGTGCTGCTGTGAAAGTTGAGGGCCTTCGATGGCCACTCTCCTGGTTTGATAGAAACACAAGTTCCTCACATATCTTCATTGGAGCGTTGACCACTGTCTCTGGTCATGCTCTTCATCTTCCAGAGCTTAAGTCGGAGAGAAGAAGCTTATAAAATTAGATCTCGTCTAGGTAATATATAATCCTTAATTTACTTTTTACGACAGAAGTGGTAGTGCGTAGCACTCAATGCTACTGTAATTGCTTTACTTTAGAGCTCGAACACAGGCAAGTAAGTGAACGCGTCGATTCCAACTGACAGCATACAAATTTACATCAAATCTGATGTTTCCTGTTAGTTTCAGTTGAGAAAAATAGCAACTTTGGCCCAACTTCAGCCTGCGTCTACCACCCTTTGTTACGTGCAGATCAGAATTGTGATAATACGAAATGCGGTTGACAGTGATATCAAGCAAAACTCTGCACATGGTTGATGTATCGATTCTGTTACTTACGTCTTCAACTCCCGACGGACAAACGGATTCAAATGGAGAAAGATGAATGTAAGCGAAGAGGGCGACCCTCGAAATATAATCAAGGGAGCAACCGCGTACACACTTGGGACTCGACGGCGCATCACGACGCTGTGTACTCGCGTGCAGTTTAGACTCGGCAACGTGCAGGCAATGATTATATCGTTGCGCTTGGGTCAGCTGAACCGATTCGTATCGACAACCTTTTGGGCCTGTTCTGAAGCAAAAGTGATTTGGTGAGCCCACGCCGGATCTTCGATAACATTCAGACTCAGAAAACCAGTAGTCCGACCGATTGACATCCAAACATTACTCTACTGCTGCGTGAGACGACACAGCGAGCGGTCTGCAATAGTAGAAATTGATGACCAAGTGTAGTTCTCTCATTGGACGGAGGTTGAGAACGATGAAACAATTCATTATGGACACAATCACCTATAAAGGAGGGCCTATCGAAAGGTGAGATACAGTTGGATTGAGAAAAGAACACACTTTATTGACTTGCATCAGTACTATTACGACTGCCTATGTATCTCTGTTGGTTAATGAGGAAACATGCCACGTGTCTCTGATGTCAATGATCCTCCCATACGTCCTCTCCAAGTTGTATGGTTAAGAACATTATGACAATCTTCCATATGCACGAAAGTGCATCATATTTGTAACTAATTAGGGTAAGGTCTCAATATTACAATATTAACCCTTTGAGAGCTTTAATACCTACACATACGCCCTTCTTATCAAGCAAGAGAGGTGTAAAGAAACATGACCAGACTGTAAATTCAGTTGTACAACAAGGTCCGTCTCCATTTCAACCAGTGTACCCTCAAAATCCAATGTCTTTGACATTACCTCTGCATTTTCTTTTCCATGTACATTCAGAACCGTTTACATTCATGATGAGCCAGGTTCCTGGCGTCAGGACGACGATATCCAACCATGTTTTTTTTTACCACTCAACAACTGGTACACATCAGGCGATACCTGAGAAATGAAAGACAAGAGGTTCAGACCTGTACTTTTATACTGACAAACATGATCTTAGCATCGCTCAAGCTTCCACAGAGCAGGAAAAAAAATTGGTGATGTGGTGATGTGCTCATGGAGAAGTGATAAGATTAACATTGATGCTTTCTTTTCATGTGTGACTTGCAAGGATCTATGTCCAAAAATGTGAGCCGCTATCTGTGCATCTAAGCAGCAGAATTGTACAATCCTCATTTCCTACAAAACCAGTGGTTATATATGGGTCCCTAACTAGCGAACTTTCCGACCTAAATTGCCATGACCAGTCCAATGTATTTAATATGTTGCTCTCAAGATGGCAAGGTCAACAACTGGTATCTCTCGGGACCAAGAGAGGGCAAGAAACGAGAATACATGAGACCGTAGTGAAAACTGAATAGCTGACACAATACTTATCACAGCATGGATAATGATTGTTGCAAATACTGTGTGTTCACACCTGAATCCCTGACCAGAGCGACACGGCCGGTTCTTGCAACCTGCGAATAAAGTTCATCTACATCAGATTACTTTTTGAGAAGCTGAAAGTCAGGCTAAAGATCTGCACGCTACATAAAGACCGCGTCTCCCGTAAACTTCAAAGATACATGAAGGGACTTGGTAATGCGCGTATCATTAAGGCCAGCTGGTGCTGAAGAATGAAACGAGTTGAACGGAGGAGTATAACTTCCTTCAAGATAATGCATCTCTTTCACAGCACTTCAATCGACAACTAAAAACAGCTGTAATAAATCTCGAAGGCAAGTAGCTTGAGTCACCACGGTATATTGTCGAGGAAATGGCTTCTAAGTTAGACAAATCAAGCTGAACAGAACAATATGCGAAGAGAAATATACATCCCGTAGTGGATAGAAGATATCTTATTACCCAGCCGATTTGTTATAAAGTATCCAGTAAGAACTCTAGAGGTACTTAGGTCACTACAGATGACGCTTTATGGTGGATAATTATTTCCCTCTTGGACGAAAACATTTGTTGGCTGCTACGGCTCGGCGATGATGAGGCCGATATAAAATATAAGAGTAATCTTGGGAATAAGAATTACAAAAATAATGGATGCTGGAAAAGTCTACGTTTGTCGTTTTAAAACAAACACACTAATCATAGAATAGTTAAACTTAAAACCTATTGTTATAACGTAAGAAGAACGTGGAGATATGAAGACCATTCACATGGACCAGAAAAAAGTCTCCTTCCCTCATGCAGAAAGAAATGATAACCCATAGGAGGTAGAACGCACCTCTAGGATACCATAGGGTTCCAATAACCTTTGCAATGCAGCCATCTTCTCCAATATTCCAGTGACCTAACACGTGCAGAAAATTTAAAATAAAAGAAAGTCAATAGAAATCTGGGTGCGGCATGCATACCTTTAATCCTCAATCTCACCATCACACAATTCAAAAGGAATGAAAGAAACACTTGCTTGATGTCTACAGTGATTACAATTTACGGACCTCAAGTGTGATGGTGTGATTCGAGACATCTACAATCTTAGCCCGAAAGATGCTGGCGATGTCCATAACCTCTCTCCTATTGTCAGTTCTTGCATTGACTTTGATAAGCATAAGCTCCCTTTCGGCAAATGGCAAGTTTGTAATATCTTCCACCTGCAAAGGACAATCATATTGTAGGCGACTGATTAAAGTAGTGTGCAAATTCGCCCTCCATTTCATAACATGACATCATTGATGCTTGCACTCACAACTGCACACCGTCATCCCTCAAATCAAGCTTAGCTGATTGACCATACGTTGTAACGTATAAGACAGAACACCAACCTCGATGACATCAATTAGCTTCAGGATCTGACTCAAGAGTTTTTTCACTGAGTCATCAGTTCCTGGAACAACCATAGTCATGCGTGATACACCTGCTTTCTCAGAATGACCTACGGCCAGACTCTGCAGCAGAAAGGGGAAAAATTAAGGGAATTCAGTACATTTAATATATTGGTTCATCGCCCAACCAGAAATATTCAGAATCAACAAACCTACCAAAGTAGTGCATATATGACGATGAGAATGTCAAACATGACTTTGTCGGTATTTCAAATGCATGATACAAAATATCTCCTTCCATTTCTCATTCATTTCCGTACTCTTCTGGGATTGCTATCCTTCCACCTTGTGTAATTTTTATCTCCAACTATTGTTATCAATATATATGATAGTACGTTTGATTATGGGCGATGAACTCACAACTCACAATGCCTGGAACTTCACCTACATACCTGAATGTTGTAACCACGCCTGGCAAAAACACCGGTGACCCGGTTGAGTACACCAGGAGAATCATTCACCAACATAGATATAGTATGAGACTTGTAGCCAGTTGACTGTAACAGAAACAATTCTTGATCGATCAGGTAAGAAACACATGGACTGAGGAAACATAACAACTTGTTTCAATTGAGATAATACTATGTAATTTCATCTATCGAGCATAAACAAAAGAAGGAAGTGAACGACTAAGGAACCACACAACGGGTTAACTAGCAGATTGCTGGAATAAACTCAACGACATTTAAAAAAGGAGAAGGATCCAAAAGTACATCATCTTCGGCGTCTACAATCCCCCAATGAGCATCAAGGACCTGGTGATACCAGACTCCATCATTGTCCTGTTCCACGGCATAGACATCTCCCTGCACGATGGGAAGGAAGTAAGCGAAAATTAGTAAGTCCAGCAAGCTGTACAGAGAACATAATTTCACAGCGACAACTCCTCTCGACTTCAATCACTCCACATACCCGTGATTCGTTAACTTGTCCAGATAATCTTTCAAAAAAACTTTCTCTAATCTAATTTCTCAAAAGGCGTATCTACATGTCTCTAAAACCCTCTAAACAGTAACAGATCGGAAGGTGCCTGGTGGAGAAGTGACATGTTATTGACACCATACTTGTATGTTTCACAACAATGATCTAACATATAAGGATGTGACTCCTCTATCTAACGAGTGGCCGGGTTGGGCGTTGTGGTTGCCCAAATCCACTGTCTTCATTTCTCCCGAGACGAGACAATTTTTATTATTCAAATACTACTTCGGACAAAAACTTCTTGCGTGAAAATTTAGATTTATTTCTGATAATAAAACATTTGTGGGTGTCGAGAAGGGATAGTAACTTTCCACTTCTTGCACGGAAGGAACATGTAGTTGAGTCCAGGAGCCATATATCCCCATTATGATATGATCGTTGTTGCTAAGTGTGCATCTCACATGTAAAAACTTGTAATTATAAAAGTGTGTTCATTCGTGCACATTAGGCGAACATGAACAATACAGATGAGAGCTTTGCTGATCTTTCGCTTACCTCCTCGGAACCACCAGGTGCCGGACTTGTGCGATGCTCTACAAAATCAACCGTTCCATTTACCGCTTGGATGTCCGAATCCTCGATATCTGAGTCCTCAGGTGCTCTTGAACCTATGACAGCTGTTTTTGCGGGCAATTCCCTCCTCAAAGCTATCTGCCAACGATGGATAAAGATATGAGTATGTATAGGTTCCGATGGTTCATAAAACAATAACTGCGTGAGGCTTTCAATCATGAGAGCTCACAAGTAGCTCAAGTTGACTCCGGCCACAATTAGTTTTCTGAAAGTTGTATCGTTATGTGCCATACTGAGTCTTGTACGTTAAGGTGTTAGAAGTGTTTTTTCCCCAACTTGGGATTAGATGCAGATCATGAAAACAGCGCATAAGACAACCAGAAAAATACACAGATGCAATGAAACATAAGATGTGAAAGAGTTCCTTGGTATACCTTTCCAGTTCTTGCTAGCTCTTTGATTCCATACTTGTTCATTGTCGACTGAAATGCCACCAATTTTCCTGGATCACCAGTTACCTGCAAGCAGAAAGATTGAGTAACAGAAGATCAACAGTTTGTCGCATCGCTTGATAAGACAAATTCAGATTTACAAGTTTATGACGAAAGTTGTAAATCGGCGCCTAGTATGTCTAAAACTTAGCTCAAAGTATATTAAAAAATTAAAAATGTGATAGGTGCGTCTGTTGTCACTGTGAGTGGTATTTTGTCGCAGAGCTTCAAGGCACTTCTCTACAAATTTCGACTAACGATTATGCTATTCATGAAGTACTGATATCAATTGGGCAGGAAATGAAAGATCCGCCGCGACGATTTTCAGGTTGGTTTAAGCACTTACTTCAATTGTCAATGAGTCTTCGGCAACGTCTACCACACGACCTCTGAAAATTTGTACCAATCCCTGAACCTGTATAAGATGAATATCGACATTGGACAGTGAAAATAAATGAGAAAGAAAAGTCAGATCAAATGAGTAAAAACAATCGCATAAATTATGATATATAAGATTACTATATTTATTTCTATACATTTGAGGAAACTACGAAGATAAGTGGCTGCAAATATAATTCCCTGACTTCAAAACAAATGTGAATTATGTTACCAAACAATTATGTCCCACCAAAGTGGAACATAATTCTCAGTAATTACCTCTACGCGATTTTGTGCAGGTACATGGATCTTCAAAAGCATCAATTCTCGCTCCACCCTCTTTGCTTTTGTTAAGTCTGCGACCTGTCCAGAGGGAGCAATCATGGAGAAGAATTCATGACAGGCAAAATACATAATTCATCAGAAGATACCACCTGTTGAAATGTATCTTCCACATCTGTGTAATCAAAGTGACAAAGAAAACCACAAACTTGTTTTCTAGAAATCCGTTTTCCAAAGACAGAGTCAGATGGTCACTAAATTCAACTCATATAGAAGTACGCACGATTCTTTCGACTGAGTTTACAACAGTAGAATTTACAAAATCGATACTATTTCGTCCTGATAATTTGACTATTTTGCAAGGTTCAAAGATATCAGTTTCTTCATGGTAGTTTGAGGACTAGTTTCCACAGACATTGAAGATCATTCCTATGACTTACTTCCATCACCGACACCTTCAGATGCAAAGTGTGTGTAGTTTTTACAAAAGCTAGTTAACTTTACTTCCAATATTCGGAGTAAAACTCAATGGGGTATCTTCAGTTCGTCTTTCACAAAGTACTTTGATTGTGTGGAACTCGAAGGTTGTTCTGCCCGTCTTTTCTCACCGTTTGCCAGACATATCAGCAACTGATTAGAAGATTTACCTGTCGCACGTTCACAAGTTTGTAGAGTTGCTGCATGACTTGTTGCAAAACGAGCTCGGTTCCGTTCACAACGATGGTAAACAAAGCCTTGTCTTTGTTCAAACCGACAGCCAAAGAATCGATATTGTACCCTCTCCTAGCGATGACCCCGGCAATTCGATTGATCATACCGCTTTCATCTCCCACAAACACAGATATAGTGTGCCGACGAACTCTGTAAAATAATCCTCAAAGATAAGATTACTTTCTCATTCATATTTTACCAAACCATGGCAAGTGAACAACTCTGAATATTGGGAGGAATCAAATGAACCTCCAAGACACTTTTGTAACTTCCTCAATACATAATGTGAAGGGCACCAGGACCGAGCTAACTTTTTGAGAGCAGTAGGATGGGCTGTTTTGGCAGGTAGACTATACAATTCAATTTGCAAGCTTGCAAAAGATCGAATACATACATGATTATTAAATTCTCTGGTTTTTGGGAGGCTTGGATCCTCAAATTCGCACACAAATTTTCCAAGACTCAACGTTCACATTGATTGTTAAGTCAATAATTCGATTCGACTATTAGGAGATGATTATTTTGCAAGCTCTTTTCTGGCTACATCAGTAGCTGAAGGATGAAGAACCGGAGTTGTCTGTGTATAATACATCACTAAATCCATAATCCAGCACATTGAGTTCCACGCCCGAGTTCCAATACCCGTTCTGCTCTGAAGTGGTTGTTCATCGATTCTAGGGGATTCATTAACTCGGACATCCAAAGGAAGCTATACCATAACCCTTCAAACGAAACAGAGCTCTTTGAAAGCACCCAGAATGCCCGTAATGAAGGCACATTGTACGGAAAACAGCAGGCATTCACGAATCGTCTGCAGCCCAAGAGCTACGATGGATGAGAAAACAGCCTTACGCTGAAGGGGCTCGCTGAGGGGCAGTGTCGGGAATCTTCGTCTGCACCATGGCAGAGCATTGTGCTCCTCTCTGAATCCTGACGCCGGGAGTGCCGAGGTCCGCACCATACTTTTCGTACGAACGAGACGGAGGTCGAAGAGGCAAAAAACTCTGCGCAAATTGCGATGTACTCAAGCTGGAAAATCTGGAAGCAGCTCCGTTCTGGACACCGACGTGCGCACCCGCAGCACCAGCGATGCCGTGCGCAAGAAGAGCCATGTCGCTTCTCTGCCTCGCCTCACTCCAATTCTGCTATTCCACAAACGCCGAGAAGAAAGGCCGCAGAGACTGAGAGCTGCACTTTAACCCGTCCAGACCCCAGAGCCCGAGACGAAACTTGACTTTGCCTTGCGGCGCAAGAGATTCCGTCGCCACTTCACTCCCATGAGTCCAATCTGGGCTTCGAGGAGGATTCCCTTTACAGTACTGTACTTCCCCGATGCTGATGATGATGAAGTCTCGCTTTTTTCTCGGTCATGTCGAAGAAGAGCTTCTTTTGTCGGACGCGAGTCCTGTACCCCGTCTTCCGGCATCGCCTCGGTGGCCATGCCGCAAATCATTAGCGGCTAATTCCTTCGGCGTGGTCATGGTCCAGGCCTTGCGAAGCCTGTAGGGAGGTCACTCGATGTAGTTACTTTTGTCGTCGACTGCGTCCGGATCTCTCTCCGGGCTACGTCATAACTACGTCGCTGTTTAGTCCTTGCTCTCACCCTCGAGTCGAATAAAGTAAGCGTCAGTCAATTAGACTCTCAGCTTTAATAGTTCCATCTATTGAACTTAATAATAGACGACTTTATTTCTTCCTTACAATTTTGAGTAATTTATTTCGAAGATTTATTATAGCATATATAGTTGCTCCTGGTAAATAAATATCCACTGGAAATAATTGACAATATAATATAGAAGAAATCATTTATCTACCCCACGATTGTAGTATATGAATCTGTACTGAACAAGTCTCCAGTAAAAGTACACGCACCCATTGCAATTACATATTTGGGTTCAGGAATTTGTTCAAAAGATCTAACTGAGGAAACTAATCATATAATCTAGCCATTTTCATAGTCACAGTACCAGCTGTAAAAATGAATCCTGCTCGTCTAAGGCTGAATCTAGGCACTAAACTATAACGATCAAAATCTAACCGTGATGGAAATTATATTAAACCACTTCTTGTATCTTTGAAGGTACAAGAATTTGTTTTATATAATTTCCACCACTAAGTGGCCATAGTCTAGCAAGTCTAGCCCGATAAGGAAAAAAGCTTAGAGTTTTTGAAGTTATTAATTTGTAAGAGTTTTGTTAATAGAAGAAGACTCTACTCTCCAGGTGAAGAACGTAAGCTTCAGTAACTTAGACTTTCAAAGTCAACTCTCAACATTAATAGTTTCATTTTTCGAACAGAAGCCAAGGTATACAAGACACACCGAATAAAAGTTCATGGTAGGAGCAGAATGCAATCACAATTGATCTTCAAAGATGACATTATTGATGAAAGAGTTATACAAGTTTTAAATAATAATTTTTAAAGAAAATAAATGTACATTTATATCAATTTGTGTTGCAATGAGATTATGTATTGATATTTGCAGAAATTTAGGAAATTGAGTTGTCAATTGAAGAATTGAACCAATAAAAATATTGCAACGGAGTATATAATTATTCATATATGTGTAAAAAGTATATGTAATAAAACAGAGAATAAGTTGTTTATCTTCATATGATAATATCGTGTAATGTCATGGATGAGGTATGTACAATGTGGAGTCAGATTGGAGAAAGAAACCTATAAGAATTTGTAAATGAAATATCATGTATATAGTCAAACGAAAACTTCATATTCTTTGTGACTGTAAAACGATGACTACTATAGATGATGTATAATCTATGCATTTTACTATCAAAGTTGATGATTATTAAAAAAATCTTTATATTTTTTTAATGACTAATACATATTTATATATTTATATTATTAGTTAGTTAGTATAATGAGGTCTTTTGAATATTAGCAAAGCAACATCATCAAGTAATTAAGTACTATCGATTACACATGAACTGCAAAGCTCAGTATTGTCTGGTTTTAAATGAGTTGAAAAATTGCAAACCGGAATGACTGAGATGCAAGAAAATATCCATACCCTTGACTTTCATACTATCTAACATGTTCTTACCATGTGGCACGGACGTACTGCCTCCTGCTTCTCCCCTAGTTGCAGACCTCCTTGAAGATCGCTTACGATCACAAGGCTTGCCGTCCTTGCATTACTTTTAACTTACCTTGTTCGTAGTCTTCCGAAATTTTCGAACCCACTTTGTGGCGAAAAGGAAATTCCCGGATACAGTTTATACGATGTTAGTACTTTTGATGGACGGAAGGCAGTCTCCTACGGTCCAGAGTATTTCCGAAAAGGAGACCTGAAGAGTCTTGAACACACATTGGGGAAATGCAGATTCAGAATACATGATCTCGTTCAGCGCCGCGGGCAAAATCCGTCTTCCCATGGCTCTGCCGCGTTAGTCTCCTTCAGCAGTGATCTTATAAATGAAAGCTTTCGATTGCACCAACTTCTGCGATGGACAATCGTTGTAGTATCTCGACGCGTCGTAGTTATGTCGAAGCTTGTGTGTCGCAATGTTTGCGTACTCCACCTGTAGCTGAACATGCGGTAATCTGAAGCTTCTTGGCCCTAAGAAGTTATTTCACCCCTTTTCCTTGGATGACATGAAATGTTTATACATTAGTGCAAAATTATTTACAGTATTTACATCGCACGCTGTTCCCTAATCGAGCACCAGAGGAATGATAACACCACGTCCAAGAATGAGTATCAAAGACAACTGCCAGGCCTTCCTCGTAAATGAGGGAGATCTTGAATGTTCGACAGATACCGGGGCTTGAAGAGAGCTTCTTTGCAAAATGGTTTGCGTAGTGTACAATCTGTCTCACGAAGACTGAATAGAGTCTTCGAAATGGTTCTTGGAAAACTTTGTCACCAAACAAAGTCCAGCCAATTAAAAAACCTTATCCACCTATCCTTTAACCTACCTCATCGATAGCAGAGTAACCATTCCGTGCTACTTCTGAATCCAATCACCTAAACATCAAGGCAGAGATACGCAGTGGACTGCACCTGATTCGATTTTATTGCCAATTCTAGTCCACGGGTATCACTTCAGGTTTTGGACCTATTCAATTGGCACATGACGCATCTTGCACACCAGTCGGAGACTAGGAATGTCATAGTGGGTGCCTTCCTGTTTTGCCATTTCAATAAGCTTCTCTCGTGGGGCGGCAACGCAAGCATGGAAGGTGGAAAGGACCGGAGGTGTGGTCATTGACAGGGCAGAGAGCACGTTGCACAAATACTCGATGTCTGCAGCAAGTTGTTGAGCCCCACGCTCATTCAGTGCTTGGATGCCCCGAATTTGCTCGATGTATAGAGCCGTCGCCCCCTCAGCAACCTAGAGTTACATGTACGCAGGCAAGGATGAGTACAAGCTAGTCATGAAATCAGCGTAATAAAAAACGAAACTTGCGTAAGCAAGTGGAGGTAACAGATAGTGTACTGCATACCTTGAACATCCACTCCGTAGCCAAAAATTGAGCTTCATCAACGCTTTCTTCTGCACCGTCTCCTCCCATTGCTGATCCTCCCATCCCCGCTGCACCTGCCGCTACAGGTTCAAGTTGCTGGGGCAGCGTGAAAAGGTACTCCCCGATGCTAGTGACATAAGCGAGCGGGTATGCGCTGAAGTTTGGTAGATCAAAAGCATTATCTTCCTCTTCGGCACACCAGACAGGGAGCCGGGCAACATCCGCTAGTTTTAGTCGCACTTTGGAGATCAGAACTTCGTACACAAGCTCGTTCACCGCCTCCGAGAATGCGGCGATCCGCTGAGCTGTCTGTGGCAGGGTATGGAACCTAGGATCTTGTGCCTGTGAAAGTAACACAATAGTACGATATTAATACCTCTGTATTCAACTCTGATGAGACATCTACCATCCGCCGATTTGTTCACTGATTCAGTCGAACTTATCAACCGTGCCGCCGGGCGCATCGACTCTGGTGCGATACTTCACACGATTCCGGGTAGCCGACATGGTAAATCACCTTCTATCTGCCATGAAACTCATGCCAACTAGTGGACGCACCTGCTCAAGAAGGCTCATCAGCCGTCGTCCATTATCTGGCAAGTCTCCCAATCGTAGGACTGTCATGTCCAAAGCACCTGGTCCTCCGGTTGTGGCAGCCTCTGCTCCAGTACTCCCAACCCCAGATTGGTCATGATGGGGGAAAAATGTAGACAATTGCAAGCGACCAGCTAGCCTTGTCAAAACTGAGCGTAACGAGGCTTCGAACACTGAAGCGCGGGCGGTGAGTACATCGGCCGCAGTCAAAAAGTGAAGAGCACCTTGCACAATAGCCCACTCCTCTTCCTCTGGGATCAAATCGACATTACTCGAGCCTACATTTGAACTGTCTTTCCTAGTGCCTCCTGTCTCCGGTCCAGAATCTCTCTTAGAAGCATCATGGTTTCCACGATCTACGCCACAAAGGGGACGCATTGATTTGAGCATCTCCATAAGCGACGCTAAATAGTGGAGCATGACTTCGTCCAAGGTGCGAAGGAATGCCTCTGCCTCTGAGCCACCAGTAAAACTTAGGCAACGTTCCACTGCAGCTTCCAAAACTAAGATCAACTGTGGAATGGAGGCTTCAATGCGCCCAACGGTCTCACTTAATTCAACTCCACGCTGTCCAACACCACGAGGCACAGCTCCTCGGATATCCATGGATGCAATTTCACTGAGAAGCTGAGCACGTTCCAATTCTCCATACCTACAACACGATGAAACCCGAGGTTATCGTTTATAGCTACAAGTCGGGAAAAGGCCCATACCAAGCGCTGGTTAGAACTCGAAGGTACACGACCGGAAAACTCAACAATATAGGTGAAAGATATTTGCGAGGAATTTGCCAGGAATTTGCCATTCTGTTACTAGCTAGAATATAGACTGACACCTTCTTCATCTTTAAATCTCACTACTAGTTTGACACCCACCATCTATCATGAATGCAGATACTTAAAATGACGAGACACATTCAGACGTGATCGTGGGACATATTGCAAAACTGCAAAGCTTCAATCGTTTCTACGGTTTAGAGTTCAGCAACTAGAAAATAAACCAAACCTTTAAACAGGTCCTTCAATAGGTCTTGCGAGGCCAGGCTTTAAAACCTCACACTTCGGTACGTTCTCCGTGCATAATCATCTCTAGTTGAATTGAAAGGTTTAGAGGCCAAAAATTTATATCCTCCAGATCTTTTTTACGGTAATACTAAAACCTGACTGGAGTAACGTGATGTAATGCAAGAGTTCTACAAACCTGCGCTTGTATCCTTCATACGGGACATAAACAGCCTTGAGAACGCGCGCAACCTCTGGTGTCTCAAAACCAGATAGTAAATGCTGCACGTTTTTTGCAAATTCACCAGTCATGTTATGCAGTGCAATAAGAAGCCCCAGTCTCGAACTACGTCCTTTCTCAACACCTGAATTTTCTCCAGCCCCTAGAAAGTAGCGGATCATTTACATTTTGGACAGGTTAGTTTTCGATACACGTTTCTAGTCATATGGTTCAGAGTGTATACCTCAGTATGCCTCTCATAGCATGAAGACCAAGGACTCCACACCCTGGCTTGGCGGAGCTTGTAATGAAAAGTTTCAACAGAGAAGGATGCACCGCCTCATATTTCTAAACACCGAATTATCTCTAATAGCGTTTGAAATATATGTTGAAGCCACATTCTAGCAATAAACAACAGCTATTTTCTTTCAAGTGAGCCTTACAGAGTCACCGAAACTCCACGCATGGTCATATACAATCACTAGGGCTTGCGCATAAGCGAAAAGCCGGCACTTCTCTAACAACTTGATACTACACATAGTACAAAGTTAAGAGACACAAGTTCATCCGTTCTAGAGAGACGATAAGTAAGGACATATTACAAACTTACCTCCTGAAGCTCTAACCTCTGCTGTTGTTTCTTCAGTAGCTGCTTCAATGCGAGCTCCAAAGCTGGACGATATTGCTGACATTGTCTCCACCAGTAATCTCGGGACCAACAACTTGTAATCATCAGGAAAGGCCACCGTACACCTGTAAGATGGAAACAACACAATCTGAAATCAAATCTCGGACATTCGTTTGGGGTGTCTTTTTTTAGCTAAGCCAACTGAGCACGGCATATGTTCAACTATAGCTTCAAGATTTTCAAAAAATCAAATCCACATTTCCGAAAGCAAATTTCAGAAACAAAATTGACGATAATGCTCTTCACAAGGTCCGTCGATAGCCACCTCAGATGAAAATACTGTAAGAGCAATTTGAGACTTGAACTTTTCAATTCTACTTACCACTTTAATTCTTGCTCAAGTTGAACGAGAACTTCGTCATAGAATTTAGGAAGCCATTCCGCAAAAGAGACAGAAACACTGTTTGGTCCAGCCAATGTTTGCAATTTCACACCAGTTGCAGACTTTCCAATAGGAAGGCCTCCTTTACCAGACTCAAATTCCTCCCATAGACGACGCAGTGGCCGAACACGCACTCTTGTATAATGTTGCTCCAATGAGCTATAGCGACCAATTGTGATGAGAATATCCCTCAAACCTTGAGTGCTATCAACCTAATGAGCAATGAACATTCCCATGGAATAAGTTTTTCTACTATTGAAAGCTGATAAAAAGTCACCACGAGAGACAACGTAGGCATTTCAACATCCATCACTACAAATGAGCCTGAGACCGGAATCCGTCACAAAAAAATGAGGGCAGGCAACTGTTCAGAGCATACCAAAAGTTACTAAGAACAGATGAAACGCCTACAGAGCAATCGCAAGTACCTTGCGTTGTGAGAGGGCTTCAGCAAGCTTCGGTTGAACCATTGCTTCAAGTCGATCCTCTAGCACCTCTAATTGTCGTTTCACATTGGCGAATTCTGGAACCTGACGAACACAAGCTAGATTATTAAACAATACTACGTAGATTATTAATTAGATAATAATATATGGAACAAATATATGATAGTGAGTCTCATTCAAAGACCGCAAAATTTATAACGGGAAAAGAGTGGATAGTCTGATTCTTGCCTAATAAAAATATAGTAAATTTCTTCAAATTCATGCCACTATCTGGCTATATGTCAGAATCGATAAAGTATAGTTTAAATAAACCCTAACATCATAGTTACCAATGACTAGTGTCTCTAATACTGGCAATTCAAGACAAGTCATTGTAAAATAAAAATTTGTCTGACTTCCTGCCTGCGATTTTGAAGAAGAAACTGAATGAAAACGAGGAAACAAGGGAACACAGCAAGGGCCCAAATGCTCACATCATGCCCGCAATAAAACCATGCACATCATGCCAGTATTGAGACAAGAAAGATAGTTCCTAGAACCCATTTGTCATGCACTACATGAAAAATTGCGATATGAAAACGGCCCTTCCGATATAGTATCCAATCAAGAGTACCTCGCCCACAACTGACAGGCATCGCCTCATATTTGCCAACGTTTCAGCTGCTCTAGGAAGATCCCCGCTAGCAAAAACCTCCTCCACGCTGGCACTTAACTTCGCCAAACCAGCAGCATCCTGCATACCACAACACAGTAAGAAAATGCACTTTGGAGAACCCTGGTGGAATTTTCCACGAAAATTTTCAGCTTTGTGCTGAGCTGAGTAAATGATTCAATAGACTTACTAACTATGATAGGTACAGTACACAAGGCTAGAATAACAACCGAGAGCCGCATATGGCTTCCAATCTCCGAACCTGTAGTGTTTCGTGAGCAGCTTCCATGCGCTGCTTGACAACGTCCACCCGAGCAAGTGCTGCAACTGATTCGGCAGACGTCCCATCTGCCTGTCACAAGAGGAGGACATTAGGGAAGGTGTACAAAGGATTCATGAGCAAAACCATGTATGCTACAAACTCTAGACTGATTCCAGAGTTCAAGTTTTATGGAACACGTTTCATTTTGTAAGTCAAAAGAAGTATCGTACCGGTTCAAGACTCACGAAGTAAGTAGAATCGAACAAACAATGTACGGAATACATAGCTGCTAGCTTGACCACTAATGCATGAACAACATGGACACAGAAAGATTCGAGTGGATAGAGTAGCTGAAGAAGGTAAAGCTATGTTTCAGGAAGAGTGGCATGATAGTGAGATGTTTCACTGGATAATTCGATTTGAGACAGTCGCAGTTCAGTCCAAGAAACCTTGTGTGAACGCCATTGAACGAAAGTTTTATTTGAGTTATAATGAGTGTATGGCAATCATATACGATTTCATCATGTTACTCAAATTTATAATACCTAGATGCACACAAGAGAAAAGTATATAGATGAAAAAGTTGTGCTTCATATCCAAGAAAAAATTGAGAGCTCCACAAATAGACAACCTAAGCTCATAACTTCGATATCACAAACGAGCAGTATAAACAGTTAGAAGTGACACAATAGGTACTTTTAAAACCTTCTACAAGAAACGTAGCCTTCTTTCCTTACAAAATGTCAGCAAGGACAAGACATTTTGGAGCTGGTTCTCAACAACAGTTCCACTTCAGTTTCTGTCGTTCCCACTCGAAAGCTAATTCGTTGCTGACTGACTCTTGAGAGCTTGAAAAGAGAAAAGTATCAGAAAGAGCAGGACATGACAGCCAATTCAACCTGAAGAGGCTAGTGGAGGAAACATACTTCCTAGATTAATTACATGAAAGCAACACACAACAGTTCTTGAAGTAGATGGTGAAGAAACAAGTAAAGAAGAAAAGTCCTTTGTAGCTCAGGAATACGAATGAAAAAAAATCTGCTGGAAAATCCCAATGTTCAAGCTGATATCTTCGTATGAGAAACACTGCTCTAATAAACGGTAATTGGATTGCACCCTCAAAGGATAGTGCCACAGCTGATTGCAAAATAAATCTAGGTGAGAGACGAGATTTGAAGTTTCAAACCTTTTACAATTCCAGTGAAATTCCAGCACATTAAAAACTCTTCGCAGCCGTTTTTCGCCACGACAATGGCCAGGCTGTTGTATCAGAACGGCTGCGCTAGATCTCAGATAAAATTTATTCTGACTACTATCGATACTGTCACAAGTTGTTGAAGTTCTCCTAAGTTCAGGTAATGATGGCCAATTCAAAAATGTAGAATTATAGTTGTCCAGGGAAAAGGAGATCCGGAAGTCGAAGAACGGTACAACTAGCATCTGGAAAATGAACAATGGACAGGAGATGAGGAGAGCAACCTGCTTAAGCTTGGCAAGAATTGCAGAAACAGTCGCACGCAATGTGATAGCATCATCCCGCACCCGAAGCACATCTCGAGATGCTCTCGGAACTCGCAACAAAGCTCCGGTACTTTTCTCATCCAAATCGGCGGTAATCGTTTCCGCCATCAGCTGGAGTTTCATCTCCAGATCGGTGAGGTACCGATCCACAGGATCGTCGGGCAGCCGATCCCGACAGGCTGCATTCAACCAGGCCTTGGCATCGTACTTCTCATCCCCGAACAGGGCGAGATCGACCATCATCTTGACAATCTCCCGATCTTCCCACCTGACTTCTTCACATTACACTTGCCACATTCCACACAATCCTCGGCCTCCCTTCCTCCTCGAGCCGCGCCCTCAGTGACTCACACATCCATCCATCGGTTCTTGATCGACAAACCGACCGACGACGCTGCGCTGCGCTCCAATCTCTCCCTCGCCTCTACCGTCTATCATGCGAAGGCAAGGCAGGAACGAGCGAGCGAGCGACCGATGGACCGAAAGCTCGGAGGGAGACCGCGTCAGATCGCCGGGTCGTCAGTCGAGACAGCTTTACCTCGAGGTACGTACTCCGGCGTCCGGAGTAACTAAGTGCGTTTGGTCCTTAACTTGGTAGGAAATCCTGCGGGGCTGCCTGTCCTACCCTTCTCTTAAGGAGAAGACTGCTCACGTGCTATCGCCCGCATAGGTCGTTCCAGAGGAAGCCTTTAGGAGTTTCCGACAGATCCTGGGCTTTTGAAACCTCGGACAGATTGGCGGAAGTAACTTGTCTGGACCTGAGCGTATTCCGACTTCTTCTGACTCTGACTGGGTCCAGTAGGGAACTGCAGACTCTTTGAACGTAAGCCCAGAGCAAGACGCCCCACCTTCCGGGCGTGGTAGATATACGTTTACCAGACACTAACTCTACTGCAGTTAGTGTCCAAACCTGAGCTTGTGCGGGTTGCATAATATCAGCCGCATGTCTGTTCACTACGAAAGCTGACGAAATATATTAATAATAGAAAGGATACTGGATCTCGATCTGAGCACTTGCATAGGTACTAACCAATTATAATTATGATCAGTATGTTGTATCTCGATCTGAGCACTTGCATAAGTAGAAATGCTGAAGAAGGAACAAAAAGTTGCCGATCTCGATTCCAGCGCTTGTTTGTTGCTTAAATTTGCTGTCTAAAATGTTCTACATTTCGTTGATCCAGATCTGAACTCTTGTGTGTTTATTTCAATAGCACTTTGATTTATTATTGAAGTGCCAAGGGAGATGACATTTTGACCAATTCAAATTTCACCTGACGCGTGGAGTTGTTCTCTGGCACAGCCAGGTCAAGGATTTCATCTGCTACATCAGCAGCTACAACATGCCTACACATGAAAATGTATTTCTAAAATTTTACCGAAAGAAATTACAAGTATCTCAGATACCTACCCCAACATTTAGTTTTTCTCTTTGGGAAAATAGTATAATACTCTACATCATGTTACTCCATGTCAATACACAATAACCACCACTATTCAGAAGGATCTTTTCATACTTTTAAAATAAAAAGATGAGAAACATGTTACAAGCTCTCATAGCAACGATATCAACCTATGAACTGCCATCGATGAAAATCCCTGAGTTCAGTATGCAGGATTTGCACTCACACCTCTGGAACTGATCCTCGTCAAGTAAAAATTGTGGACAACGATGAGAACCTCACACAAACTCGAAAGGAAAGAGTCAATTGTCAGGTATCATCTCCAGGTTAATTTCAAGACTATCCATGAGAAGAATTCACCCGTTGACATAGGAGGGGATTCCACAGTAGGCTCGACTCTTGGTTCGCCAGTTTTGATCGGTCAACCCGTGAGAGTGTATGTGAGTTGTGCCTGGCATGGAAATGACCGTGTAAATGTGCCTATGTGAGAAAATATGTGACATGGAAAACACAATCACATTTTCAAACAGCACAAATAGAAGCAAGTAGGAGAGGATGGGAGGGGGTGGGACAGCAGGGGTGGCCACTATCGTTGCGGACTTTTCCCCGCTGCCCTAAGCTCGGAGTCCACGAGGGACCTCCGTGGACCTGCGTGGCCGAGGTCTACTGCCCATCGGGCGAACCGCAGGACGGCACGTGTTCGGAGGCATGACAGTGCCAGAGCCCAATGTGGCAGCGGCCCGCGGAGGGGGACGAGGGGAATGATTCGGCCACCTACTGTACTAACTCGGCACGCACCTGTTTTGCGCTGAACCCTGGGCGACCCGAGATTCCGTCGATTTTCTATGCCTTCTCCAGTTGTATATATGTGAAGGAAGCCGCGCTCGAGTAGCCTGCACAATCTTTGCGTTGTCTGCCTCCTTCTTTCTTTGTTTGCTGCTGCTGCTGTTGTTGCTGCTGCCTGCGCTCGAGGTGGTTTAGGATCGTCGTACGTCGATCGGACGAGAAGCGCAAGCAAGGCTGTTCGTACAAGATGGCCGTGACCAAGAAGGCCGTGGCTGTACTGAAGGGAAATAGCCCCGATGTGACCGGCACAGTTGTGCTGATGCAAGAGGATGATGGTCCCACTCAGGTTTCCGTCAAGATTTCAGGGCTCGCTCCTGGGAAGCACGGATTCCATTTGCACGAGTTCGGCGACACCACCAATGGGTGCATGTCGACGGGGCCGCACTTCAATCCGCAGAAGAAGACCCACGGCGCTCCCGAGGATGAGGTGCGCCACGCTGGAGACCTGGGCAACGTTATCGCCGGCCCCGATGGCAAGGTCGAGGTGACGATCACGGATGCGCAGATTCCTCTCTCAGGACCCCAATCGGTCGTCGGCAGAGCCTTCGTCGTCCATGAAGCGGAGGATGACCTTGGAAAGGGTGGGCACGAGCTCAGTTTGTCGACTGGAAATGCTGGAGGCCGTCTTGCCTGTGGTGTCGTCGGATTGACCCCTGCTTCCACTCCCCTGTAATTGTGGCGAACATAGTCACCCGGTACGTGCTATTGTGCTAGCCGATGTCCGGGGATCACTCTTGGTCGCTGTGTTTTCAATTGGGAACGATCTTTATCGGACATTTGAGTGCCATCCCATCAATGTAAGAAATTGACCTCGTTATATACAAAGTGAAAAGTCCGTGTTGTAAGATTGTGTCATCGTTTTCTGCTCCTCTTTTAGAGGTTTATCAATATGATGTGTCTGGGTTGCACGGATAAGGCTTCAATTGTTTCATGGTTGTCAAAGAGCGTCTGCTGCACTAGAGGAGGATTTCTCCTTTCGCTGCTGTCATTCTTCCTCCAAGCGTCGACTTGTTGGGCTTTCACACTTGTCTCTTGTCATGAGGGAACTTTCCGCACGATTTTGCGGCTCGGAATTTCTGCACCTTCAGCCCGCTATCTAAGATTTTGGTCGATGCATGAATTCTTCACTTTTCGATTTGCAGTGTATGGTGTCTGAAATGTCTTGATAACATTCGCCACTTTTGTCAATGTCTTATCTCCTTAGTAAAAGAAAGGATAAGGGTTGTACACCCGAGGTTGCCTTCAATGGTTACCTATGTTAGGTCTCAATTATGTAGGAAGGATGAAGGATATCTGATTGTATCTGATTTGCCTGAACACTCGGATTCAACCAATACATTTCAACAGTGTATGTGGACTGTCGAGTGTACGAGATGGGTTTTAAGTAACTTGAATGTGCTCATGCTCAATCCGCGGATATATGCGTCTTACAGAACATGGGGAATGTTAGAGTTGGAGAATGATCTTCAAGTTCTGGAGTTCTGAAGGTTCTCAGCGCTTGTCATCGCTAACTTAACAGTGACCCTTGTTGTTTCATATATATTTAGAAGTGTGGTAAGTTATCAATCACGGTACGTGCTAAAATGAAGAGTATTGTTCTCTCGAGAGGATCACTTTTCCAAATTAAACGAGAACATGCATCATCGGCATGCAAGACGGTACGACGTGACATCTTCGTGCACATCTGCACAGAGGAATGGTTTACAAGACTTTACAAGCTTCTGAAGAACAATATGCCGATTCAATTCCACAGGTGTGTACGGGCGCCTTTTGCCCTCACCATCCAATCCGTGTATTGTTGTTGCTGGATTATTTGCTCTCATGAAGATCGTTCCTTCATATGGTTATGACAATGTGATATGTCGCTGCTGTCATAATTTAAGCCTCTTTTTCAGCTCAAAAGATGCCTTCAAGTATGGCAATTATGGCGACTTCTATTAACACCAGGTTCTAACTCTTGGTATTGACTTACTCTGTAATGGATCCATTGTAGAGTAAGTCCATACCAAGAGTTAAGACTTATGGCCTTGTTGCCAGGATGACTCTTCTTTTTTGTTTGTTTTAAATATTGAGGTGTGGGCCAAATGAGGCGAAGAGTAAATGTATTTGCCATTCTTTACTTCAGCATGTATTGATTATTCTTTAGAAGTGGCAATCACTGGAATTGTTGCTATATTTGCTCATCGAGCTAGTGGCAACTTGTACTAACCTGATTTATGATAGCAATGTCCCATGATGGGACAATGCTACATAAATCAAGTTAGTACAAGTTGCTTTGAAGCACAGGTTGATTTCCAAGGGTTTAGTTGCCGAACCAATTATGGATGGGTGCTGAGCAAGACTCTAAGAGCAACCAAATGGTTTGGCAACTGAACCAACCCCTAAGTTATCTCACACGTAAGGGATTGGAGACTTTTTTTCTCAATAAGGAATCTAAACAGTTCATCTCGCTCTAGCGATTCTCGCTTGCAAAAAAATCGAACTTAGCATGGGGCTTTTTCCTCTAGTAAATGAATTGTGCAAAATATTGAAAAAAATCTCTACCGTATCATAAGTGCATCGTAGTTGAAAAAAATGTAGCCGAAAAGAAGCCAATAGTGGAGACAAAGGTAGACTATCATTTGAACCATGTCATATGGTTTATCTCAACAAGCCCATAAGTTATCTTCAATCTAAGCCGTTGAAGAATGTTTTTCTCAACAAGGATTGTGATCATGCTTTTAGCTCTTTCACTTCTGGTTTGCAATAAAGTCGAAGTTGGCATGTGATTGGCTTTTCTACGTAATGTATAGTACAGAAAAATGGGATACTTTCTGCCGTATGAACTGTATAGAATAATGGAAATTTGACGTGTCCGACGAGAAGCCACAAGTGAAGATAAAAGCTAGACTTTGACCAACAGACTGTCCAGGAGTAGTAAAATAATAAAAATGTTAAAAATATGTTCTTCCTTCTGAAACATCAGAAATGTCATGTAATGTTCTCACTTGTCATGGAGGTATCGGTTCTATATCAATGTCAGAAATCGTGCAACCTCCATGTCTTCTACCACTTACAGAAACTCTCCACTTGGATGTCCACATGAGGAAAATTCAAAACAAAATTTACATGTTCATAAGTTTTTTGCATGGAGATTGTGATCTACTTCGCACTTTGGCGAAATAAAATTGCTTGTCTACTAAATTTCTTTCCATTCAAGGTTCTCATTGTTTTATATTTAGATTGAAAATTTGCGAAACGGGAAATATTCTTATTATATGAAAGTATTTATTTTTTATTATTCTGTGTAAAATAAAGTATATATATATATATATATATATATATAAGTCGAGGAAACAGTGTCCGGACTCTTTCCCGAACACTTAATGACTTGACTACATTGGGATAAAAGTCTATCTTGTCTGATGTACAACTTACGTATGTAGTCAGCGAAATCTGACATTACAGGTCTCACAAGTTCTACCCTTAATAGGATTTACATTACTAACGATTTTTCATGTTAGCAGTAAATCTTCTCCCAGTTGTCAGCAGAGTAGGCACATGAATACTTTTCAGACCGTGTTCAATCTGTAGTGGTTGGTATGCTATTTAGTGTAAATGTATTCTGATTTGTCCTATTGTGGGATGAACAATTTCAAGATGCAGTGTACGTTACCTGTTCTTCTTAGGTTAAGCAGGATGAGTATGCAGCTCTTGATTTCATCATAGCGAAAGGGAGCCCTAGAAGCCCAATCTTTCACCAAACCATACTCCTTCAGCTAGAAGGTGTGAGTGTACTGCTCTACTTTTAGGCGAGTGTAGGCTTAGTAATAAGGGACAGTCTATTAGACTTGTATTCGACCTTGTAACTTGACTTTGAGGAAGTTTTTACGCTTATTGTTGATATATTCTCATCGAGACTATCAATACACCGCTTTGCAGAAGGTGAAATCTTGTTCTATTGACTGGGGTTATGACTCTTTGAAAAAATATTTTACCATCGCTAACATCACAACGTGGAAGTTTCTCACTTCCATGAAATTAATCAAGAGTCATAGCATAGAACTATGTGACTTCTGAAGTGCTTCGGACAGACCTCGAAGACAGGAATAGCTTTCCGGCGTTTTCTAAGATTCCATGTGAGATGATAGCGTAATCAAAATGATAAACGTTCTACTGGTCCATACTTGCTTCCCATACACTACTCACATAAATAGGCTTCATTCAGTGCCTGCTAGCATGACAACTTTAACCTAGAAGAGCATGATTTCGTTTATGACTCTTACAAAGAGACTCCAGTGTGTGGACTTGCCTTCCATGTAGTGATTTCAGCAACAGATAGATCTGGTTGGGATACCAAGTCAGAATATGCAACTAATTTACAAGAATCGAAAGTACATCTTTAAATGGGAAAGGGTAACCTACAGCGACCCCCGTCTAAAAGTGTAAGGTCAGGAAGTTAGAGAAAGACAGATCGCAAGTTGGATTCCCAACAAAAATCTACATGAATCCAACTTCCGGGATGGTCTTACAATCCTGCAACTAATCAGATTGATAGCGACTGTAAGGTAAGAAGTCAGAAAAACAGATTCGCAAGTTGGATCCTCAACCAACACCTACATGAATCCAACTTTGGGATAATCTTACAGCTCTTGCAACTAATCAGTTTGATAGCTTCTACTCGCTCTTAACCTGAATTTTCACTGAGACAACAGAAAACCTCCAGCAAATAAGCTCTGAATTTACAATTGCAATGTTGGGGTTGCGTGCAGGGTAGGCTCTGTGAGCAGGTTCTGGAATCCCAGACTGGAAGGGGAAAACGCCTAAAGAATAAGAAACTTGAATTAGCTACGTACTAATCTTGAGTATCATGAAGATCATGACAATACTTCACAACCTTGAATCTCTCTGAAGGAGAATTGCTGGGGCAAAAAACAAATATAAGACGTAACAAAAATAAAAAAATTGTTACTTCTCTTGAATAGAGTTTGAAGACTGTTCAAACCACTTGCAGAAGCGAATCCTCCGCCGTTGTCGATCTTGCTCAGCTTCCAAATCGGCTTCCGCCCTAGTCCGTCTTCTCGAGTTGTAGCCCCCTTTAAATAAGTTCCGTCTAAAGAAGTCCTCAGTATCCAGCACGTACGAGACTTTGGATGTGTTACAAGAAATCTTGTATTCCAAGCCATTGACGACAGTGGCGTTCACCATCTTCTTCTGCAGAGCTACGCACTCGTCATCGGTGCCTACCACTTTGCTCTTATTTCTAGCAAGAAATATGCGATGATGGAAAACCTTCTCTTCTATGGGTATGTGCAGAAAATTATTGAGGTACGTAGAAAACGAGGACTCCAAAGCGTTGGCAGGCACGTCGTGCTTGTCAAAACCTCCCTCCATGATCTGCATCAAGCACTCCGTGGACTTTACGTTGTACTCGAACCGGTAGATGTTGTCATCGTGCAGGAGCACGCTGGCATTTGCGAAGTATACATGATCAATGAACAGCCCCGGCGGCCGGGACATTTCGTACGTATGAAGAACCAACATCTTCTGCAAAACATCGTCTGATATAGCTGCCTGCAGCTGCTTTACAAGCTTGAATATTAGCTTATCTAGAGTAAAAAGAATGTAGGACTGGGTCCCAATGATGGTCCGGCATTCATCCTCAAACTTAGCGTTGTCAGTGGACCCGTCCAGGAGGTTCAACAACACCTTTTGAAACTTGGCATACAGATTAGGAGGAGCTGTATCCTTGATGGACTTCCACTTCCTCTCGGCAGCGATAGCATTCGTTTTAGCACACAAAATACGCTCGTACAGAGTCTGATGGAGTCTGAAGATCACATAAGCATTGTCATTTCCGTAGAAGACGTTGCAGTTCTGCGAGCCCAATCTGGGAATGTCGTCGGTATCCAAGTAAGGAGCCAGAGGGGGGCATTCGGAATATGACATGTCCAAAGGAGGAGATGACATTCTATCCCGTTCCCCGTCGTTATCATCCCCGTCTCCATCGGCCTCACCCTCGCTCTCGGCCTTGCCTTCACGCTCGGCATCTTCATCATCGTCCTCGTCCTCGTGGTCGTCCTGAGAACCATCATCCGCATCGTGGGACTCGTTGCCAGAGAGATCGACGTCGTCAGACAGATTCTCGCTCGCACTCTCCTCCCCTTCATCATCGGCATCGCCTTCGACGTCCGGGTCGTTGCCCTCGGACTCCTCGATCTCCAGCTGAGGGCAGATCGACTTGCTCATGACAGCCCCGTCCAGGCCATCCCGGAGCTTGTACTTGTCTGCAAAGGTGGAGTGATTGTGCATGAATTGCGAGGTGCCCCGGTCCTCCAGATCGGGCGACGGCGACAATTCGCCCTCCTCGCGGTCGCCTCGAGTGGAGATCTCCAGATGGCCGCCGCTGCTGTTTTTGCTGATGAGCAGAGGCCGGCTCCTGTGGTTGGCCTTCACCTCGCCGGCCTTCTCCACGGACCCGAACTCCAGCTCGTCGGCCGCCGTCGAGGAACGCCTGGCAGGCCCCGGGTCGGCACTCTCGTCCACGGACATGGGCGTCAGCTTGGGAGCCGAGGCCGAGAAGGAGGAGCCGGATTTCCCCAACCCCAGAGCGTTGGCGGAGGCCACCGAGCCCTCGGGCTCGCCAGCCTTCCCGTCCTGCAACGCCGCCTTCTCGGGCTCCCGGGCCTCGCCGTAGTTGCCCGACACCTCGGCGCCATCGGCCGAGCTGCCCTTGGTGGCGGCCAGAGTCTGACTCTTGGCCGCGTCGAGTCTGTCGTCGACTCCCTGAGCACGTCGAGCCACAGAGAAGAAAGGCTCGATGACGTCCGTCCACATTCGCAAAATCTTCTGGGACTGGTCCGGAGAGTTGCACACCTCCTCCAAAGAGTACTTAATTATCTTGAACACATCCTCGTGGATGGTGGGATCCGAGTAAACGAACTTGAGGTCGGGAATCAGGGGCCGCCGATTGCCCGAGGCCACGGCCACAGCCGAATCGTCCTCCCTCCTCTTCTTCTCGCTGATCTCCTTGATTTCGGTGATCAGGGCCTTGGTGCTCAGGCTCTTCTTGTCCTGCTGCTTGAAGTAGAAGCTGCGATGATCCAGCGACTTATGGTAGTTCTTAGCATAAACCTCGGCCCAGACCTTGTTCATGTCAGTCCGACACCTTGACCAGTCGTCCTGCTTCTGCTTCAGCCGGTTGAGGATGACGGGCAGAGCCACAGAGGAATTCTTCCGTACCAGGTCAACGACGTCCAGGCCGTGGTCGCCATAAATCCGCTCGATGCAGCGAAGGTTTATGGGCGTCAAGTGATCCTCCACGTGCGGCAAGTTGAGCTTGCTCAAACTGGGATCCTGCAGAGTGTCGAGCAATTCTGTCACCCGCCGGGCCGTCACATTGGTGGATTCAAGAAGCATGTCCAATTCGAAGCGGTCGTCCTCGCAGCGGAAGAGGCTCTCCTCGTACTGGTTCTTCCGCATGTGCTTGAACGAGTAATCTTCGCTCCCGGATGTCACCGAGACCCAGCTATCGTTCAAAACCTCACGTGCCAGGTCGGTCCGATGCGTGGAAATGGGCTTGGGGTAGCTTTTGGGCAACAGGCGGTAGCTCGGCGTGCAGCGCTCGCAATTGGACAGGTCGAGCTCGGAGATGGGCTTGTTCGAGTACTTTTCCTTGTTGAACATGGACGAGGCCTTCTGGCATGTCGGGTCCTTGGGGCCCAGGAAGGCGCTTCGATCTCGGTCCTTCTCGCGCTCATGCTCTGGCTCGTTCATGGGCGTCTCGCCATCCCTCTCTTTGCGGTCGCGCTCGCGCTCCTTGTCCTTCTCGACCTTGGGCGGCTTGAGCATTGTGCCTTCGCCGAAGTCGAGCTTTTTGCTGCTGAACACGCCGGCGAGGTAGCCCTCAAGATTTTCCCGACGCGAAAGAAAGTCGTTGAAGCCATCCATAAGATCTGAATGCTTTCCTAAAATGTCGGCCACCAGGCTCTGCAGCTCGGTGCGGCTGATAATCTCCTGGCTGAAAATGTTGAGACATTTCAGAAACTCCTGGTAGGTGTCGCGGTTGCGCAATCTGCCCTTCACCTTGTCGAAGAACGCAAGCTGCTCCTTCTGCAGGCTCGAGCTCTTGAGCGACTTCTTGTCGTCGTCGACCAGAGGCGATGCCGACAATCCCTGCAGGGCCTCGCCGCCCTCGGCGGCCTGAGATTGCTTACGAATCAACTCGTCAGCTCGCCGGGCGGACTTGCGCTTGTGGGGGAGCCGCTGCGAGGCGTCCAAATCCTTTTCTTTTCCGTCGTCGAGATCTTTGGCCGCCTTGTCCTTATCCTTCTCTCGTCGATCAAAATCGTCTTTCTTCTCCTTGTCCGACTTCTTCCGCTGCTCCTTCTCCACCTTCGACGATAACCGTTCCGGAACCCCATCTCCATGCCTGTCAGATCCTCGATCGCGGTCTCCGTAGGAGCCAATCTTTTCCCTCTTAACTACCCTCTCCGCGTGTATCTGGCGGCCTTGAATCAATCCGGAAGCTTTCTCGACGGCGCCACGAATGTTCGAGTGAGTGGGCCGCAGAGGCCCGACAGGTGCGCCAGAAGAATCTGGCAGGAAGTACGTGAACTCCTCCAGCAGGTCTGCGTGCTCACTGAACAGCGTCGCGACCTCTTGATACACTTCACTGATTGACTTATTGCCTTTTCGGTACATATTCAAAATCTCCAGAAACGCCTTGTACACGTGCTCATCCGTTGAAAAGCGTGTCTTGATCTTGTTGACATAGTTGATGGCCTGATCAAATTCCACCGGCTGCTTCTGAGGCTTGGGGGGCGGAGGCTCCAGGACCTCCTCTGCAATCGTAATCTCATAACCCTTGGGTAGAAATGTGTTGAACCCGAGAATGAGTTCTCGGTGGCCCTTGAAAAGATCCTTAACCCGAATAATCACGCCCGCCGTATCAATTCGTTGCGCCTTGAAATCTTTCATCACCTCCAGAAATTCGTCGTACTTATCTTTGTCATCCTTGAACATATCTTTCACCGCCTTCAGATATGCAAGAGCATCGTCCGTCGTCAGGCGCGGTTGAGGGATGTTGTTGTTCGATGTTGGCAGGGATGCATCAGATGTCGCCGTTTCTCCTCTGTACCCTGCCACGCGCTTCACCTGCGGGGCCGAAGCCCCTTCCTCCCTTGACCGCTTCATCCTCCTTCGCCCTTCAGAAACACAGCTCACTTCTATCATGTAACGACTCCCGCTGCACTCCTTGGCATCTCTGAGCCCTGCCGCTGCTCCACAGTCCGGACTCACAGGTCCAATCGCAATACTGCACCGCCCCGCCTTCGAGCATGCGCCAAAGATTGACACACTGCCAGCTTAATTCTCCAACGTCGCTCCTCAAGTGTCCGGACCTCCTCTGCACCCAGTGCATACGTAATGGACTCGACCCACAGCCCGACGACTTCTGACTGGCTCCGCCTCTGCGCACGACCACGACGAGAATGACGAGAACATAATGGACTCAGCCCCGAGCACCGCCTCTGAATGCCTCCCTCCCCGCCCTCCGGATGAGACCACGGCAATCAGGAAAAAGTGCACCGCCTCTGTAAGGAGCACAAAGCCAGAGCAGAACGAATCGACGTGGATGCGGGCTAACGAACACAAGCGCAGACAGCTGCTGCGCCGAATGCAACTCACTACTGACTGAGTCGAGCAAAGCCGCAGAGACTCACAGGGAGCGAGCGAGCGAGCGAGCGAACGAGTGAGGGACGGACGGACGATGAGAGAAAACAAGCAACCAAAACGATCGAGAGGGCGAGCGAGCCTAAAGGCCCGTAAGAGGACTAACTATTAACCACACACCAGACAACAAACAGCGCAAGCAGGAGAGCAGCAGGGGAGCCAGGAAAGGAGCTCAACAGCAGCAGCTTGCTAGCTTCAAAGCCTTTCCTGCTGCCTTGCAGCGTGCAGCTCTCCACCTGTGGAGCTTGTCCACATGCCGGAAAATTTTATAAACGTGGGAAGATTGACAATTGACCACCGCGTCAGCGGTAACCAGCTCCGGCTTTTCGGCCGCAAACTGCCGCGGCTGAGCGTTCTGCGGGACTGGCATTGTGCCATTTTCGTTGATCTGCTCCCCGGCTAAAGCCAGCAGGGCGACGCAGCTCATTCCCAAACTCTATTTGTAGCCCGCATTTCTGTTAGCGCTCCTCCCGAATCTCTCGATGCCCGTCTCGTCCACCTCTTAGCCATCCCTCCGTAAGGATAGCTGACGGCCGCTTTACACCACGAGAGCTTTTGCTTCCGTGATTCAGGCATTTCGCCGCAAACATGCGGCGAATTGCCTTAACTTCCGTTGGACTTTGAAAGCCAGACAATAAATGCAAACTGTACCACAATACTCATCTCCTCTCTTCTCTCCTCTCCTCTTCTCTTCCCTTCTCTTCTCGCTGGCCGAGATGGTTTGGAAGCGCTTCTGGGCCCCTACGGACGTAATCTCCTTTGTCTTTTCTGTAGAGCTGCTCATCCCGTCTTCCCATTAACAACCACCACCCTTCGGTCGAGCATGCTCGCCAACGTTTACAAACGTCGTTGAAGGAAATGCGCATCTTTCATCCCAAATATGTGTTCATATGTTCGCCTGTCTCCGACTCCATGCAGACGGATCTGAATGCTACAATTCTGGGTTCGTCAAATTAAACCACCCATGCTGCTCACTTCCCCTCCCCTCGTTCGTAAAAGAGAGAGAACGTCAGCATGCAACAGTTACCGCGGTTTGTGTTCGCCTTAGCCGATGAAATAAATCTCATTTTCCCTTTGTTGCAGTTTACGACCACTTTGGGCGGCTCCGAGAGAATACATATATAATTGTATCTAAAGTCATATGATATGTAGATGTTGTCCAAAGAGAGCATCAGCTCTCTACGGCTGGCTGGCTCGCAGTTCTCCTTTTACCTGTTCAGTTGGCCCGTAGGCTGGAGGTGGGATTTCGTTGGACCAGAAGATGGCCGTCTGACTTTTAGCCAACTTTGGTCTGCCGGATCTGATCGACTTGGGTCATGTTTGGCATCAGACCGCCCTCTTTAAAATATGTGAAGTTCGTATTATTGATGGGATGTTTGAGAATCGCCAAACGAACCAGACATTGAGTATGATAGTTGCAAAGGATTATGCATGCGGGTCTACGACGGTCCCGAGATCGGGCAGAGAAACGTTGTCTCGCATTTGCATAAGATAGACATTGAGCTCTGCATTTGGCATTACTAAGTTTGAGGGCGAATCCTCGTTTAGATTCCGCTCTAGGGAAAGGAATAGTTCAGTCACTTTGATCTTTTACAGTTGCTTACGTGATGCATCATTTGCTCTTACGTCCACAAGATCCATGATGCGCTGTCCGAGCGACGTCGAATCCTCGGGTAGGATTTGATCATTTTAGCTTGCATAGCGACCCACCGGCACAAGGACTCGAGCCTCCAACCTGCACATTGGCAGGAAGCTTCTGTACACTCTGCTTACTGCGGGACTGATTTTCGATTAATATGTCCTTGATATACATAGTATTTATTGAGAACGAAGGAGAATCTGAATCGTTCATTGATCTTCTGCCAGCAATAACATATTTTCGTAATATGATCATGTATGTCATTGATAGTCCCTAGATTGATAACGCGCATGTCAAACCAACTTCAATATTGATCGTGGGAGCAGAAGAGTGATACCGTCCTTGCCACATTGTGGAACACACCACAAAAATAATCTTCGAAAGATGTTGAAATGCTGTTTTGGTTTTGTACAAGACTATTTTATAAATGTAAATGGATATAGAATATACAGATTCTATTATTTGACTTACACACTCTTTTGTAAGATGTGAAGAACCTTACCAAGCTATCTTAAGATCGTGGAGTTTATCGTTAATCTTTTGTTAAGCCTTTAATAATTTGGTTCGTGCTTTCACAGATTCTGAATGGATGTCTCTCTCGAATTGGGCAAATTATTCTCTTATTTGGATATAACATGTTTTACGATTAAAATTAATAATAATATTTCTCAAAAGGGATCGTGTGTGCGCTTATTAAGTATAAATCTGACAGCGTGAAGAAATTCACACGTTTGACGTGGAGTAAAGCTTGATGGTTTTATCATGTGACAAATGTGAAATTTTGACTAGAAAATGCAATTTATAATTTTTTTCATGAAATAAAATCATAAAAAAATTATATTATTCACGGTGGTTTGAATTCTTATGCTCATTCACTGTAAAGCATATACGTTCAATTTTTTTATATTGAAAAGTATGTTACTATATATGGATGCATCAAAATAAATTCAAAGGTAAACATACATACCCAAATCCAATCAAATATCATCACAAAGCACATACATATACAGATTGGATCCAGTAAGAGACTTCCGAGAATCACAAATGTAGTGTCGGCGCATACATTTAAAAAATTTCTCCTTTTTCAGGCAAATCAAATGTGAAAATTTTTCTTATTTTTCAAAGGAATTAGCAAATTTTGAGTATCAAATTCTACATAATTCTTAGACCTATCATTGTTGGGATATAAGTTCATGTTCCTGCAAGTACATAGCATGTAGGTGTAAAATTGATGAACAATATTACATTGTTTTTCTTCGATCAGCTTACAGCCGTTGGCTATGGTCTACGAGATTAATGATTTGTATGAAAGTATTGACTCATTCGTAAGCTGCATCGAGCTCAGAGATTCAGTTAGTTCACAAATGCATGTCAGTTTTATCTCCAACCATGGTCGCGTCTTTGGACATAGCAATAGCATTGCACATCTGGCGACAGCAGCTCGAAACCCGGTGATTAACCAAGAATCAAACCACGAAAGTTGTTGAATGGAAACCCGAACTCGAACGTGATGTGGGGGCCAAGTAACAGAAATCCAATTGGTACTTTCATCCTTTTGGCTTACTCATCTCATCTTATTACTTGGCCCCCACATCACGCCGTACAAGGATGGACCCAAACGGGTAACTTGCTTGGGAAATCGGAGCTCGCATTGACTTGTCAGAAAATATGATTTTCCAAACCTCGAGCTTGTTAATAAGAAAAACGCTGAAACTCTTTCGATCAGCGAGTGAAAAATCGAAGGAGTTCAAATTCAAAACTGAGGAAGGGCGACACTTGCTTCTGAAATGAGCACACCGAGGATTGGATCACTCACAGTGGCTGGGCTGCGATTCCTGATTTGCTTACGTGTCAAGGGAAAGGAGGACTGGAAGAAGCCTTCCGGGGAGCAGAAGGACAAAAGCTCGCAAATGAAACACCCGAGCGATCTCCCGTGGCCGAGCTGGACAAGCTGAGCTGGTCGATGACTCATATTCTTGCTCGTGGTGCAAAGCAGGAGGAGGAGGCCGGACGCATACGACATGGGCGGAATCGACGCCATGAGGCCATGACACAGATGCGCAAGTCAACCACAGTAAGGTGGGTATGTGGTTGTCCACCTGACTCGAGACCACAACGCTCGCTGGAAAAACCGTTCGACATGGCTCGGAGGCCGCATTGATTGGACCTCGGCGTTCAAACAGTGGACAGAGCGCCACGGCGACGCGAGACTGGGCTCCGCTCTGCTTCGTGGATAACTATAGTAACTGCAGTCGGCGGGGTCGGGAAGCTACGGAATTAGGGTTCGCGGAGCCGGGGCATGGCATGGCATGGCATGGCACGCACCGCGGCCGAGACGGAGTCGGGGAGGGGGAGGGGGTGGGGGTTGGGTAGAAGGGCGGTGGAATCGCATTCCAGGGCCTCTTTGGAAGGCAGTCCGCGCGCAATTAGACCGTTTTGCACCTCAGTAGTCAGTGCGTCAGTCGATCCGAGTGTGAATTGCGGCTGCAAATTCTCCCCATGGCCACCAGCGAGCTTGCCTGCACGTACGCGTGCCTCATCCTCCACGACGATGGAATTGCCATCACGGTATGTGCTCCATGTGTCGTGACAGAATTCGAAAAGCGCCCAGATTTATGATTGCCGTTCACCTTGGATCTAGGGTTTTTCTTGCATGCAGTGCGCGGTGCAGCTGTAACGTACGAGACGGGTGGTTTTTCAACCATTGTTTGTGAATGGAAAAGGTCTATGCTTGGATGCTGCAAGCTTACCGTCCAGCTGAATCTGAATCTGCTAATCTGTGTCCTGCTCTTCTTACTTAGATCTCAGTGTCGATTGTATACGGTGCGGCCGCTGACTGGGCTCGATCCATCTTTGTTTTCGTTGGGATCTCGTTTGCAGGGCGACAAAATTGCCACACTCGTGAAGGCTGCCAACATCACCGTTGAGTCGTATTGGCCCGGCCTTTTCGCGAAGCTTCTGGAGAAAAGAAGTGTTGAGGACCTCATCACCAATGTTGGCTCAGGTTTGCCACTCTTCCGCCCCCTCTTTGTTTTCTCCATTTTGCCGTTGTAGTAGGATGAAACTTTCTCATCCTAGCGGATACTGGTCGCCCGATGTGGTTTCGCAGCTCCGTATTTTCTGTTGTACCGATCGGCGGATTTCTCGCCATAGCTTCTAGTCGATTCGACTTGCTCCCTTCATGACATTATGTCATGTGATCTTCCATCATGACATGATAACATTGGTAGTGTGTAGTTGGCCCTGGACGAGATTCAGACAACGTATCTGGACATATCGTCCTCGCCTGATTCATTCGCACGGAGTTGGAAAGGGCGCCCGTTAGCACCCTTTCTCTTTCTCGCTACTTGTTTTCAGAATCATTATGTGTCGGTGCCCGGTTGAGAGGTTGTAAGGCTAGAACGCCATTCTAACCAGGTCATGACACCCAAAAGTTTCTATGTGAGCATCGTGAAGCGAATCTTGCGAAAGTACATGTTTTTTGAACGTCTTGTATCTGGTATTGGTGCCTCAGGTGGAGGAGGCGCCGTGAGCGTCTCTGCACCTGCAGCGGCAGCAGCCTCTGGTGGCGCTGCTGCAGCAGAAGTGAAGGAAGAGAAGAAGGTAAGTTTCTGTATTTTCGAATGTAGTTTGCTTGCCATCGTTTGTCAAACGGAATGCGGAGTGCAGCAGGCAGTAATGCATACTCTCGTCATTGCCGATTACACATGCCTTAATGTCAAGTGTGTGTGGACATTCCAGGAGGAGCCTCAGGAAGCGAGTGATGACGACATGGGCTTCTCTTTGTTCGACTAGGGATATTCTTATTCATTCTTTACACAGATAAGAAGTGTCTGAAATACACGCGAAGTCGATTATGATTTCCAGAGTCAATGTAGCTCAATGAAGGCTTAGGACCACTTTGAAAAGTGCCAAATTTTGTCCTCGGGTTCGTTTCAAAAGAATGGGGAAGAAATTGTGTTCTTCAGTATTGAAATCTATTTGACTTCAAATACGAGATGTACATTTTACACGCAAAATTTTACATCAATGTATCATTTTGCTTGAGCAATCCCAAAAGTTTTCTCATCTCATGGCTAAGAACTGTTCAACTGAAATCAAGTGGTAGGTCCCTACTCTTAGAATTTTTATGGTTGTGATGCCAGGATACCTGGACAAGAGACTCTCTACTGCATAGTAATGTTGTGTTTTGAATGGACTCTTGGAGGATAGCTCGCTTAGAATGTGGCACGTGTATGCGAGAATTTAACACGTGAGAACATAGGACCTTGAAGCTCAGATTTAGCTGGGATGTGATTCTCGTCAAATCATGGAAGCATCTTTTTTTCTTGTTTTCATTTGCATATCTGTCAAGGAAGGACCGGGTCTGTCTCAGTGATTCCGGTGTGGATCATGGACGCGAATCTACGATGGAGTCGCAGCAAGAGAGGATGTACTCGGAGGTTTAGATCTGATCTTCGAGAAGGAAAGAAAACGAAAGAATGGGCGGTACGATTTAGGACCACTTGGTACCTCTGCTATTTGAAGCAAACTGGACCGTTTTCGTCAGCAATGTCTCCGCTCAGCAACACCTGTCTTGGGGAAGATCGCAACGGGCGGCAACGAACGTGTAAATTTGGGACTCCAGGTATCTACGTCCTTACTTGCCTTCCCATTAGCGTTGTCTCAACTACCCAGCTCTAGGATCATTTATCTGATCACGAGGAATCTGGAAACCTTAATTTTAAACGTTGTAATTCTGTCTTCGCCTAAAGTTGCATGCAATTAGTTGGATGCGCGTTCCAATACTAGCTGTCTATGCGAACTTGCTAAACATGTAAGACAAATCACGCCTAGGTTATACAGCATTACGACCGCCACTCTGTTGCCGTAGTCATGTGCCCAGTGTCACTTTATTTCATTCAAGTCTGGACGAACACAATCAAGATGATATGAGCCTCAATTATGCCGAACGTGAGGTGAAAGATAATAGTTGTATTCTTAACAGTAGTTGGGATTTGGAGGATTCTTGAGCAGAGAATTAGACGGATCTTTTAGAGTTGGTTAGAAGAATTTGGTAAAGCGCTGTACGTATTGTCTAGGAAGAGTGACAAGTGGCTCCATTGCATGCATGGCCGCTCGGATTGGTGCTGCGCACCAACAACGAAAGTTGCAATGCTGCCAATTTTCGAAATTTGGACGAGCGAAGGTTAGAGTGACGAGATTATTGAGGAGGGACGTTCGCTATGAAGCATGCAACCGTTGGTGTTGGAGTTGACGGGTGTCGTTTTTATCTTTGTCTTGTGTCACATCAGTAGTTAGCAAATCTTCATACGTAATCGTCGTCGACATTGTTGCAGCCGAATTCTGAGTCAACTTGGGCAGACTCTCCTTTCTTCCATCAGCCCATCTTCCATTCAGTTCACGTGATGGTATGATTGGCGATGGAATATGTGGACACTTCACAAGTCTTTAAAATTGTATACCTCGAGACTCGATAATAGACAATGGCAACCACGGACATTGGTCTCCGGCCGCGGAACTGGTGGAACACGCCAGAGGACGGACTAGGTGGTTGGTAGGAAGGTAGGAAACGCTGGAAATGGTCGAGCCTGTTGCCACTTCCATTGTCGAGGCGGCGGGAACTTTGGACGTCGTACCGCCCTCTTCCGTTGGCCGAAGACCCCATATTTTCCTAGACTCTCCTCCACTCACCCCCAAAATCAGCAAGCATTCGCCATCCACCCGATACCATCTCTCAAGTTGCATCTCGACAACTTGAGCGATGGTAGTAGCACCATATCTGAGCGTTGTGACGTGCACATCGGTCAAGATGTATTTCGATAATTTGAACGACTTATGTATTTCGAAAACTTGAGCGACGTGACGTGCACAATTGGTGGTAGCAATTTTTGTCGGCGGCAGCCGAACAATCACACAACCGTCCCGACGAAACATCGAGGTGCGCATTCTGTTCATTACATGCAACATGTCTCGCATGGTCGTAACCAGAGACGGAATGGGTTACGATCGGAGAGGGAGAGAAAATGAATGGTGGCCATCGTACGATCGGCAATTATCCAACATCGCGACACCTCCGGGAGACCATCTCATCGGCAGCTGACGTCACGTGATCCAGGCTAGCAACGGTAGCAATCTCGGACATATCGGAGCCAAAGTGTACTTCACGCTGACACCCAGTAATCGTTAAATCCACTTCATCTCATCTGCCGGTCACCGCCTGAGAAAAGGAAAGTCTCCTCATCCGCGCAGAGGAAAACTTCGCTGAAGTGTCGTACTAATGGAAACAACCGGTCGCACGAACTGCCGGCGCCAACGTGGGTAACGATTCCGCCCCTCGTCGTCGAGCCGACGGAAGGCGCAAGGAGCGCAACTCATGCTCGTGAACTGGTACTCACTCTCAGCACACACTGTTGACCGGAATGCAACTGCAGTCAGTGCTCAACCATGTTTGACCCTCGAACGCCCCCCGCCCACTTCGGTTCGAACCCGAAGTCTTTCGACGTGAGACCATGCAACTCAGCCCTAAGTGCAGAGCAAGCTCGCTCAATCACAGACCCAGCATGCAAGTCGGGGGAGGTACCCCGAGCCCCGACACGAGAGACGCGGACGGAGACTGAACGCCGTCCAAGCGAACGCGGTACGCAGTCGAGTCGGCCGGGGAATCGTTCAGCGCATCGCAGCGCAGCGCTGCACGTGAACTCTCGTGGCTCATGGATCGTAGAGGACGCGCGGGTTCCTGTAGCTCGGGCGCGTTAACGGGTGCTAACGGGTGAGAGCGCGGATTTGCCAGTCTGATCATGGAAATAGAATGTTCAGAGCGGGCCGTGTTTCTTGAAGATCAAGCTTCAGCGTAGCGGAAAAAGCGCGCCTCCGGGGGGCGTCCGAATTTTCGTCGCGGGTCGAGCGACAGAGCGACTGATTTCGATTCGATCGAGCCCGAATTTCGTGCCCTGTCTGCACTGTCATCGACTCTGCCATCATTCTTCCCCTGCTGCGTCGTCGTCGTCGCGTGAACTCCGAAGCGTTTCTCTGTTTTTGCGAGCACGAAGAAGAATTGCGTGAGCGAAATTTCGGATTTGTTCGATCTTGTCGGGCGAGAGGGGTCGGGTTCGATCGAGTTCAGATCTCCCGGAAAGCGTTAGATGAGAGAGAGGCGAGCGGTTTGAGAGCTTGCTCGAGGTCGCGTTTTCTGGCTGGGGCTCTGGGACTGTCGAGGTGAAGGAAGGCAAAGCTGCGGAGTGCTGTGTCGTCGGGCCCTTTGAAAGTTGAGGACGCAACGAGATGGAGAGGGTTCCTAAGAGCCAGGAAGACATCGGAGTGGAGTCGTCCACTCTCGGTACGTTTATGCTGAGTTTGGACGATCCCATTATGGAAGAGGGAGAACAGTCTGAGGACACCAGTACCGGCGAGAGATCTGTATTTGCGCCGTCATCCATACCTCCGCGACCATTTCGAGAGTATGTGTCTGCAATTTCACGATAGAATTTTTGCTATTGGCGTGCTCAGCTCTCTCTCTCTCTCTGTCCATATTTCAAATTTGAACTTTACGAAAGGCTGAATTAGTTGCTCATGACCATCCAACCTTTTTCATTATTTCATGGATGTACTGCGAGCTGAGTTTTGTGTTTGAAGCTGGAAGTCGCACCGTCGTTGATAGATTATTTCCCACAGGAGGTCCGGACTGACTGTTTGGTTCCTCCTGGGGCTCTTGCCCGTTGAGCTGTTGGTTACTCAATCTTGATAATGTTTTGAGTTAATTTTACGCGAGAAATCGATGGTCCTTTCCTGTTTCTAATTGGTTGATTGTAATTTAAGAGTTGCTACTGTTACTTTAACATTTTTGGTTTCATGAGATATTCTGTGAACTTCTGGGCTCCCTCCATTGACATCGACTTTCAACTCCCTGCTTTTCATGAATTTCTCGTGCCAGACCAGCAACGAGCAAGTATGCCCCTCTACCGTGGGAAGGACACTTTGATCAAGAGCAAAATATCACAATTCCAGCCACTGGCGAGGTAGTTATCGGTGCTCGTCATATTATGTGCACCTAGGTCCGTCATTAGCTGTGGTCTCCAGTTACCGCCCACATTCGTTCTTCGGTGTCTCAGCTCATGTTTTCTTGCAAACAGGTATTTCATGTGTATGTGGCGGGATCCCAGGGTCCCGTAGTATTCTGTCTTCATGGTGGGGGCTACTCCGGGTGAGACTTCTTCCACTTATCCTCCTTTTAATGATCGTCCACTTTGTTCCAAGTCACGTGCATCTGATTTCGCGCTCGACTACAGAAATGACTTATAGTCGATTGGGTCATTCTTTTCGAAAATTCAAAGGACATCGTTGTGTATTGCGAAGATGAACAGCAATTTGGACCATTTTTAGGACATATATAATAGGCCTACATATTATCGGAAGATGATCAGCCTCTCCTTTTAAATAAGGTGTCTTCTATTATCCAGGCTGTCGTTCGCTTTGGCGGCAGGAAAGATGAAGGATAAAGTACGAGTTGTGGCAATGGATATGCGAGGCCATGGTCAAACTCGCACTAACAATGATGCCGACTTATCTGCAGAGGTAGGATACAACGCGTTAAGATATTGTCACATCCGCTTACACATTATGTCGTTGAATAGGGAAGGATGAGCGTTTGTTTCTTTCAAGTACCTTTTGCACAGTATTGCAAGTGTCGTCCTACCGTCAAACTTATGTCGATCTGCTGTAATGTTTTGACATGTCTCCAAGCTGAGAAATCAAGTCCACGAATACACTGAAACACAATTTCGTAAATTTTTTTGCATGTCGCAGACCTTGTGCTCGGACGTCGTCAGTGTGATAAACACGATGTTTAGTCAAGCTCCACCAGCTATCATCCTCATCGGCCACAGGTATGAAAAATTCTACCCTCGAACTATGCAGCTGTAGCTCGCATTCATATCAATTTAGGCCTCGGGATGAGCTTAAAATCCATTTGTTACCAGACTAATGGAGCCGTCCTTGTGCCTCAGAAGGATTATGACATGGGCATATAGAAATTGATGTTAAGAATAGAATGGAACAGGATAGCTAGCCCGTAGTTGACAGAAACTTTACAGCTTATCAGGATGGTGATACACTATCATCCATACATTCAAGAGAAACGTGATCTATCTATCTTTTGGCTCAGTCTTGTACCTTGTCAAGCAGCATGGGAGGAGCCATAGCTGTAAGAGTAGCAGCACAAAGAGTACTTGCTACACTTGCTGGTGTAGTGGTTGTCGATGTTGTTGAGGTGCGTATAACACTTTGCTCTCACGAAGATTTAAATCCTGTAACAAGTTCTGTGAGTGTTTCTGTTCTTCTTCCATACTCTAAGCTGACAACTATCGTTATTTGAAACTTCAGGAAATTTGGAACTCCTGCGTCGTGACCTCGACCTAGAGACTAGAGGTTGGCACTTACTTCGGCATGAAATGAATTTTTTTCAGGGAACAGCAATGGCGTCTCTAATGCACATGCAAAAAATCTTATCAAGTCGCCAAATGCACTTCCAGTCACCTGATCAAGCCGTACGTTTCAAGAATTTTACCTGAAGTCTCTTTATACAATAGTGCTCGCTCGCCTGCCTGCAATCTGAAGAATCTCATATTGTTAATGACTTCTGTCTGCGTAGATTATATGGAGTGTAAAAGGTGGAGGTGCGTTAAGGAATATCGAGTCAGCTCGAATCTCAGTTCCTTCCACATTAATGTTTGACAACGAGAAACAATGGTATCTTCTCTTACTCCTCAGTTTGATGCAGATGTTTTATGCACTGTATGTGAAAATAAAGTGTACAAACCATCTTGGGTTCTAGAAAGACCCGTCTCCTAATTGTCGGTATATTTGCACAGCTATGTTTGGCGAACGCCTTTGCAAGACAGTGAGGCCTATTGGAGAGGCTGGTACGTTGCTACTTAAATCTCATCATGATAAGTGCGTCTTGGATCGAATACTCTCTTATACTGCCACTTTTAACATGTCTCATTTATAAGTATTGAACTCTATGAGAAGCTGCAGCAAGGTGATTTCTTTCGGTTGGAAGGTCTATGAGTGAGATCCAGTCGAAGATTTATGGAACGTACAAGTTTTTTGCAGGTATGAGGGTTTGTCAGAAGCATTTTTGTCATGTCCAGTCGCGAAACTCCTTTTGTTGGCAGGGACGGACAGACTTGACAGGTACACTACATCACCTGGCTTCAGCAGTTTGTAGGAAGTTTTATAGAGTAAAGACCAGGATTAGTGAAGATTAGGGTTACGAGAATTATTTGTATATATCTTCACATCTTTAACGACTCGCGGCTTTTCTGGAAAATATCTGGGATTTTTGCGTGATGCAGATCATTGACCATAGGTCAAATGCAGGGAAAGTTCCAAATGATTGTCGTTCGTCATTCTGGCCATGCTATTCAGGTGATGTGACCTACGAACACGATAAAAAGGAAGGATGAAAGTCATGTTGGTGGCGATCTCAATGCAGGAAATAATGAAGTATATGCTTTGCTGCTGTTGTCTATATTGTTGATTGTCGCACGTTTCCTTGCCCAAGGAGAAAGACTTAAACCTCACCATTGGGATGACCAGGAAGATGAGCCGGACGAGTTTACAGCCGCCGTTTTGAGCTTCATCGCTCGAAACCGGATTGGCACTTACGGGATGGAGGTAAGGATATCTATCTCGTCACTGATCCACACTTGCATCTTTTTTCCGGGTATACATTTCTTGTTTGAGCTCCGCAAATATTTGTCTTGGTTTTGAGTCCAGAAGGAAGAGTAGAATTGTACAGTTTATCATATCCTTCGAAGAGCTTCTGGTGACATTTACTCACGTGCTCGACTTGTCTTCCCCTTCAGATTCCCGGACTTCGCCGACCGATTCAACTGAGATCCAGTAACTGACGAACGACGAATTTTGATTCAAGCCTTGCAGAAATTTTGTTATCACGACTCACTCTTCACATTTGCACATTTTTGTGTGGATAGCATTTTCTGACTGCAGTTCATGTACTGCAGTCAAAGTGACTGTGATCCCCGGAAGGTGGTAGAGCCCCCCAGCCATACTTTCAGTGTCGATGCACGAGATAGTCTGCTGATATTTTGGTCACCTCCTTGAGTCCCAGATGAGCATCCGACGATCACATGTGTCCCTGTGTAAGTTCAATGAGACGGCGAAGATGAAACAGCCACTTGTCAGATGCTACAACCGTTATTTTCTGTACTCAACGCACCAATGTGCTTCATAGTCACGTCATCGGAACTCCGAATAGCATTAGTGTTGAAACTTGTGAAAACGAAACTGGTACAAGCTAATATTGTACGTCATTGGAAATGTACGTTTGCGAACGGTGTGTATGAAAGTATATGAACGACATTGTATGAAAGTCGCTGTACATTCATCGATTTTACGTTCGCTTTCACCAATCTCCGGCCGTATTCCCCTATGAGCCGTCTTTGAAAAGTCGAGCCACTGGTAGACTCCCGTCATTCAAGACGTATGTAAGACAAGTTTCAAATCGTCGTAGAATAGACGCCAAGGTGAAATATATCTCAAATTGTAATTTTCCTCCAAAATCGGGTGCCACATTAGTCACGACCTACTATTTTCATTCCCATCTTGAATACAATTGTCCACAGGTGCGCTCTGAAGTGGAATGAGAGGTGCGAGCTGTCTTGCCTTATCCTTGATCAATTTCACTTGAACACTAAAACAACGAGGTGTCAAGATAAGAGTTCTCTATCCGTGGTCACTACATGACACTCAAACTTTTGTTAACTATTTGGAATTCGATCTAAACGTGAATTGGCGAAACGGTTTTATCCCAGTTGATCGTCTCCTAAGTACACACTTTGTTTTGAGTAGTGAAGGACAATCAGCAAGGTCTGCCCTTGATCACTTTTAAGTTTGCCGAATTAGCATAAACCATAAAATGTCATGACAGCGACAAAGAATTGTAGTACGGATCGTTGCTTCAGAATAGGCTTTTCATTTCCCTATCCTTGCGAACACTAGGCCATATATGGCTCACTGTCTGATCAACATTCAGTTATGATAATCAACAGGATTCAATTTGCAATTCTCATTGCCCTGTACACCACGTGGCTCACCGTACCCATTACGTAATTTGTACAAGTTAAGAGGTGTCTATTTGACATTCGTGCAAAGAACTGACAGTGACTTGTCGACGATAGATCTCTGAGATACAATGAAGCGAAGAAATGTTTGGGACGGACAAGCGATAGACAGCTCTCTTGAAATAGGAGAGGTTAAGAGCTGCGATCCATGAAGTGATCTCATGGATCGCCTTTTCTGCAGAGTTCCAGCACGTGAAGTCTCAATCGGAGCTCCATCGGCGTGTATTTGGGCTTTCTGTGAGAAGCAATTTCAAAAGAGTAGAGAGGCCCACGCTGCAACCCAAGCGAAACCGCCGAACGGAGCTGGCAAAGAGTAAGCTCTATCTTCCATCAAAGCTGTTGTGTAGCACCTGCATGGAAGACGATGTTCGTCAGAGCTCACACGAGTCAGCCGTCCGAATAGCATCCATCTACATCGTGGATTCTCCAAGATTATTCAGAAATCAGATATAGATTCTCCATGATTGTATTCTCACAAAATCATGCACCGTTCATTCTGAAAGAAATTATTTTCATTGAAAAGCTGGAGTCTACAAAAATGATAGGTTGATTACATTAAAGAATGAAAGAAATTATAACCGAGCGGTCAGACAAGTTCAGTACTTTGGAGCTATACCATTTTCGTATATCCTAGAATTATTGCCCCTTCCTATGGTCCATGTATGATACAAAACGCATATTTGGTGAAAAATATTAATCTTGTTTTGGTCACTTTCTAGAGTAACAAAATAAGGCAATATCCTATTCTGTTCAGACAATATAATAAGTAATTAAGCAAGAAACGAAGATAAGAGAGAGAACCACTTACGACCCAGAAAAGGCAACGAGGCCAAACGTTAGAAGACCTCCGAACTGCACATATGAAAAATCCACATCAATAACCTCGGAACCCCACTAGTTGATATAGTCTTTCAACTTCAGAACAGGGCTAACTATTAGTTTCGGATTTCCCTTTTTCGGTTCATCCACACTTATGGTCAAACTTTGTGCTTTACTTTACACTAAAGAGATGCTTTTAAACAAAACCTTTTAAATCGTAGCTGTGTAGGAAAAACTCCCTTCGTTGCTAATCAGACAGCCTAGTAGTTGCATGGATACTCTGTAAGACGTGATCGATTCAAACCCCTCAAAATCTGGAAAGGTCCAATTTGATCACACTGGATACCATCTCTAGTGACAGTTCTGAGTGAAAAGAATCGAGTTAGTCGGTAGACTACGACAAACTCATGAAAAAATTGGTTTGGAAATCATAAGCAAAACAGGTACTCACAATATGTGGTCGCTTAGTTAAAGGGGCAGCAAGCATTGCCGCCGTATGCGCGAGATGATAAGTATTAGCTGTCACCCAGATCTGGAAGATCAACCACAGGCAATCTGTGAGACTCAGTTCCCAGAACTCTACAATTCCAAGGTTTGATTCGTACTAACTGAACGACTCTGCATGACCACGTATATACGTTCCTAGACAATCACGTTTGAACAGAACGTTTGATGATGGATGTCCAAGCCCTTCTCCTGGAGGCAAGGTTGTCATAACTTCAAAGTGTTGGGACACTTCGTTACTTAAGCCCTGAGGAGAAAGCAGAACATGTAAAAACTGCAAGTAAAGCTGACAAACGACAACTAGCTCAAGCTTTGTGAAGGCGTTTTTCAGCACGTACATCTTTATACACCATGTTCTGGGGCTTGAAAATGTGCTGGCCGTAAGTCCCAGCAGCTAGAGCAAGCATACCTGTAGCATAAGAGGAGAAAGTGCAGAAAAATTCAAGAAACGCGACGACAAGACTACCATTCCTACAAGTCTCGGTCAGAGCACATTTTCGTGAAATGTCGTTGAATGATCCACAATACAGTAGATAATCTTCGACTACAACTTCAACTACCCAGAGCATCTTTGATTCCCCACGATCGACTAAGATTGCAGTTCAGAAAAACCACAGAAGCTTAATCGAAACTATGGCCTGACCGTTCCGTTATGAAAGATGAATTCGACAGCAAAGAACATACCGATTCTAACAAAGAGATTGGGAGGGCTTACAATGCAGGATTTGAGATACGTTTGCTTTTAGAGAAAATGTCCACTAATGATGACGGTGCTCAAGCTTGCAAAACACAAACCTTCACCTACTGGTGAGCACCAGAAACATATTTAGTTCTTGATACACTATCCTGGGGTTAGTGGACCAGAGTCCTCAAGAAGAACCCAAGGCTACCATGGCATGTAGCGATCAGGTCAATAATCCACGTGAACATCACGCACCATCCCATCGCCACCTTCAAATTCTAATTGGAGATATTGTTAAATAATTGGCACTTCTAAAAAGAGAATTCCGGGGCAAGTGTTATTGAGGATGTTCTCAGAGGTTATCAACTGAGATAGAATATACAGGGATGAAGGCATAAGAATGGAATTTAAGTGTGCCCTGTCCATGAATGTCCGTAATATTGTGCTAACCACGAGCCTGAGCAACTCCAACTCGGAATATTTGCTTTGGGGCCTGCTGTTAGAACGTAAAGGTGTGTTGGTGACCGCAATTCGATCAGATCTGTTATTTACGAGCCACTTAAAAAATCCGTTTCACACACGAGAGAGCTCTCCCGACTCTTCACACAAAGGCAAAGCTGAAAACAACAGCAGAGAAAAGAATTGATGCAGTTATTGACATGAATCTTGCGACTTTTGCAACTTCCGAGACAGCAACAGTTTATCAGAGTCCAACAAGAACGGAGAAAATTCAGCTCACGATAAAGTGAGTCAAAAGCGATGGGAGGGTTTAGGTGTAGCAGCGAAGTCCCCAAAAAAAAAAAAACGACGACCCAAATTCATCGAGCGACACAAGCGAGGACGAATCGGGGGAAGAAGACAGAAACGCTCCTGAGAGACCGGCGACCTTGTGCCACACATGGGCATTTGAAGCATAAAGCCACAGAGGCCTGGCTGCCGATCCTGCTGCTCCTCCTCCCATTAGGTTCTCCAGCAACGCTTCGTCCTGCTCCTCCTCGTCGTGATGGCGCATTCTTTCATCCGCACCTGCCTCTCGCGTCACACACATCCTTCCTCCCTCCCTTAACCCGTGCCCTCCCTCCCCTCCCTCTCTCCCTCCCTTCTTTCCTTCTTACCCCTCCCCTCCCGTCCCCTGCCTTCCCTCACCTTACCCGACCTTCTCTCCCCTCCCTGCGTCCTTCCAATTTAGCTAGCGGCCACTCTAAATTCGCCAGCAGCACTCCAGCAGCTGAAACCCTCCCCTCTCCTCTGATCTCCTCGCCTTGCTCTTCCCTCCAAGCTCGGACATCAGAATCGAACGCTGGACGCCAGTGCTCGGTCAACCCCCGAGTGCTGCTGCAGCGAGCGCACAATCGCTCCACGCAACAAGAATAATCGTCGAATCGTTCGGAAGCAAATGCTATGACCCTCGTGTCAACTCCTTCTCCTCCTCCTGCTCCTACTTCTTCGCGGGACGCTTTTTTAGGCAATTCTGGACTTCGAGGAATGCAGACACTGTGATGAAAAGTGCACAGATGGGCTTGGGCCATGGGCCTGTGCGATGGTCGTTGCTAGCTCCATTGCTCCATAGTTTATCTCTCGTAATTTAATCAATTCTGAGCCAGCGCAGCATGAGAACGAATTTGTGCGCCATATTCGAAGGAAGCCCGATCGCTCGGTGGCGGAATTTCGCGTTCCCGTAACAAATCTGCGTTAATGTCAGCGATCCCATGCACCATTCAGCAAGTTGTCTGCTGACGTGTCGGCGCCCGACTGGCTCAATTGGCGCCAGGTTCAACCATGAGTGATGGAGTGGGTGTTGTACAATGAATGACTCGATATATATTATAGAAAAATAAAAAGTAGACATTGTGACTTACAATAATCTTCTCTACGAATTCAGCAAATACGAGGTACAAATTCAACCGGAAGGAAAGGATCCAATGAAACCACAAGCAAGGTGGCGGAAGGTGGGATATTTTTTATTCCAAACGGCAATAAGAAAAAATTGTCTCACATTCCTGTCAAAATCTTCGTAAACAACAAATAAATTATTTCTTCCATCTTTATTATATATTTGGTTTTATTCTTTGATATCTCTGTTGATATTGCAGAGTGATTCTCTTTTTTAAGCCCAAGAAAAAAGCGGAAGGTTTACGTGCTTCCATTTTTTCATGGGGAAGAAACTGCAGCATCCGATCAAGCCCAACGAAACACGGCTGGGTCCGATAATGATACAAGATTGTTATGATGTTTCTCAACTCAGAATCATTTATATTGAATAATTAGATCAAGAGGATGCTCTGCCGAACATATTAAAGACGGAAACTACAGAAATGATGGATGATGTGTACAAGTAAAGCAATGAGCGAATGTGCACACAATCTTTTTACCGTAATGAAGGCGGGTGGAAAAAGGGATATATTTTCATTGGATGAAACTAGTGAGTGGTTTGTCAATGAATTCACGAAAAATTTGATGTGTAAACATTTCACACAACTGTAGCCTCTACATGATTGATACTGATCATGAAGTGGCTATGAAAACGTATCATAACACCATATTTAAGAGTATAGGGTCATGATACGATTGCATTCATATTTTTATTTTTAGAATTTTTATTATCTCAAAAGGACAAGATATATAAATAGAATCAAGGAGTTGACTTTGAAACTTCTACCATTTTAGCGGATGGCTATTTTTGATTTGCACATCCATCTTGGCGATCCATGTGATATGTTTCTGATAACAGAAAACCGTACACTTTATTTTGAAAAATTCTATATCATCGAAGATCAATTCTCTGAAGGGCATCCAAACTATATGTTTATAAAAGAATCTTATAAGGAAATTTGAGAACTCTTATGATACTTTTTTAGCAACCATATTGAACGATATTTATATTAGTATAAATCCCTCTATGTGCTTAACGCTTTATGACACTTTAGTTAGATTTTTCAAGCTCATCATCTCCAGCTCAATAAAATAAGATAACTACCCTTCAGTTTGAACCATGGACAATTCTATATAGTTCTTTATGTGTTTTTGCTCTTTAATGTTCACAAAGACATGTGTAGTAAAGTCTTTTAACACCATCACAGCATGTCTTGTCTTATCATCAAAATGTCCTTATTCTCAAGTTTTTCAAATATAAGTTCAATCTTTTGATCGAAAGTAGCTAAAATAAATATTATTCTAGAAATAGCTATCATAAAACTATCAATTGTCATGTTTAACTACAACAATAATTGTAATTTGAATTCAATTTTCCATCCTATCTTCATCCGTATCAACATGTTATCAAATTTTCATATTTCAATGGTCTTTAAATTGACTTATATATGTATATTGACTTGATTAAACTATACAACGGTTCAATACTTTAAGCACAGTTGTGATATTATAATCACGTTTATTTAGATACATCGTTTCAAACTTACTTCTTGGCTTATTTATTGCATCAACTATTTCATAGATTAATGATCTGTGAAAAAAATGAAAATTAATTCAATCTCATAAAAAATTCAACTCCATATGTATCATTTATCTAATAAACAAATATTTAGATACACTACATCGCTAAAGCAATTTGCATTAAACACCATAATTTTCATTTCATCATCAGTATATTCTTTTCAAATTAAACATAGTTCAAAAATGTGTATCCAAAAACCAATATCCTTGACTTGTTTGTTTGATGTAATATTAATTTTTGTTATTAGCTAATTTTATGAAAAAAAATTCATTTTTAGCATAGCTTTGTCATAAATTTTGCAATCACGTTATATAAACTTATATCACTGCTAATTATATCAAATAGCATGAACAATAACAATTGACTCATAATTGAAGATTCTGTAATAAATACTTATTCAAAAAAATTTATTGAACTGATAATCCTCATGAGCTTATGACATACTTAAAATATGAATGTATGACTTTCTCTCATAATATTTTGAATAAGAATTATATTATAATTTAAAAATATTCTTTTGTGAAAAAATGACTTGGATGTTGAATCTAAGTATGTATTTAGAATGTTTGCAGTTATTTTAGAATTGATAAAAAAAATATACAGTATATGTATGTATAATTTTTATATTAATTTGTAAACGGTAAATCGAGAAAACATAAAACACAACATATCAAATCACAACTGAGACACTATATAACGTGGTTCACCCTCAGGGGTTACGTCCACAAAGGAATACGCTCGAGAGAGTTTACTGTTTGTTTGAAGTGATCCTCTTCCTATCACCCTCAGGGTATATATACCCAAGGTAGTCAACTACCTAAGCTATAAATAGCTACATATGCGGTTAACCAAGGTTAACTAACCTCAGTTAACTCCTTAACCAGAGTTAATATCAACAATCTCCCCCTTAACTTGCGTTAAGGAGTCTCAGTAACCTCTCTAACCTATATTATTACTCAGCGGAAAGTTCTAGACAAAATGCTGACTGAAGTTCCCTCTTTAAACGAGAGTTAACTGGAACTAAGCCGTAGCCATGATAGGATAGAGTAATAATATACAGAGGTAACTCAACAATATCTCACCTTAACTCATGTCAAGGAATTTTTTAGTCGCCTCTCTAACCTATATTATTACTCTCATACCAAGATAGAGTAATAATATACAGAGGTAACTCAACAATATCTCACCTTAACTCATGTCAAGGAATTTTAGTCACCTCTCTAACCTATATTATTACTCTGCGGAAAGTTCTAAACGGAAACCTATCACAAGGTCCCTCTTTAAACGAGAGTTAACTAAAACTAAACCGTAGCCATAAGAGGATAGAGTAACAATATACAGAGGTAACTAAGAACAATATCTCTCGTGCTCCCTATGCACAACTTGCATAGTAGCACAATGTCGCCTGAAACTCTCCAAAGGAATAACTTTGGTCAACGCATCAGCTGGATTGAGTTTACCGTCAATCTTGACTAGCTCAATTGTTTTATCAGACACCGCTTGTCTAATAAAGTGATATCTGATGTCGATGTGCTTCACTCGGCTATCCATGACTTGATTCGCAGCCAAATGTAAAGCACTCTGGCTATCACAATGAAGATTGACCACGCCTTGTGTTAGTCCCATCTCCATGATAAGCTTATCTAACCAAATAGCTTCCTTTGCTGCTTCTGCTGCTGCCACGTACTCAGCTTCTGTTGTTGACTGAGCTACGCACTTCTGCAAGGTAGATCTCCAACTAATGCTTCCGCCGCCAAGTGTAAACACATATCCGGTTGTAGATCTCCTCTTGTCTAGATCTTGTCCATAGTCAGCATCAACGTAGCCAAACAAGGACTTGGCATTGTCTAATAAGCCATCAAACAATAAGCCATAATCCACAGTACTCTTCAGATATCTCAGAATCCATTTCACTGCTTCCCAGTGAACTTTTCCAGGATTTGACATGTACCTGCTCACCTTTCCCATTGCTAGAGCAATATCAGGCCTAGTGCACACCATTAAATACATGAGACTGCCTACTGCTTGTTCATAGGGAACACATGACATTTTTCCCTTTTCCACAGCATCTGTAGGACATTGGGCTGCGGAAAGTTTAAAATGTGCCGGCAGAGGAGTCCATACTCCTTTCGAATCGGCCATGTTGAACCTGTCAAGTATACGGCGAACATACTTGTCCTGACTCAGCCATAGCTTCTTCTGTTCAAAATCTCTATAAATATCCATGCCTAGTATCCTTCTTGACTCCCCCATATCCTTCATCTTAAATGCAGACTTCAGCTGGCTTTTGCATTCATCGACATCGGATTGGTTCTTTGCCAAGATAAGCATGTCGTCAACGTAGAGTACTAAAATGATGAGATTGAAAGTCTCATCATTCACCTTCTTCATATAGACACAAGGATCATACACGCTTCGTAGAAAACCTTGTGCCTTCATAAACTCATCAAAACGTGTATTCCACTGCCTAGGAGCTTGCTTCAGTCCATACAATGATTTCAGTAATCTACAGACCCATCTTTCCTGGCCTTTGACCTCAAAGCCAATTGGTTGTCTCATGTAGATCTCCTCCTCTAAATATCCATAAAGAAAAGCTGTAACCACATCCATCTGATCCATAACAAGACTGAATGTTGCGGCCAGTGCACATACCAGACGAATTGTAGCGTATTTTGCTACAGGCGAAAAAACTTCGTTATAATCCACACCCTTTTCCTGTGTGAAACCTCTAGCCACCAGTCTGGCTTTGAAGATTCTTGCATCATCTCCTGCTGGATTGTCTTTCAGCTTGTACACCCACTTGGAGTCAATCACTGTCTGATTTTTAGGAAGCTCAACCAACTCCCAAGTCTTGTTGTCAAGCAGTGACTGCATCTCTCGCTCCATAGCAGCATTCCATTCAAGCTTGTTGACTGAAGCTTGAGCTTCTCTGTATGAAGAGGGTTCACCTTCTTCCAGGATCAACGCCATACCATCCTCCTCTTCAAAATCAAGATCACGATCCTTGAGAATAGATGAATTTGCCCATGCACCAAATCTCTCAGGCGCTCTACTAGATCGTTGTGATCTCCTAGTAGACGTTTCCATTTGATCTCTGTTGTTTGGTATTGTTGCAATAGGCTCACCAATAATAGCCTGCTCATGTGGTTCTTGTTCCTCAAGAACTTGCTCCACATGTATCGGTGCTTCTTCATGTGACATATCATTAGTGATAGAATGATCAAACTCCCCCACAACAATATGAGTGAGTAAAGATTTCCCCTTGTTAGCCTCCACATTCTCCCCCTCTTTCAATAAGCGAGGCTCATTGAAAGAAACATCTCTACTAACAATCACCTTGCAGGCAACAGGATCCCATAACCTGTAACCTTTCACGCCACTAGCATATCCAAGAAAACGACATTTCTTGGATGTAGGTTCTAATTTGTTCCTGTGCTCCTTAGGTATAAGAGGATAAGCAGTACACCCAAAAATCCTCAAACGACTATAATCTGCCATCCGTTTATGTCTCAATTCAAACGGTGTGGAGAAATTGATTGCACTAGAAGGAGAAAGGTTTACCAAATAAGTTGCGGTGTTGACAGCTTCGGCCCAAAATTCCCCTGGTAAACCGGATTCGCTTAGCATACTCCGCACTTTCTCCAACACTGTTCGATTGAGTCGCTCAGAAACAGCATTTTGTTGTGGAGTATAAATCGTCGTGAAATGGCGAGTAATCCCCTCCTCTATACAATACCTCTGAAATTCCTCACTAGTATACTCGCCACCATTATCTGATCGTAAATATTTCACCTTGTGTCCAGTCTGAGTCTCAACTTGTATGCGCCAACTTTTGAAGGTTGAGAACACTTCAGACTTGTGGGTAAGAAAATATACCCACACATACCTAGAGTAATCATCTATAAAGGAGACATAGTACAACTTTCCAGATAGTGAGGCAACAGGAGATGGTCCCCACACATCACTATGTACATACTCCAGTATGTCCTTGGAATTATGAGTTCCAACGCCAAAAGTTTTCCTATGTTGCTTTCCCATGATGCAATGTTCACAAAATGACAGATCAACTTTACCCAAACCGGGTAATACATTTTTCTCATCAAGAAGAGACATGTATCGATCACTCATATGGCCTAATCTGGAATGTCATACATGAGACATCTCAACGCGAGATCTGGTAAAGTGAACTTCGCCACAAACAGTGATGCCCTCTAACAAGTACAGATTATTATGCTTGTATCCCCGAAGAATAATTTTCTTATCACATGATCTGACATCTAACACGCCCTGCCGAGAACTCCATTCTAAGCCGTGTGAGTCCAACACTCCAAGAGAGATCAAGTTCTTTCTCATGTTAGGTATAAACCTAACCTGGTTCAACGTACGGTTGACACCATCAAACATGCGGATCTTTACAGATCCAACACCCTCAATTCTACAGGGTTGGTCGTTCCCCATAAGAACTGAACCGTTTGATACGGAGAAAGTACAAAAGAACTCTCTAATGTAACAAATGTGATAAGAACAAGCACTGTCCAGAATCCATACATCACCAACAACTTGCGGTGAGTTGTAGAGGGCATACCTCTGGCATCATAGGCCATCCGTGTACAAATCGTTCGCCTCAGTATCAAGATGTTCAGCAACGTTTGCCACTGAAGGGGAGGTTGTACTGGTCATCCGGCAAAACTTCCTGATGTGGCCTTTCTTACCACAGCTCCAACAAACAACATTCTTCTTGTCAAATGGTTGAGCCAAAAATTGTACTTACCTTCGGTCAGGAGATTTTGATCTCTGTCGCTTCAAGCCTGGACGTCGTGAATCGTGGATGTCTCTCGGTTGTGACTGACCTTTTGCCATAAAAAGTGCTGTCCCATAAGTGGATGGAACGGAAGGAGATAACAAATCCTGCTCAACTGCATCCGTCAGAAGTGCACTTACAACCTCGTTGTAAGTGACTGCTGTGTTCTGACGATGAAGAAGAATCTTCGATAGTGTCTGATAGGTAGATGGTAATGAGTGAAGAAGATGCATTGCCTTCTTTGTGTCAGTAAGCTCCTCCCCCATATTCCGAAGATCCACCAATAGATTTCCATAGGCGTGAATGTGGTCTTGTATGTGTGTGCCAGGCTTCATAGTGAACCGTAACAATCGCATGTAAGTGTTCATCACAATCGTTGGATTCTTTTGATGGAACCGTTGTTGAAGCGCATCGAGCAACTTGGAAACTTCAGAGTACTCCTCAACCTGCTTGAGTATAGTAGGGTCTAGATATGCCAACACAGTGCAAACTGCCTGGTCCTGAGCGGTAGTCCATTCAATGTCATTTATGCTAGAAGGTTTTTCTCCCAAGCAGATAGTGAGACCCATGGATCGTAGTTTCACTTTTACTTGCTTTTCCCAAAGCAAATAATCACCGTGGCCATCGAAAGGTATGATGTTATATCCAAAATTGCCACCAATTTGTCGACCTATAGACTCTGCACGTCGAAAATGAGAGACAATAGCAGCTTCCGAGTCAATTTCCTCCTTTTGATTCATCGTTCAGGTCCTGAAAAGTGCCCAGATGCTCTAGTTGTGTCGAGAGCTTTCCAACGATACCCAATTTGACTAGATTCTGATGAAAAATATTTCTGAGAAATATTTATGACGGAATATTCCTGCACCGTAGGTCCGACCGTCACCGTTGATATCACCGTCAGACCGTTGCCCCTCTGACCGCGACTGTAACCACGTTCAGATCTCCCTCCTGCCGGAAATACTCCGCTCCTCTCCTGCCCTAACCGCGCGGGGGGAGCTCCTTCCTCCCTCCCTAACCGCGCGCGGGAGGTGGCGTGGCTCCTTCCTCCCTTCCTAACCGCGCGCGGGGGTGGAAGGAGTAGGCGCTGCCTGCCCTAAACGCGCGGGGGGGGGGGGGGGGGGGGGAACTCCCCCCTGCCGGAAATACTCCGCTCCTCTCCTGCGGGGAAGGGGGAGATTACTCCTTCCGACCCTACTCCCCTCCTCTCCTGCGGGCTCCGCTCCTCACCTGTCGCTACCTCCTGCCTTCACGCGGGAGGGGTAGCTGCGGAAATACTCCGCTCTTGTTACTCCAACTCGTACCCTAACTGCCTGCTGCCACCTCCAGGTACAAAAGTACTCCCTCTGGAGTCCGCTCGTGCGCGACCTGGGGGTATTACTCCCTCTTGCGCGACCTGCGCGGCCGCTCCGCTCTTGCGCGAAGGAGGGGGGAGGGGGGAGGACCGACTGCGCTCCTCCCTACTCCTCCTCTCTTCCCTACCTGCCTGCTGCCACCTCCAGGTACAAAAGTACTCCTTCCTCACATTCAATTGTACCGTGGCATCGAGACTTGATCACACCATGTCGAATCGAAGTGAAAGGCGATCGCAGCGTGACGTTACAATTCGCCTTTTGAGAAACGACAGTGTATCATAAGCTTGCAAAGTGGGACTGTGGCCGATAGTCGTTCTTCTGTTTACTCCTTCAGCTGCCTCGAAACGTTCTCTCTCTTCCGGAAATTTGCAGCGTAGAGTCTAGTCGGAGCAGTTTTCAACCCCCGGGGAGTGACGAACGTGATGGCACCTCAAGAGCGAGAGAGCCGCGGGTGCTTCGGGCAGCTGTCTCCGGTAATACAGAAATTCTGAGAGCCTTCAGCCCAGAGAGGTTGTGAATGCTCTGCGGGAGGACTATGCGCGTTCGTACTTTCTGACAGGAGAGTTTCTGGATTCTCTCTACACGGAGTACTGCTTGTTTGCTGATCCTACTATTCAGTTCTCAGGACGAGATTTGTATAGACGTAATTTAAAATTGCTGGTCCCTTTCTATGAGGATCCTTCACTCACCCTTGAAAGTATCCAGCAGGACGAAGATGGTGACTCAAAGTTCGTCGAAACTTCTTGGAAATTGAGAGTTTATATAAAACTACCTTGGAAACCCTTCATTGCTGTGGATGGTCGCACCAAGTACAGCTTAAATGCCGAAAATAAAATCGTGGAGCACGTAGAGAGCTGGAATGTGACAGCGATAGAAGCCGTGGGGCAGATTTTTAAGCCCTCCGAGAGGGCACTTTGGAAGACCTCCAAAAGTTAACTTTACTAGAAGTCGCGCTGACGGTGGTCGAGCCTATTCCCTTACTTCGAGGTGAAAAACCTGACCACCATCACCATGACCTTGCAAAAAACCCCAAAGCGACAGAAACAATCGTTTCCAGGCAACAATCCCTTGGATGATTGCCCGATGCAGAGTGAACGACGAACTACTGGTGGAGCAAGTGCCGGCTACCAAGTAGAGCAAGTGCCGGCCTTCTGCTACGATCCACGACACAAGAAGAACGAAGTCCACCACCAGTCGCCCTCCGAGAGCCAAGATCTCACACCGCCCGAACTCCGACGCCTGAACTTAGCTCTCGACAATCTCTCCAAAACTCAAAACTTCAGTAGCTTGACAGAACTTCTACAACCTGCAAACACTTTCACACTCACTTCGAAAAATTATCAACAGAATCTGTCACTGAGTCCGTCAGAAAACCTTCTGTTAGAAAAACTGTCACCGTACGAAACCAACCCGACAAAACCCTCCGACACTAAGTCCGAACCGAACCTGCTCTGATACCAAATGTAAACGGTAAATCGAGAAAACATAAAACACAACATATCAAATCACAACTGAGACACTATATAACGTGGTTCACCCTCAGGGGTTACGTCCACAAAGGAATACGCTCGAGAGAGTTTACTGTTTGTTTGAAGTGATCCTCTTCCTATCACCCTCAGGGTATATATACCCAAGGTAGTCAACTACCTAACCTATAAATAGCTACATATGCGGTTAACCAAGGTTAACTAACCTCAGTTAACTCCTTAACCAGAGTTAATATCAACATAATTGACTAAAATCTATTGTGATAAGATAAATTAATAATAATAAATTAGTTCAGTGGGAGTTATAAATTGACTTCACAACTGAATTCTAGCATTTTTATAAATCAAAATATTGTCTATATTTATTTATTTATTCAACATGTTTACAAACTGTTTAGTTTGCATTAAATGTGATTTTTTTTCCACCGTCATATTTTTTCCACCTAATTATCTTTGAAATATATTGGTTAAAGAACGATGATATTTATGTACATTTTCAAAAAAACTAAATATTACTTGACTATTGATTTGCATTTTTTAGTGATTTATATTATACAACTTAACTTGATACTTTATTTATTTGAAGAAATCATCTATCTTCATTATTGCTTTATGCTTTTCAGCAATCATCACATCATGCATAATTGTGTATCATGAAGCTTCATTTTATCAAGGGTATGAAATCTATAAAATTTATTTTAAAATTAAATTATCATTGATAATTTGCTTGTCTCATACTATGATTTGGATGATTTTGCTTATATTTATTTGTAGATTTTTTTTTAAGTTTTCATTTTAATATTAGCTTAATTTTTTTCCAATCAAACCTTGTTTTTACTTTGATTTTTTTTAGCATAAGTTGTTATATAGATTGAATAACAAATAACACTTATACATCAAATGAATGATTGCATTTGTTCATTTATCAAAATTATATACAATATGATGTTTGTTCAAATTGTTTCATAGATTTTCATTCAAATAATAATATAATAAAATTATTATTATTATTAATATAAATTAATAAATAGACTCAAATATTAAATATTTTTGAATATTTTCCATTCATAAAAAAAAAGTTGGTTCAAAGTTAAAGAAAAATTTGACAAAATTCAAATGCAAACTACATAAATGCTAGCATTTAAAAAATTTAGTGTGATTTTGATTGATAAAAATTTAAGTTTTATTTTCAAAATGTCATAATTTTTATTTTTTCAATCTCGTAATATTCATTGATTGTTGAAACTTACAAAACTGTATACTTGTCAAATTAAAATGTTGTATGAAGATTTTATAAACATTGGGTGATTATATTTGTATATTATTTGATATATGACATTGTGTTTGAGCAAACTTAGTTAAAATTTAATCCAATGTCTATTTATTTTTTAATTGCAACAATCTGACCATAATTTTGTCAGATTAAATTAATACATGAATTTTAAGTGATTTTGTTCCATGATAATGATTAATTCAATAGTGTTAACAAAATGCAATCTTGCACAATCATTTGTAACTCTCATATTGTTGGAAATTTCAGTCTTATTTACTACTTTGTTTATCATGAGATTACAAATGCCATCATCAATAATTTAATGCAAGTTGAAATTAAATTATTTTCAATTATTATTTATGACTAATTTGAATAAAATACTTGATTATGTTTAAACATCATAGCTTTTCATTGAAAGAAACAATACTTTAATTTTGATGTGAATTAAAATATATGAAGATCATAATATACTATTTATGTTGGATATAAAATTCATACTTTCTTATTTCACAATCTGATGCATTAAGATTATACTCTGGATTTGTTAAATAAAGCTTCAAATTATCAAATTATGAAAAGTAAAGTTAATTTCAAAATGTTTAAATTTAATTTCTAATAATTAAAATTTTCAATTTCAAAAGGAATTATCTCAATAAATTTCGATTTGTTTGAAAATATTTATTTAATTTTTTCATAATATGATTTGAAAAAAACAGAATTAAATTATATTGAACTAGTTTTAATTATCAAAAACTAGCAAAAGTATTATGAAGTCAAATATGCTTTCTTAAAGTTACTAAAAATTGATCTATGTTTATTATTATTTTTATTCCATTTATAATTATAGTGCATTTATGATAAAAAATCATCTATGGAATTTGGAAATATTTATTGTGGTGATTATTTTGAGATAAAAAATATATAGATTTTCATAATTTCAAATTTAAGATTTGTGCAATTATTAAGTTTTTCTTTAGTATCTTAATAATTCAATTTTATAAATATAATTTGCTTATCCATATAAAAGAATGAATAAGATTATATCTCACTTCAAGATTTTTGGTCTGCCAAACAATTTCTGAAATTTGGCGACAAACTTTAAATCTTGATGCAAACATATGAAGTTTAATTGGTTTTTTTAGCCATTGCGGATAAAAAAACATTTGGTATGAAATGCCAAATCATTGAAATTTTTTTTCTATCCATTTTGAAATTTCAACAATAATTCGCTCATAAGTTCTAATCAAATGTTTGGGTAATATTATATATATAATATTAATATAAAATATAAATGTTTAAAATATAATAAATTTTAAACCTAAAGAATAAAAATTTGTTTTTTTAAATTTAGAAAGTTAAATTTTATCTCACTTCAATGTTATTGTTTTCTTGCAATTGATTTTAAATTTGAATATCAAACTTTAAAATTTGTAAACAATTATTTTGAATAGAAAATCAATATTATATATATATTTTTTTAAAAAAACAAAATGATCGAAGTTATGCTTAATATACACGTATCTTCGTTATCGATTATAATGGTAGGTTTGATGAGCATCTTTCGCATTAATTTGCATTTATGAATAAAATTTGAAAGTTTGTAAAATTTGTTAGTTATAACTTTTCCTATGGTTCATTTGAAATAAATATCTTTCTTTAAATAAATTATCTTTAAAGAAATTAACGAAGTAATTCACACTCCACTTGGAAAATTCCATTCTAACTTAGTTAGATGCAAGATAAAATGGTTTAATATGATAACTATGATGGTGTTTGATATTTAGTCATTTTCCACACACATGTGCAAATATCTACATTTCACAAGCTATATGACGTTAGCGTCTTATTGTAGTATGTGGGGGATTACGAATTTTCAACTATTTATTTTGAATTTAAATTAGCCACTAAGTATGATAAATCAAAGTTAAGGTATATTTAGTATCTCTCAAATTCCCCTTTGCTTGAAGCATTGAGATCACCTCATAGTACAATGAGGACACTGTAGACAAAATACTGTGGTCAATGAATTTTCAATATCTGTTACGGGTTAGAAGGCCACCATGCTGGCTCAGGCATGGTAACCGCGTAGAGAGCGACGCAGTAACGAGGGCGGCCGACCGAGGAGGTCCAAGCGCAGTAAGGAGCTTTCAGGGTATCGTCGCTTGCGTTTGTCGGCTGCCCCTGAGCCTGAGCCTCGCTCGCGGGGCTCTAAGATTTGCAGCAGCCAGCCGCTCATTCCCCTCTTTGCCTGTCCCCGATCCCTTTCGCGGACGGAGCTCGCGGACTTCCGAAGAAGTGAGCCATTTTCGCCGCAGGGCGATCGAGATCTTGCGCACTCGGGTCGACGATTCATCCAGGCCCGCACGAAGGCGAGGAGCCGAACGAAGCAGTGTGTCTCGAGCAATGTCTTACAACGATTATGGTCGAGACAGTAGAGACAACCGGGACAACAGGGGGGATTATGGAGGAAACAGAGGAGGAGGTGGTGGCGGTGGCGGTAGGAACGAAGATGTAGGCGGATACGAGCAGGATTACGATGACAGACCCGAGTTCAGGGATGGATTCCGTGATCTTGCGCCCCCGGAGCCCGGCCAGGACCCCGCCAGCTATGTGCCTGATGTCGTCAAGACCTTCGTCGTGTATTTGTATAGGCACATCCGAGAGAAGAATGTCTACGAAATCCATCAGATGTACGAGGGCTCCTTTCAGAAGCTGAGCGAGCGCATGTTCCAGAAGACCCCCTGGCCTTCGGTGGAAGTCATCGCGCCCTATGTGGAGAACGACCATGTCTTCTGCTTGTTGTACAAGGAGATGTGGTTCCGTCACGCGTATGCGCTTCTCAGCCCTACCCTAGAGCAGAGATGTGATTCTTGGGACAACTATTGCAATCTGTTCCAGGTCATTCTTCACGGAAACGTGAATATGCAGTTGCCCAACCAGTGGCTCTGGGATATGGTCGACGAGTTCATCTACCAGTTCCAGTCCTTCTGTCAGTACCGCGCCAAGCTCAAGAACAAGACCGATCGAGAGCTCGCTCTTCTGCGCCAATGCGACGAGGTTTGGAACGTGTACGGTGTCCTGAATTATCTGCAGGCCCTTATCGACAAGTCGATGATCATCCAAATTCTCGAGGAGGAGAAGGATGGCTCCGTGACATTCACGGCCACCGATGGTTACGACTATCACGGAGGTACTAATGTGCTCAAGGTTTTAGGTTATTTCAGCATTGTGGGTCTTCTTAGGGTTCACTGTCTGTTGGGTGACTACCATAGCGGCCTGAAGGCTTTGGCGCCCATCGACATCAACGCACCGGGAGTGTACAATACCGTCATCGGGTGCCAGGTGACGACCATCTACTACTTCGGATTTGCCAACATGATGCTGCGGAGGTATGTGGATGGAATTAGGGCATTCAACCAGGTTCTGTTGTACATCCATAAGACCAAGCAGTTCCATCAGCGCTCCCCGCAGTATGATCAAATTCACAAGAAGAACGAGCAGATGTACGCTCTTCTGGCGATCTGCCTTTCTCTCTGCCCTCACGGAAAGCTGGTCGAGGAGAATGTGAACAACCAGTTGAGGGAGAAGTACGCCGATAAGATGCTGAGGATGCAGAGGAGCGACGAAGCCATATTCGACGAACTTTTCTCATACGCTTGCCCGAAGTTCATCACTCCTTCTCCACCCAACTACGAGGAGCCGCTTGTAAACTACAACCAGGACGCATACAGACTACAGCTCAAATTGTTTCTGTCGGACGTGCGCCAACAACAATTGCTCTCGAGCATTCGCAGTTTCTTGAAGCTGTACACCACCATTTCGATCGCCAAACTCGCTTCTTTCATGGACATCGACGAGCCAACCCTGAGGATGGCGTTGCTGACTTACAAGCACAAGACACATGTCATCGACACGGACGGTAGCGTGTTGTCCAACGCTGACGTCGAGTTCTATATCGATGACGACATGGTCCACATCGCTGATACCAAGGAGACGAAGCGCTTCGGAGACTACTTTATCCGTCACATCACTAGATTCGAGGACATCATCACAGACTTGGAACGCGTTCAATTAGAGTGAAAGCCAATTGGTCGATGGAGAGGGAAGCTTGAGCATTGCGGACTAGCAAAATTTCCATATTCGCCTCGCTTGATCTGCCGCATTTGTAAACGCAAATGCTTTTTCAGGTCAATTTTACTTTATGAAAGGCTCTCCTTTTTAAAATTTTGTTTCGATTCTGTCCTTACAATCCGTTGTGAGCCAGCACCCAATTTCCTAAAAAGAGTCATTCTTTTGTACAATTATCTGACTCCGCCGCTTTTGCATACTCGTTGATTTTTAGAGACTTCGTTCAAACACTCCCTCACTGCATGTTGTCAAATTTTGGTCATGAGGTTCCAACTCCGTGTCAACGAGAGAAATCACATTTTTGAGCAAATTGTTCGCAAGAGGTGATATTACAGCCGCTGTCTAGATGTTTTCCTTGCGAATGCTTTTGTGATTGGCGTCATTTGAAGTCTTGATCAGATCTGGGCCTTCATGGACACGGACCAAATGCTTGGATCAGAGGATTGGAAGAAACGCAGATTACGTAGAACTGAAACTTTACTGCTTGTAGAAACATCCTCTTGCTGGAACTGATCATGTCTAATTTCTAAATGACAAGGCCCGCAGGTTTTCGTGTTTTGTGAGTAGACGATGAGAGCGTTTCCTGCATGAACTGTAGTCTAATGTTCCTTCCGATTGCACATAATCACCTGTTAGAAAAAGCTTGTGGTGGTATTGTGTGTTTCCACCGTTTACAATGTTCTTCATTTGCGTCCAACGGATGATCGTCATCATCGTTAGCCGTACTCTGAGTTGTCCCTTGTTTTTGTAGTGATACTCTTGTTTGACTTTCTAAAGAATCATTCTCTGGGACATTGGGACTGAAGTGCTGTGGTCTTCTTCTAGCGTGTGAATTAACAGAAATGGTAGAAACTAAATGGGCTGTAGACAGCTCTGACGTTTGTAGGCTTTTGGGGGATGACTTCCTGTGTTTACCATGACAACCTGTGATTTCTCGTCACCTCGGGCCCTGTTACCTCCAAAGTTTTCCACGAAGTGAAGTTACAAAGTTCTTAATTGCATCTAAACCGCTACACGAGGATATTGGAGGTGATTTCTAACACGTTCTGAGTGAAGAAGGCTTGTCTGTCAGTAGCCTGTCTGTGTATGCCCAAAGCGAAGAGTAAGATTCATCCAAGGCTATAATACGCACTGCCTTTCCAAGTGAAGTTTTTTCCGTTCTTTCGGTATTTGGGGCAGGTGCAGTTCTCTCCCTTCGTCGATAAATAAAACGCCGGAAAGACACGCATCTGAATTCTGCAATGTAGTGACGATTGTGGAGTAGGGGACAAGCGAATGTGCAATTCGGTCAACAGATGGCAAAGAGTAAGGATGTGCGGTGTGGTACATGACACACAGTACGGAATAAACACGAGGCGGGTCCTCCCTCTTTTTGTTTGAGTAGCATTGAACTGTTTGCGTTATGCAGTTTCCCTCCGAACATCAGGACCCAGGACGCAACCCAGCTACCCAAGAGACGGATGAGAACTCTCTCAGTGCTTCGTTTGTCGTGCAGGACTTCCACCGGTGATATTATGATAATGTAATACTTTTTTGCAACGTAACATTTGGCGTTAGAGCAGTCCTTCGTTGTCTTCTTTCTCTGTGTGGGTGTGTGTATGTGTGTCTCTCTGTTTGGGAAAGCTAGATCTTGAAGGTCGACATTCGCTAGTCTGGAATATGTCGTGAACAACTTTTGTCCGTCAGTTCCCTCAGCACGGGTTTTGTACCTGTATCCCAGTATGAATCAAATTAAGAATACATTAATCCTTGTGGCAGACCGTTTCACTTTTTAAGTGGAGTATTATGTGCACGAGTTTGGTTACTACAGCCCCCTGCGATCGTACTCATCTCATCTGCAAGGATTATCTCAGAGGCTGCTTTGGATCTCGCAACAAGTCGCGTACATTCAGGGTTTGGAGACATTGGTTCGATGAGTCTGTTCTCAAAGTCTGTCGCCCTGCACATGTTCTCCTGGCCCCCGTGCGTGCTCGGACGATCGCAAAGAATAAAAGAACGTGAATGAGTGTTCGTACTCCGTCTGCGACTTCCTTGCTGTCCATGGTCGGTCGGTCGGTCTGTCCGCACAATATTGCTGTACGCACTTCGCGTCACCCGAGGTCAGGAATCAATTTGACACTACTTTCCATCAAACTATGTGTTATTAAACTCTTGAAATCTCTCTTCCATGTCATTAGTCTCAGACCGAAAGAGGCTAAATTGCTCTCGTCTTCAATGGGGGGCTCTGGTTAAAGCTCATGAATTGAATCATGAATTTCACAGACGAAGGCGGGAATGTCAACGAGACAGCGGAACCGAAAATGGCCATTAGCGGAACAAAGCTGGACTGAATGAATGGTCCAGGGCTGCGTCAAGGAAAGTCTGCCGAATTAGACTTTTTTTTTTTATAAAAAAAATGGAACGGAAACACTCCAGGAGTGAGATCTACTACTCCTGAGCAAGGTGCAGAAAACCTTATGATATTGCGATAGAGAATGAATCTGAGAATCCCAATGGCTGAGGCCCAGTTCAGATCAAGCAAGTTCACGATCGAGAGCTGTTAGTGTATCGTGACGTGCTGTGCTATGCTGTGCAGGCCAGGCCACGACTAGCGGATGATGTCAGTGACGGGAAAATTATATGTACGTCAGGAGTTTGACGATTCAACCGGTGGCGAATCAAACATGCAGCCTCAAAAATGCTTACTAACCGTGCCGTGTCGATCTTCCGACGTCGAGGATGGGAGACATTTTCGTGCAATTTTCATTCTCGTGGAGTTTTGCCTGCGGACAGGCAGACAGTAGTTTGCTCGCTCTCGATAATTTTGATCCCCCGAGTCGAGGAGCGCTCTCTCTTCTTCCTATCGTGGCAGAGCGAATTCGAAGGTGGAGATGAACAATGCACGGAAAAGGATGCCGAACCCCGTTCACTGATCTAGACCGGATTTGGCGATGGACCAGCAGCAGCAGCAGCAGCATCTATCTGTCCTTGACCTGAGGAAGTCCCCGCGCGTCATGCGGCGTCCCTCGCTAGAGACTCTCTGACCTGACTGCCAGCCCAGAGCCTCAAGCAAGCAACCCCTCTCCCGAACCCCAACGCTGAATCTGAGATTTCACGCCTCCGGACTCGCGCGGAGGCCCATCGCAGCCCCATCGCAGCCCCATCCAGGGGTCAATCTAAGCACGGCCTCGGTGTCCATGGGGGAACTCCACTTTCGAGGGGAAGTCCGACGGAAGCAATCGGGGCTCGGAAGGGGGGTGGGGGTGGGGCTGGGGCTGGGGGATGAGCCGGGGGCAGCTCGCTCGGTCCGTAGGAGAAAAAGTCCGACCGCGGACGTTGAACGTTCCGTTCAGCCTCGCCCCGCCCCTGCGGCAACGGCAGCAGTGCCGCGTGAAGGTCGACGGGGCTGGGGCTGGGGCTGGGGAAGGGCGGGGGCTAAAGGCAAGAGGCGACGGAGTAAGCCCCGAGAAACAGAGTTGGACGACTCGAGCGAGAGGGACTTTGACTGACCGACTGACTCGACGAGACCGGCCGCGCGGGCAGTTGGATGTCGCCCCGGGGGGCCCACGGTCCCCCGGGTCCAGGGCTCTGGCGCCGGACCGGGCCAGCCACCTCAGCCACCCGATAGCACACCAGCGAGCATCTTCCTTAACTCACTCTCGAGCCCCACGAGCGACCGGAAGCATGCGCTGTTGCCCAGGTTGCTAGTCGGCCCCCCACGGGGCTTGGCTGGCCCAGCCACCCAAGCTTCGGGGCTCCGGTTTCTCGAAAGAGCGTAGTTGACTGGACGTGATCGAGTTTTCAAAGCAGCGGGGGGTGGGGGAAAATAGCGTGTGCACCAACAGTCATAATCCCCCCTCCCCGCCTCCCTGCCTGATCCACAAATAATCGGTCTCGCAAGCTTTCCCCCGCCCCCGCCCCCTCCCGCCCCGCGCGCTTGACCCGAGCGACCGAACAACTGTCGCCTGTCGTCTTGTGCTGTAGGCACGAACCTCTGTGGGCGTCTCGCGACACAGTGCCCTGAAGCCCAAGCCCAAGCCCAAGCCCAACCCCCGTCTTCTATAACCAGAAGTCCTTGCGGCGGTTCTCCCCCCCACACCTTAACCCCACCCCCATCCCCAACCCTCTCGGAGTGCTGGTCAGAGCAATTCAAGCAACATCATCGGGCCGGACCGACACCCTCGACCTCGACCTCACCCTCACCTCACCTGAAGCCAGCGCGAGCTTTTGCCTCTCGACTGCAGGCGATCGTTCAGGGAACGCAATAGAAGGAGAGGGAATGGCATGGAATGAATGAGAATTGCGTGCGTGCATGTGCGAGAGAGCTGCTCCAAGGGAGCTGACAGTCTCAGGAATTGTGACGGCCATGTCCTCATGCGAATGACAGACGACGTACTGCAGACCCAAGGCCTCGCTCGCGGCGTGTGTACTATAGAAGAATAAAACGAGGGCTCGGATCCACTTCCCCTCGTATCCTTGAAATCCTTTCTCAGCTGCTGGGGCAGTCCGGAGCCTGCACGCACAGTGGTCATCACACACTAGAATCAATCACCCGCTGCGGATCGAGCTCACTCACTTCGTAACAGCTCACGAGAGACAGATTCAAGGCAGTTAGAGCCCAGCGAGCGTCGGTCCGTCGTATCGAGTCCAGGCGGATCTGCGACGATCGTCACATCATCATCATCATCATCATCATCATCCTGCACATCAAGCACCACAGTCGTCCGCGGGGTAACTGGATCATTTAACTCGAAACGCCATCGCTCGTCCCGGGAGGAATTTTGATTTCGTAGCTTTAGAGAAAATTCTGAAGCGGAAGCAGAAGCAGAAGCAGGAGCTGGAGCGTCCGAAGCAGGAGAAGCAGCAGCAGCGGCAGCTATCGTCGACCGATCGAGCGAATTCTCCGAGTGCGTGCAGACACGAGCTGAAGATCAGTTGGCATCAGTCGACAAGCAATTGTAATTCCCAGGGCGGGCAATTCCGCACAGGCCATAGATACAGGCGCCACGATTCCCGGGCCAGCTCGATTTTATGCCCTCTCTTTCCTCCCCTCCCCTCTCCCCCTCCCTCTCCCTCTCCCCATCTCTTCCCCACCTTCCCCCCATCTATCCCTCTCTCCCTCTCTCCGGCATGGGCTCGAGAGAGCAGGAGCAGGAGCAGGAGCAGCAGGCGCAGCGGCAGAGGATTGGACAGGACCGCAGCGGGTGCGAGACGAGCAGTAGCTAGACGCAATCGGAAGCAGTAGACTGAGATCACACGGAGGTTCATTGAACAATACTTGTCTATACTCAGAGGAGCGCAGGAGCTCGATGTAGGTCACGGCGTGCAGTAGAACAAGGCACAGCTCCTCGTTAGTGTGTAGAGGTGAAGATCATCACGTCTGGAATTTCTGGAATTTCTATCTATCAGTAGGCAATCAATCAATCAATCGATCGATCGCCCACTCGATTCGATTCGAGAATTCGGTTCGAGCAATCTGGATCGGTCCAGGGGCGTCGTCTCATGTAAGGCAGCAGGCAGGGAGAGATGATCAGCGAGAAGCCATGGGTGGCGCACATCGAGGACGAGATCAACAGTTTGGTGGATCTGGATCCTCGAGACCGCGTGCGAGGGTCGATATTCCGCGTGCCGCCGTCGGTGCGCAGAGTGAAGCCGCACCTGTACAGCCCGCAGATCATCCCGTTCGGGCTGTACAACGTGGAGCGCATTCGGAGCGAGAAGATGAGCCGCATGGACAGGCTGAAGCTCGAGGTGGCGAGCCGCGTGCTGAAGATCATCAAGGCGCCCTACACCGAGTGCTACCAGCACTACGACGCCGCGCTCGACTGCCTGAGTCTGCCGCGAGTGACGCCCAACCAGCTGCACCCGATCCTGGCCGACCTGGTGGCGGCGCTAAGCCGGCTGCCCTACGTGTCGACGGACTCGGAGGGCAAGCTGGAGATGATGCGCGGGCGGATCGCGCACCTCAGAGCTATGGCGCAAGCGCCGGGCTACGAGCTGCGCGAGCGCGAGTCCAAACTGCTGTCGGCGGATCTGGACTCGGTGTTCCAGGTGTTCGCGCGGTTCCTCGAGCTCAACAGCGAGAGCAACAGGAAGAATTGGAAGTGGCTGTGCAACAAAGTGGTCGGGGACGCGGCGGTGATGGAGATTTACGACGACGTCTCGGACGTGTACGAGGGCGCCGCGCGGTCGCTGCTCACGCTCGACGCTGTTTTTCTCGTGGCCTTCATGCTCTCGCTGCACTCGGGCCCGGCGCCCGAGTCGAGGATTCTGATCGAGGAGCTCGGCTGGTTCAACCCCGTGCTCGATGTCTTCCGGCAGGAAGGAGTGCGTTGCAATGCGCACGAGATCGGGCTCGACATGTGGCTCATGGAGAATCAGATCCCGCTCGCCATGATCCGCAGCGCACTCGAGTGCATGTGGGAGGTGTCGAATCAGGCTGGAGGCAGCGCGAGCTCAGACAGGGCGCTCGTCACGCTCGTGCGCCATGCCGTCAAGGGCGTGCTGCATCTCGTGCCGGGGGACTGCTCTAAGCACACCACTTCGATCGACGCGGTGCCTATCCCCGAGTGCAAGCACCTCCTCGAGTGCTTGTACAGGGTCGTTTGCCCCAGCGTCAAGACCTCCGGCGGTAGCCGCCGCCCGCCCTTGCGACGTCACGCGCGCGCTAAGCCCTCGGGCGCCTCGGCGGCGGACTTCGCAGCGCGCTCCCGCGGCCTCGACGCGCGACCCTCCCAAAGCGCGGCCTCGTCGCGCGCCGACATCGAGTCGCGGTACCCGAGCGCCTCGGCGACAGGAGGCGTGCCGCTGTTAGCCCCGTCGCCGTCGTGCCCGAATTACCCCCGCCTTCCGCCGGAGCTGCAGCTGTACCCCCCGGCGCACTCGAGCTCGTTCCCGGGGTTCCAACCGTCGCCGCCGTCGTCCCCGACGGCGCGAGAGCCGTCGGCACCTGCGTCGCATCCCAATAAGCAGTACGACAACGCGTACCACCAGCGGCCCCCGTCGCACCTCGTGCTTGCGCCGCCGCCGCTGCCCACGTCCATCGCGCCGTCGCTGCTGCCCTTCGGCGCGGCCTCAGGCTACCACAAGAGCGAGGCGTTCCGGGCGAACGGCGTGACGCACGTCCTGGCCAACGGCGAGACGCGGGAGATGGACCGGTACGGACGCTCGAACGGGCACGGCGAGCCCGCTGCGCCGTCGGGGTGGAGCGACTCGGCCGCGTCGCCCGTCGGGACGGATGACGAGCTCGAGCTCCCATTCCGCGCCGCCGCGCGCCGGAGCCCGACGCCGCTGCCGGTGTCGGATGTCGCGATGCTGGACGATGGGATGAACCAGGTGGAGTTCACGCTGGCCGACTCGCGCGGGCGCAACAACTCCTACTCCACCGTGACCATCGACATCCCCGGCGGCCTGCCGGTCGGCAAGCGCCTGCTGGAGACGGCGCGCGCCGCGGGGGGACACTCGGGGCTGACCGTCTCGTCGGGCTGCGACGGCGGCCCCGCGGGCTACGTCTCGCTGGGCACGCTGCGCTCGGCGTCCCTGAGAACCATCCGGACGATTAAGAGCGCCCGCAGCTGGGCCGGCGCGCCGTGGCGCCTCGTGCGCCGGATTCTGGCGCGGGTCGGGGCCGCGGACCGGAACTCGCGACTGGGGCACAAGGTGCCGTCGCGCGCCGCCTTCACTGCCCCCAGGGCTTCGCAGCCCCTCTGCTCGGGGGGCTCCGACACCAGGATTACCCCCGTGCCGTCTGTGTCGCAGCTGAGGAAGGCGGGCATCGGCATCCGCAGCGGGTCGCAGGTCGGGTGCAAGCTGCTGCTGGGGGAAGGCGGGGGCTGCGGGTTTATTAAGCCCACGCTCTTCCTGCCGAAGCTCGAGATCGACGCGAGCACGGAGCGAATTTTGCAAAACCTCGTGGCCTTCGAGCTGGTGAGCGCATCGGAGCACGAGCTCATGAGCTACCTCCACTTCATGAACGGGCTGATCAAAACGGAGGAGGACGTGCAATGGCTGCAGCGCGGCAACAAGGCGGTGATCTGGATTCACCCGCTGAGCTCCGAGTTCGAGGTCGTCACCATGTTCGGCTCTCTGCTGCAGAATTGCTACTTTCTCGAGACCGGCAAATCCCGCCATCTCCGCCGCGAGCTCAGCAAGTGCTACAGCCGCTCGTGGCGCCACCGGTTCGCTTCGTTCGTGGACGTTCTCTGCACGCGCTCGTGGATTCTCATCTCGCTGATCGTTGCCACGCTCATCCTCGTGGTGCTGCAGACGGCGTACATGCTTCTGGGTTTCTACCGCCTTGTGGATTGATCGAACTCAAAAACATTGTACATTAGTGTATTTTACCCAATTTATACTCGACCTGGGTAGCTGTAGAAAGTATAACATTCTTAGTCTGAGCTAGATACGGAGCGAGCGAGCGAGCGAGAGTCGCAATCGGTTGCCCGAAGGCACGCGTGGGGTTTTCTACCAGAGAGCTTGTAGATTTTGTGAGATGGAGCGTACAGGAGCTTGCGGTCGGAGTGCGGGAAGCGAGTCATCATCATAGTTCATCTTCTCAGTCAGAGCCAACGCTTTCTTTCTTGTAAGACATTGAATTAGGAATTGTCCCCCCTGGAGTCTCGGCGCTTGCACTCCGAAGCAACGCATTGTGCAGAACGTACAGTATCTATGAGTTCATAATCTCTTCGTCGTTTTGTCAAACGCACTATGCCACCTCGCCTCCCGTTTCCATTCACCCGCATCCTCGCCTTCCTGCTTCCATTTTGCATCCTCATCCTGATTCCGCCATATTTCATTGAGAGAGAGAGGTTCCTGGTAATCTGCAGCTTTTGTCACTTTGGACTCATCGTGAACATGAAACCTCTACCCTCCAAAACCATTCGACGAATTTGACTAATTTGAACCCATTTAGCCAATTTCTGTAGTGACAAGTAACAGAAGCCACTAAATGCAGACGAAGATCTTCCAGACTCATCGATCTTTTGTGACGAGCAGATCCAAGCTCTCCAGTGACAGTTAGTGTGTCTGAAAGGATGATCTGGAAAGCCCCTGATTGCCATTGGAGCCATAGAATCCTTCGAAAGGCGCAAACGAGACAAACCTTTGGTGAGACCACCCAGAGTACGTCAAAGCATCCGTCATGGTCGCAGCTTCTCTGGAGATCAGTGACGCATAGTGGATGATGGAAGCAGTTTATTATAATCGGGTCCTTCCAGCTGGACCTGGAACGAATCGATGCCTACTGCCGAGGAGCCCACTACAGGACAGTGGGAGCCAAACCATGTGGCACGTCGTGATGGCGCCAGGCTCGTAAACTAGCCCCCACTTTGAAGTACATGTCCAATGGCATGAGGCCCGGTGTTCGTGACTTTATAATTCCATCAAATGAATCATGAGTCTCTACGAGGGAGGCCTCTGCCTAGACAGATAGAGCCCCATGAGCTACCCATTCTCGGTTTGTTAAAGATTCTCTCCATATATCGAGGTGATCGAACGTACGATCACCTTTTGATTGGTGGGGCAGACAGATGAGACACCGAAAGCATTTGTCAAGCTCGAGTTCGAGAACACTCGCTAGAAAACACGATCGACCAATTGATTCGAACAATAAATGAATGAATGAATGTTCTCACCCCGAAAGGGTCGAGAGCAACGGAATCAATGTGAGGCGCTTCAACCTCGTTCTCGATCTCGGTCTCCCATGAGACTGGGCCATGCTTCCAGATACGCAAAGTGCTGATGATGCAAAATTATCGTATATCTCCAGTCATGCACACTATCTCGAGCTTGGGCAATTGGGCAATTGGGCAAATCTTATTTGACGTCTTGTTGGACGAGGGAGGGCACGGCGAACACAGACGTAGAGTACGTACTTCTGGATTCCATGGCTCATCCCTCACCTGGAAGATGATATAGGCCAGGATGATCATAGCTTACGAGCCCAAGCAGGTGCAGGTCCATGGTAGGGTAAGCTGGCCAGTCGGTCCGTTTGAGGTACAGGAGCAGCAGCAGAGGTGGGGTTGTAGTAAACGAGGTTCCTGTACTACCGGGGGCAGATATTCCTGTGGAGCCCAAGAGGGCCATGAAGACCCCAAAAGGCAAAAGCGCCCATCGCCAGCAAAAGAATCACTGGGAAGTGGAGTTCTGCAGAAGGCACCCGACTACCCAAACGTAGCAGTTGCCAGTTGCCACACATGCGTCCAAACATGTACGTCCACTCGTGAACAGATTGCTGGGAATTTTGAGTGCCATGAACATTCAGTGGGAGCTACGCTTGGGGAAGGAGGACTTGCCTAGTTCGAAGATTCTCCTCGAGTCCAATCCCACGCATTCGTGTCCCGTAGGATCCATGAAGGAAGCTGGAATAAGCATCCATCATCAAATAGAACATGATCCTCATGGACTCGAAGAAGAACTAACCGAATTTTTGATTGACCAAGGGAGATAGTTGATGAACCTCGAAGTCCACGGGCGGACTTGCGGACATGGGACCGGGAAAGAAAGAAAATGCAACCAAATTGGTGATCAGCAAGGCGGAAACGGTGTCACAGAGCGCAGGCGCCACGGACCTGGATATACGAAACAACAGCGAGCCGCCACCGCCAGCACCCAATCGCACGAGTCAAACGACAGCTATGTGAGACTGAGGGTCTCATGGCTTTCCCAGATGCACTCACGTACGTACGAAATCGCGCACAATGCTCACCATCGACGCGGATCTGGACTAATCGAGTCAACGTGAACATCCCAGATATTCCCTCGCTATATCTCCCTACCATGACAACCAAATGTAGAGTTTCCAACTGCTCGCAATCAGTGTCTGTAGGTTATTTTTTATCCATATTTTGAGGCCGATCGGTTGTTTTGGTAATCAGGTCCAGAAGTGGTGACAGCATCCGAATGCTGCTGATGTGTGGGCAGTCCACAGATACGGCGCACGGGCCGAGAGTAGCTCGCTGTGGTGTGATTTCCAGGGTATCTCAGCAGCTCTGGGAGCTGGTCTACAGAACTAGCACCGTAAAGAGCTCTCAGAGAGAGAGAGAGAGAACGAACGTGAAACTTGTGTGACACAGCTTCCAGCAGCAAAATCAGGGGAGGCTTTAACTGGTGGAGTTGAAGGCATCCATAAAATGCGTCTAAATTCGTGCCTGCAGCTGCTCTGGCCTGCGCTAGAAGTAGGCAAGGGTTTGGGGTTCAAGGAACAGGATCCGAAACAGCAGACGAAGTTCCTGCTCGGGGCAGCAGCAGCAGGAGGCATGGCATGCCATTGAGCATGAGCAATTCAGCAGCTGACAAAAATCCAACGCTTCACTGAAGAAGCGAGGCCCAAGTTGGAACTCCAGTTTCGGTCACAGTGCACACTCGAAGTACTGATCTTAGTCTTCGTCCTTTCTCACGAGCTGGCTATATAAACAAGTACAGGTGTCGTGGACTGGCAGAGATCTCCAATTCGCCAGTGCTTGCACATGGCTTCCCTCCATAACCACTTCTTCAGGATTCGCAAGTGTAAGCTGGAGAGAGAGGTTTGCTGACCTGATCTCAAAGGCGGCAGCAGCAGCACCTGGAAACTGCGGCAATGGGTCTCCAGAGCAGGGAACAACTGTTGGGCACCTGTACATGAGAATAGATGTACACCAGTGGATCCTTTTGTCCGTGATCAAATGGCAAAGTACCGCAAGGACACTCGAACATTGCCCATTTACAAATCCACGTTGTGGCGAGATTCTAGGCTTGGTCGGAACTTTCCTCTTCGGATGCAGGGCTTGATTTGAGCCGGAATAAGATTCCGGAGCAGTAGCCTTGATTTGTTTGCAAGACCTTGAGAGGACAGCTGATGCTATATTCTCGCTTTTGCAGCCATCATGACCTCTGAGAAGAATATCGTATCTGCGTCTCTCACGCAGAAGTTTGCAAAAGCAGGGGCTGCAATCCGGATCCCGCTTTAGTATTTGATCTCAATTTCCGGAGTCCATTGTCATATTATTCTTATATATTTCAATTCAAGGGCGATGGTGCAGCCTCGAAGCTCAAGCTGAAGTCGAGGTCAGAGGAAACTCGTGACAGGTTTACACAGCGAGCAAGGCTTCGACTGTATGCCCAAACAAGTCTTCGTCCTTTCGTTCCTTCGTGGATTGATGTAATTAAAGCATCGATCTGAGTAATGGGCTGGAATTTAGTCCATCAATCTCTAAGATGAGACTAAGATTGATCAATTTGGCGCATGCGGGAAGAATATCTCGCTTGCCGGTATGTACATAGTGTAACAGGTCAGGAAAATCGGCTAGTTGATCTGAATCATCACATCAGGTCCTGTGGAAATCAGAGCTCGTTCGAAGTCTGATATGTTTGACGTAGAAGGTGCATTGACACAGGAGGGAAATCTAGACACAGGAGAGCTTCAGCCTCAACTGTTATTGGTGTAAAACTTAAATCACAGTAGGAGAGACTCAGACTAAATCAGATATTATGCTTCGTCTTCAATGTAATGCGCAAAGGTGTCGGCCGGAGCTGCCTCAAAGACATTTCGCAGCTTCTCAAAGCCGTCTCCGACGACAGTCGAAGAATGAGACACATCTCATTCCTTTTGGTAGTTGAAGGGCACGAGAAATGTCGAAAGAAATGGGCGACAGCATGATCTACCAAGCATGCAACATGCACCGCTATGTTGGTACGAATCCTCAAAAGTGAGCAAACATAATTCAATGCTCTTTGATGAGTGATGAGATTCATTATTCCAAGTAGAGCTTTCGGTTGCCTCTGGTGACTGGCCACCGGAACTACAAGACACAGTGCAGAAGATGGATAATCGAAATATTGAAATGGATTGACCTTCTTGTCACCGAAGTGTCTCTACAATGTCGGAATCAGCATTCTTTTTATGTTCATTACTGAGCTTTTACTGCAATCAGAAAGAAGGCGAAGTAAGTCTACCATTTATCTGCAAATCAGTTTTTGCGAGTGCACTGGAGAGTCTACACGGAGCCACTTAGTTCACAACCAAGTCTCCAGAGGTCATCACGAGAAGCCGGATGTATCAAGAGAATCTATCAGATTCTGCACGTAAAAACGAGAAGACCGACCACGAGAAACTGTAATTGGGGGATTCCAATCTTGATCGCAGTTCGGGATTCGACATGGCGTTGCGCTACTTTGTCTTCCTGCAGGATATGCAGACACGAGGATATACCTCTGGTTCAGGAATCGCAGGATCCTTGGATCTTTTAAGTTCCAGAAATACTGGCAAATAAATAAGTAGAACGACCCGAACCAAGATTCTCCGACATCCACCCAGCTCAGCTCAACCTTGACTTTCCAGATCTGAAATTGACATAGGAAGAAATCGGTCCAACTGATGGTACGTAAGGAATTTTTAAACATATATAGGGACAACTTCTGACAAGACTTCTGGAGAGAATGGAGTGCTTTGCAGGTTAAGATCGTGTGCGCGTAGGTTTCAGCTTGTCTGCTGAGCTCTACTATATGGAATGAGCAGAGCGCATATATCCATCGAGTCGATTGATTCATCGTGCAGAGTGCAGGGGTTGACACACTTCCTTGTTTTTTCCAGCAGTCTTGTTGTATCTGCAGCGAAAGAGCACAAAGAGCATCCGACGACTTGCTGATGACGTCAAGCTTCTCAACCTCCTCCTCATTAATCTATTTGTCGAATCGGGCCTCGTTTGGACTGAATGAGCAACCGCCATGGGAGCTCTAGCAAGTTCTTTCGTCATTTCATTCTGCACCTTTTCGCTGGGATGAAATGAGAACTGACGGGAATTGGAGAAGATGGAATCAGAGAGATTTTACAATCAATCAGAAAGAAGATTTCCGCCACACTTCTTCGTTGAATCCGACACCGGATAATACAGTTAGAGGCTGAAAGTCATGGGCGGTTATGAGTGCAGACATGAAAAATTTAGAATCTTTGTTAGTCAAAACTCTGTTGCATAGTTTGACATTTTGACAAAATATATTGAGATAATTGGATATATACATAAATATGATATTTAGATTATAATTATGTATATTAAAGTCCAAATGCGCACTTTTTACAACGATTGGTGTTATTCAAACTACTTTTTATTGATTTGGATTGCTGAAACTTTGTCGAACAAAGTTTGTGACAAT